CCGAAGGGTGTGAAGAGGAATGGAACGCGTATGCAAAGAGAGTAGAGTGTGGAGCGAGCTGCGTGACATGTAGGCGTGTGCCTCATGTTTGCGTGGCCTTGTGGTCTAGTGGTATGATTCTCGCTTAGGGTGCGAGAGGTCCCGGATTCGATCTCCGGCAAGGCCCTGTTGTTGTCGCTAGTCTTTTGGACGGTCGAGTAGCTTGCTTGTTTCGACTACTAACCACATGATAGCATGTACATTGGGGTGATCATACAGGCTTACACCCACTTTTAGTACATCCTACAGCCTAACGCCACGATCAGGACGAGATAACACGCTCTTACAAGTGCTTTAAGTTGTAGCACTATCACGACGGGACAAAAGGAGTACGAGCTCGCTGACCAAGCTTATGCATCGCAGTGGAAGCCGAAGGGTGTGAAGAGGAATGGGACGCGTATGCAAAGAGAGTAGAGTGTGGAGCGAGCTGCGTGACATGTAGGCGTGTGCATCATGTTTGCGTGGCCTTGTGGTCTAGTGGTATGATTCTCGCTTAGGGTGCGAGAGGTCCCGGATTCGATCTCCGGCAAGGCCCTGTTGTTGTCGCTAGTCTTTTGGACGGTCGAGTAGCTTGCTTGTTTCGACTACTAACCACATGATAGCATGTACATTGGGGTGATCATACAGGCTTACACCCACTTTTAGTACATCCTACAGCCTAACGCCACGATCAGGACGAGATAACACGCTCTTACAAGTGCTTTAAGTTGTAGCACTATCACGACGGGACAAAAGGAGTACGAGCTCGCTGACCAAGCTTATGCATCGCAGTGGAAGCCGAAGGGTGTGAAGAGGAATGGAACGCGTATGCAAAGAGAGTAGAGTGTGGAGCGAGCTGCGTGACATGTAGGCGTGTGCCTCATGTTTGCGTGGCCTTGTGGTCTAGTGGTATGATTCTCGCTTAGGGTGCGAGAGGTCCCGGATTCGATCTCCGGCAAGGCCCTGTTGTTGTCGCTAGTCTTTTGGACGGTCGAGTAGCTTGCTTGTTTCGACTACTAACCACATGATAGCATGTACATTGGGGTGATCATACAGGCTTACACCCACTTTTAGTACATCCTACAGCCTAACGCCACGATCAGGACGAGATAACACGCTCTTACAAGTGCTTTAAGTTGTAGCACTATCACGACGGGACAAAAGGAGTACGAGCTCGCTGACCAAGCTTATGCATCGCAGTGGAAGCCGAAGGGTGTGAAGAGGAATGGGACGCGTATGCAAAGAGAGTAGAGTGTGGAGCGAGCTGCGTGACATGTAGGCGTGTGCACTCATGTTTGCGTGGCCTTGTGGTCTAGTGGTATGATTCTCGCTTAGGGTGCGAGAGGTCCCGGATTCGATCTCCGGCAAGGCCCTGTTGTTGTCGCTAGTCTTTTGGACGGTCGAGTAGCTTGCTTGTTTCGACTACTAACCACATGATAGCATGTACATTGGGGTGATCATACAGGCTTACACCCACTTTTAGTACATCCTACAGCCTAACGCCACGATCAGGACGAGATAACACGCTCTTACAAGTGCTTTAAGTTGTAGCACTATCACGACGGGACAAAAGGAGTACGAGCTCGCTGACCAAGCTTATGCATCGCAGTGGAAGCCGAAGGGTGTGAAGAGGAATGGAACGCGTATGCAAAGAGAGTAGAGTGTGGAGCGAGCTGCGTGACATGTAGGCGTGTGCATCATGTTTGCGTGGCCTTGTGGTCTAGTGGTATGATTCTCGCTTAGGGTGCGAGAGGTCCCGGATTCGATCTCCGGCAAGGCCCTGTTGTTGTCGCTAGTCTTTTGGACGGTCGAGTAGCTTGCTTGTTTCGACTACTAACCACATGATAGCATGTACATTGGGGTGATCATACAGGCTTACACCCACTTTTAGTACATCCTACAGCCTAACGCCACGATCAGGACGAGATAACACGCTCTTACAAGTGCTTTAAGTTGTAGCACTATCACGACGGGACAAAAGGAGTACGAGCTCGCTGACCAAGCTTATGCATCGCAGTGGAAGCCGAAGGGTGTGAAGAGGAATGGAACGCGTATGCAAAGAGAGTAGAGTGTGGAGCGAGCTGCGTGACATGTAGGCGTGTGCATCATGTTTGCGTGGCCTTGTGGTCTAGTGGTATGATTCTCGCTTAGGGTGCGAGAGGTCCCGGATTCGATCTCCGGCAAGGCCCTGTTGTTGTCGCTAGTCTTTTGGACGGTCGAGTAGCTTGCTTGTTTCGACTACTAACCACATGATAGCATGTACATTGGGGTGATCATACAGGCTTACACCCACTTTTAGTACATCCTACAGCCTAACGCCACGATCAGGACGAGATAACACGCTCTTACAAGTGCTTTAAGTTGTAGCACTATCACGACGGGACAAAAGGAGTACGAGCTCGCTGACCAAGCTTATGCATCGCAGTGGAAGCCGAAGTGTGTGAAGAGGAATGGGACGCGTATGCAAAGAGAGTAGAGTGTGGAGCGAGCTGCGTGACATGTAGGCGTGTGCATCATGTTTGCGTGGCCTTGTGGTCTAGTGGTATGATTCTCGCTTAGGGTGCGAGAGGTCCCGGATTCGATCTCCGGCAAGGCCCTGTTGTTGTCGCTAGTCTTTTGGACGGTCGAGTAGCTTGCTTGTTTCGACTACTAACCACATGATAGCATGTACATTGGGGTGATCATACAGGCTTACACCCACTTTTAGTACATCCTACAGCCTAACGCCACGATCAGGACGAGATAACACGCTCTTACAAGTGCTTTAAGTTGTAGCACTATCACGACGGGACAAAAGGAGTACGAGCTCGCTGACCAAGCTTATGCATCGCAGTGGAAGCCGAAGGGTGTGAAGAGGAATGGAACGCGTATGCAAAGAGAGTAGAGTGTGGAGCGAGCTGCGTGACATGTAGGCGTGTGCCTCATGTTTGCGTGGCCTTGTGGTCTAGTGGTATGATTCTCGCTTAGGGTGCGAGAGGTCCCGGATTCGATCTCCGGCAAGGCCCTGTTGTTGTCGCTAGTCTTTTGGACGGTCGAGTAGCTTGCTTGTTTCGACTACTAACCACATGATAGCATGTACATTGGGGTGATCATACAGGCTTACACCCACTTTTAGTACATCCTACAGCCTAACGCCACGATCAGGACGAGATAACACGCTCTTACAAGTGCTTTAAGTTGTAGCACTATCACGACGGGACAAAAGGAGTACGAGCTCGCTGACCAAGCTTATGCATCGCAGTGGAAGCCGAAGGGTGTGAAGAGGAATTGGACGCGTATGCAAAGAGAGTAGAGTGTGGAGCGTGCTGCGTGACATGTAGGCGTGTGCATCATGTTTGCGTGGCCTTGTGGTCTAGTGGTATGATTCTCGCTTAGGGTGCGAGAGGTCCCGGATTCGATCTCCGGCAAGGCCCTGTTGTTGTCGCTAGTCTTTTGGACGGTCGAGTAGCTTGCTTGTTTCGACTACTAACCACATGATAGCATGTACATTGGGGTGATCATACAGGCTTACACCCACTTTTAGTACATCCTACAGCCTAACGCCACGATCAGGACGAGATAACACGCTCTTACAAGTGCTTTAAGTTGTAGCACTATCACGACGGGACAAAAGGAGTACGAGCTCGCTGACCAAGCTTATGCATCGCAGTGGAAGCCGAAGGGTGTGAAGAGGAATGGGACGCGTATGCAAAGAGAGTAGAGTGTGGAGCGAGCTGCGTGACATGTAGGCGTGTGCATCATGTTTGCGTGGCCTTGTGGTCTAGTGGTATGATTCTCGCTTAGGGTGCGAGAGGTCCCGGATTCGATCTCCGGCAAGGCCCTGTTGTTGTCGCTAGTCTTTTGGACGGTCGAGTAGCTTGCTTGTTTCGACTACTAACCACATGATAGCATGTACATTGGGGTGATCATACAGGCTTACACCCACTTTTAGTACATCCTACAGCCTAACGCCACGATCAGGACGAGATAACACGCTCTTACAAGTGCTTCAAGTTGTAGGACTATCACGACGGGACAAAAGGAGTACGAGCTCGCTGACCAAGCTTATGCATCGCAGTGGAAGCCGAAGGGTGTGAAGAGGAATGGAACGCGTATGCAAAGAGAGTAGAGTGTGGAGCGAGCTGCGTGACATGTAGGCGTGTGCCTCATGTTTGCGTGGCCTTGTGGTCTAGTGGTATGATTCTCGCTTAGGGTGCGAGAGGTCCCGGATTCGATCTCCGGCAAGGCCCTGTTGTTGTCGCTAGTCTTTTGGACGGTCGAGTAGCTTGCTTGTTTCGACTACTAACCACATGATAGCATGTACATTGGGGTGATCATACAGGCTTACACCCACTTTTAGTACATCCTACAGCCTAACGCCACGATCAGGACGAGATAACACGCTCTTACAAGTGCTTTAAGTTGTAGCACTATCACGACGGGACAAAAGGAGTACGAGCTCGCTGACCAAGCTTATGCATCGCAGTGGAAGCCGAAGGGTGTGAAGAGGAATGGGACGCGTATGCAAAGAGAGTAGAGTGTGGAGCGAGCTGCGTGACATGTAGGCGTGTGCCTCATGTTTGCGTGGCCTTGTGGTCTAGTGGTATGATTCTCGCTTAGGGTGCGAGAGGTCCCGGATTCGATCTCCGGCAAGGCCCTGTTGTTGTCGCTAGTCTTTTGGACGGTCGAGTAGCTTGCTTGTTTCGACTACTAACCACATGATAGCATGTACATTGGGGTGATCATACACAGGCTTTACCCACTTTTAGTACATCCACAGCCTCACGCTACGATTAAGTTTCTTTATCAATTAAGTTACTGCTACATCCTTGCGTTTCAATCGTACTTAACGCACATTTTTTACAGTACTGAAGCATTGATCGTAATAGTAAATAAACACATTTATATGGCTTTACTTATGTACTTCCAAACATAATAACCACACAAGTACCGGTTTCGAAGAGATAGTATCTGTGCCAAAGGCTAGCACCACAAAATATAAAATGACAAGCTCCTCTGATGAAGACGATGGTGACTACTTCTTTGAAGGTCCATGGCGTCTCTCCTCTCTGTTTCTTACCAACTTTAGCTAATACAATTTCTAGATGTAAACGATAAGGAAGAGGACAACGATACACATGACGTCAAGCCAGACAAACCGCAAAGCGTCACGATTAATCCTTATGTGCACACACTCTGGGCTGATATCAATGTGTCTACTAGAGTATCCGAGAAAGCAGTGAACAAGGCGGAAAAGGTGAAGTTTATTTGTAATTAATGTACCATAATTATTTTGATGAAGACATTGACGATGGTTTTGAGGTATAGCTGCTGGGTAGCTTAAACGCAAAGACGAAACGCTCGACTAACAGAATAAATGGGGGCAAAGAAAAACGCAAAGTTCTTGAGTTCTCAATGCCAATCCTAGGTGTCGATGTGAAGAAATCGAGGCGAGATATGGTCGAGGTGACAACGTCGAAAGACAAGTTGGACCGAGTCGTTAAGTTTGCTGGAAAGGAGTACAGTGTGTCGACGAGTGCTGCGAGACCTACGAAAGGGGAGAAAGGTTTGGATAAAGTACTCGAAACTCTGGTCGAACCAAAGAAGGTGTCGACCATTGAGAAGTCATCGCTTGACTGGGACAAGTTTAAGGAGAAGGAAGGCATTGAAGAGGAATTGACCCAGTACACTAAGGACGGGTACGAGCTTAATGGCAGTGTTGTAGTTTAAGGATTGGCCTCATGTTGACTGTGAATGTTCTGCATGGTCCTAGATACGTTGAGAAACAGGAGTTTTTGCAACGGCTTGATCTCAAGCGCTTTGAGATTGAAAAAGCTGAGCGCGAGAAGCAACGCAAACTCCAGCAACAGCAACTGAAATAGAGAAGAAAAAAAGCAACGATGCATATCGTCAGCAAACGTTCAGTCCATCGCCAGAAAAATAAATGCACAAACAAGTTTTCCTCACAGTAGACAAATGCACGGAGGTTGATTCAATGACGTCTGGTGCGAAGCTGTTCGTTGCTTCATTTTAGTGAGGGCGGTTGAGTTGAATGCCCGCAATTATTATTATTGATACCCGTATCATCCTCGTCCGGTACGTCGCAATAAAGCCAAAAGGTCTGATTTAAGCGATTGAAAGATATGCCTGCAGACCAAAACGTTGCCACCTGATGCCGAGCAACTATAGCCCATGATTTTTTGCCAAATACACAAATGGCGACATTTCGTCTATTGAGCACTTGTGCTCAATAGACTGAATGATGGGAGGGAAAGCGTCCAAAAAGCGGCACCTCACTCGAGTGGCCAGCACTTGATACGACCACTTGCGTCCAGGATATTACACCGTCCGTTGGCTTTTAGGTGTAGCATACGCTTCAAGATGTGATCAGTCGCATCGTGCTGTGCATTATGGAACGTGTAAGCTGCGCGAATTTACTCATGCGAGAACACAACTTGATAGGACGCATCTTGTGGTTCAAAAGGTTTTGCGCGAAGGAATACATGTTCCAGTACAGTTGCACGAAAAGCAAAGATACAAGCAAAAGTAAGTGGATCGATATACCCAGTGCAGATATTGCTTACAGCAGAGCTTGTGACGAAACATTTCGTCATTTTCATTCAGATGACACAAAACCTTGTGGTATATGAGTTCTGCCTAAAAAGTTCAAGAACACATTCCTTACTTCTACCGCAATTGCATGGGCGAGCACATGGGTATGATCTACGGCAATATATATTTATATATAACAACGACGATAGGAGAAAAGCTGGAGATTGTTTTACAACGGGGTCGTTTGCCTCTCTTCACAGCTCGCTTTGCGATACGGTTTAGAGTGCAGCGTCTGGATTGCTGCTTCTACCACGCAGATTAAATCTAGAAGTTTGACGATGGTCTTGCCTTCACTTATGAATCAACGTACCTAGTTAAACAAGCTAAAGGACTACGCATTTTAGCACTTTGCTGGGCTCCCAATGCCGAAACTCTTTGATCCTTAACAGACTGAAGATGATGAGCAAATGTAGTAAGATCTACATAGTTTGGAGCCAATCGTCTGGTTCCAGTAAACATTATTGTGTAGATTGGGTTTGTAGTCTCTTATGTGGTCAAAGCCTGTATCAACTACTACTAAGAGTAATAAGATACAACCCTCACATAATTGTAGTGGGGACAGCACTAGGGATTCAACTAAACCGTTAATATCATCGAACATGAAGAAATCCAGGTGGAAAGAAAATGAATGCGATCTACTAAAGTTGCAATGACAGCGACTTAAAGAGTCCACGCGCAAATCTAGGCCCAGACATGATTTTTGCAAAGCTTTAGTACACCACATCTAATACGGGGTGCTTGGATATTTCGTTTAGATTACTACACTAAGACATTGCTGAATACTTGTTCGAGGAACGCTACAAAAAACGAGATGCATAACATCAAATCATGTGGAACAACCTTGTTCAAGTGGATTAAGCGCAACCACGTTCAAAAGTAGTCCGATAATGACGTACCATGCCAAGGTGTACGTAACCTCTAATTAATTTTACGGCTCTCTTCCAGTTCTTCTATGTCATCGGGGTCCGTGCCACCATTCACAAGCATTTCACGTACTTTTCTCTCAATATTAAGCGTGTGTAACAGAATTCGCTGTAAAATGAAAGCTGAATCAGTATCCAAGCCGTCTGTTACTTTCTTGAAGATCGCGTTCACCCATTTAGATCTTGTGCGTGCCTGACTTAATCGTGTAGCCACGATCATCAATCTCGTCTAATCCCCGGCCCATTTCAAAGTGTTTCCGCAGCTCACCGTACTCCTCCTCATCCATCAATGGCACAGCGGCAATTATCTCAAATACCTCATTGAGGTCACACAGCAACTTTTCAATCGCTACGTCCTCCGTCGTTGTACCACAATCATTTGGATTAAATTCCAGTTCCAGTTGCTAATCTACTTCCACACTCTCTTCAGCCCTTTCCGCCTCCTTGCAATCCTCTTGCTCCTTTTCAAAGCCCAGATTCGAGTTTTCCACTGCGTTTTTACCCGCATTGCCGTTGTTGTTGCAAGGACAGTGTATTGCACATGAGTGAAGAAGTGCGTAAGGAAGTGGACAGATAAGAGCGGAACACGCCGCCGACAGCAAGACGAGCGGTTGTCATGATTGCTCGTTTGCAACTTGTGGCTATTATTGTGAGTAATTATATGCTGTCGTATTTTATATATAGCAGTACTCTCAGCAATTAGCGTCAGTTTTGTCAATAATTACGTTATTATAGAAATTTGACAATTAAATTACGCGACGCGGGACTCGAACCCGCAACCCCCAGATTCGAAGTCTGATACGCTATCCATTGCGCCAGCCGCGCTTGTGGTTATGAGACGGACACGTGATATAACCAAAACCTTATAAAGTCTTGTGCCATATGAAGTTGTGAATGTTAAAGTTATTTTAGTGTCAAAATAACTCCGTCCTACTAGTGCATTGAACGTTTGCTAGTCCTACTTGTACGGTGATAATTGGCAAGATGGATAACAGATGCGTTACAAGGAGACTTGTGTAACGTGAGAGAAAGAGACGGTCTTGCCATGAGTTTTAAAGGCGCTGGGAAAATGGGTCGTTAAAGACAAGACTGACGCGGCCTTACTTCAAAGCACAGGTATATTTGTTTACCGATTGATGTGAAGTAAAACAAAAAAAGACGTTGGAGACCAAAGCACTCGAAAATCCGTATCATTTACTCACCGGTTTTTACATGTAGGCGATATGATTGAAACCTTGCTCTTGTTATTTGCTGCAAGGTCGTTGTGCCACTGGCGCGTAGAAGCACATCGCATCGCTGCAAATTAACGCACGCACTGCGGACCGAGATTATCGGCAACTAGTTTAAGGATGTTGTTGCTTTACGCTTGCATGAGAGTTTACAAGTGTTGTCTGCCATGATGATGCTTCTCACCATCGCACTAACCTTGTATTGTCTTGCAAATTGTCGAGAGCCTTGACATCATCACGTGGCGTTATTATAAAGTAGCTTTGAGTCTTTCATTGTGTGTTTGTGGTTGGTTAGACATTATAATGCTGGCAAGACTACAGATTAGCGGAAGCCGATCCAAAAAGCACGAATTACACAACTATCAAGGATTCGATCATTTGTGATCTTTGGTCATACGTGCAGTATTAGTAGCAATCTATTGGAAGTCGATTTACATTGCATACGTATAAGGAAGAGATCATGTTGCAGGCACGAAAATAAAAGGATTGTGCCTGTTGGTACTTGATTGTATATGACATAACCATCTAGTCATTTATTCTTGCTTGACTGATACCGTGGAAGCTGAGCTTGTGGCAAAGTGTTTCTTGAGTCTAGGCAGCACAAGACCTCCCACTGCCGCTACAACAATAAGTTGCACCGTAGTGGCCGTTTCAATAATGTCTCCACGTGATCGTAGCTCGCGTAAAATAAGACCAGCCTTGCAGCTCAGAAAATTGTACGGAATGAGACCAATGAGTGGGCCCAATGTGAACTGACGAAGCGGAATATCCAAATGTGACGACGCCATATTAAGAAACCAGTTGGGAGTGAAGGGAAAAACACGCAGAAAAATCATATAGAGCGCCATTTCGTCGCGATGTGCATCCAACATACGACGCAGCACGTCCAGTTTGTGCGGAAAGAAGCGCATGACTATGCGGCGTCCAAAGTGGCGCGACAACAGGAACATGAAGACAGAACCCAGCGTGTTATACAATAAACACAGCGGAAAGCCCAGTGTTATGCCAAACAATGCACCACCCAGCAGGTTGAAAAACACCGTGCCTGGGATTGCAAACGTCTGTAGGTATAAGTAACAGCTCATGTGCGCAAGTAACAGCGCACTTGATTGACGCTCTGAGAAATTCTGCAGCGTCTCTTCCAGCTCCTGAGCCGATTCAAGAGATGTGGGCAATCGTAGCGCAGCCCATTCGGCGTCCGTCAGCGCTGAGATTACCAGCGAGTACAGCGTTACACCAAGTAACGCCGTGCTGACTAAGAAGATTACACCAATGAGCTGAACGTCCCTATGCCAATCATTGGAAGAACTTGATAAAGAGGTAGAAAGATGCTTACGATCATGAGTCATAATGTTATTATTGTCTATTGACAAGAATGACTGGCAATATTCCAGACGTGAGAGTAGGTGCTTTTTCAATACTAAACGCCAGTTTAAAACATGTCCTTGTCTTTACACTGTTTTTATAAGTCTAACCCAGCTATTTATCTTTCAATATCGCGACTTCCAACTGTAATCTCGATTAAGTACGTTTTTGCGTCCTCACCATCCATCTCAACAATAAAGCAGTCATGACATTCATGACAACCGCTCGTCTTGCTGTCGGCGGCGTTTTTCGCTCGTATCTGTCCACTTCCTTACGCACTTCTTCACTCATGTGCAATACACTGTCCTTGCAACAACAACGGCAATGCTCGCCATGTACAGTGCATCCTCCATTCCTGTCTGTTCATATCAACATGATCTCTGTACGCACGAAAGTGAGCGACCGAGCGTTGCGCCGTAAGAACCTGCGCAAGATGAAAAATAAGAAGGACAGCAAGGTGCCGATGCTGAAGGATACGCTACGTAAACTATATATGCGCACGCATCCAGACTTGTTTGGACGGTACCCAGAGCAGCAGCGTACGAACGAGGAGTCGTATAAGGAACTGCTAGGCATTTTGGACGCCATTGAGAAGCATAATGCGTTTCCGCCAGCCAAGAGGTTGGTGCTGCCATTTTATCTCAAGACGGCAGTAGAGGGTGAGTTCAAGGAGGTGGATTTGCAGCTTCGGATGACTGGTGGCGCTTGCAACACATTAGTGGAAGAGGCGTTGGGTCGTTTTTTCGGCGAGTGTGGCCTTCCGCAGGCATTTACATGGGGCGAGGGCAGTTGGGGGGAAGGTTGTGGGTAAAAACGCAGTGGAAAACTCGAATCTGGGCTTTGAAAAGGAGCAAGAGGATTGCAAGGAGGCGGAAATGGCTGTAAAGCGTGAGGAGCAGCTCCGTCAATCAGCACCGGCCTACAATCCTGTAGATCGCAGTGCGCCTGACGGTCACTCTATTGAGAAGGTGCTGACGGATTTGGACGATACCCTTCAGCTAATTGCAGCAATACCTTACCTTGATGAGGAAGAAGAGCAGCAACGTGCCATAAAATTGCATTTTGAGCAGGGTGGAGGCTTGGATGACCTTGATGCCCAGGGCTATACGGTCAAGGCAAGAGTGCTTATGATGTGGCAGGGTGAGCGGGATCTAGATACACTAATCAAGAGCGTCGATGTCGACTCAGCTCTTATTGTACAGCGAGTTCTCATGCACACACTTGAAATTGAAAAGAAGCTGAATGAGATTATTGCTAATGAAGGTGTTGACGATCACGAGAATGCTGCTAATGGACAGAGATGATTGCACATCCTAAAGAACTGAGAGCAGAGTGAACAATCAGTTTGTAATGCATCCAGCCATTTGCTTATTCAGTTCTAAAAAAGTGTTGCAAGGACCTGAAATTGCACATTCGAGTACAAAGACAGCATGTAAGCGCAATGGCTGTGTGTTGCAGTCAACAACAGTAGACTCCCACCAAATGAAGGCCATATCAATCCATTCATGGCGTTGAACATTTGTTAGCAATGCCTAAAGCCATCTGAGGTTCAATTAGCATAGAAATGTGTCGTAAAGGTGCAATGCACGTCTGTGTCTGATCCACTCGCGCCTGCCTCTGGTAGCTCAAAATTGCCAGTGCTACCTCCCATCAATCCTGCATTTTTGTCTCAAATAGGGAAAGCCGCTTTGACCACGTTTCTCCGACTTGTTACTTTGCTATTCTCTGCTGGGGAGATGGCTTTTTCTCTCTCCCTCTCTCTCTACGTGTAAATTCTATGAGGTCATGGAGAAAATGATGAACAAACGTTGTTTTACTGGTAACGTGTCTTCTAAATTTTAGCAACAATGCGTGGAGAATTCATTCATTGCATGCTCTAAACATACTACAAACTATTTGATCACCGACAATTTATAGAGAAAAGCTTCAGCTAATGCCGACTAAGGAAGGCTCTAAAAAGTGAGCATTACCACACACGACAAAGGCCAATAAACAATGGCATTTGATTGTACGGATGAATTCAAAGCCACAAATTTACACCAGCGACCAGCTCAATTGTATTACTACTGGGCGCAGCCATCTAGCCAGGACCGTACGATTTTTTGCACTTGAACATACAGTGGTAAACTTTAATCACTTGCGTAGCCACTCTATGATAACAGAGCTTGATGGGCTTTACTGAAAGCCAGACTGTCGCACGAAACAAGGCAGCAGCACTTCAATCCATTGAATTGTGCTTGAATTATTAGAATACTTGGCACCTATTGTACATGTATCGATTCGTACACGTAGATACAGCAACAAGTTCATTGCAAGTGATGGTGTGCTGGAAAAAAGATGCGGTAGTAGTTCAGGAAAAGTAAATCTAGAGCTCCTTGATAGAAAAAATGCACCGGATTCAATGATGCATCATTGTCCAGTCACTCACACATACACACACTCACTCGATCGATCCTAGCCGGTCGGTCGGTCATTACCTATTGTTAGTGCTCTTCACATTTAGTCGACTATCAAGCTTTGTGGCATAGTATATATATATATTTACCCATGCCTCTACTGCCTTTATCCCGAACGACTCAAGAGTATCCATTTGAAGGCGAGTTTGTGAGGACTTTTCCCGGCTCAAGCAAGACACATCCAGTGCAACGGGACCGAATCTTTTTTTAGCTCTCTTTTTTCAGACTGATTCGGATCGTGCGAGCGACGGTCGTCAGTAAAATGTCTTGTCGTGTTTATAGATATGATGCCTGCGCAAAGTGTGCGTGCAAAGTGTAACATGGCAACGACAGAATCTGATATTGTCATGAAGGAGAAAAAAGAAAGGTGTCAGTCAACCACCACAACGGTCCTAACCTTTGAATTGCCATTGTCAACATGTCTTTCTTCTGATATTGTTACACTCTTGGAAGACACGTTGCCAGTGAAAGAAAGACCTTAGCATAGACAGATAGATCTATACATCCAAGACATGGATAGAAAAAAAGAGCCACTTTGTCTGAAGAAGCGTGGCGAAAGCAGCGACCACGCTGAGAAAAATGCGCGACGGGTGTGGCAAATCAATGGGGGGCAAGTACCAGTAACTCCGGAAAAACGACGACGACGACGAAGAATACTTGTTGTGAGGCAGATGGTATCATCTATCAGCTGTTATGTAAATGTGCACGGCACATCTCCCACGCATCGCCTGGCAAATCATAGAGTCATCTCAACTTGCACGGTACCCCGTCTCTTTTGGCACAAGCCATTTCTTTCAAAAGTGACGATAGACAAGAAGTAGGCGCAAGAAAAACAGTTACATGAAGGTCTGTAAAACCGTCTCTAGATACAATGAATCTCAGTGAGATTCCTGCGAGTTTAATGTCGAGTACTCGCATGTAACAAGTAGGTAAGATTGATTTGATTTGTAATTTCACACATCGGATAGTTGCAAATTTACGCGCTTGTCTTGGCATAAGAAGAGATAAACATTTCTCTAGCTGGTCTGTGTACATCGTGTGTCGTCTCTCCATCTTTCACACGGAAAAACATCCGATCGTAAGAAATGGAGCAAAAACTAGCTCTTCATGGCTAACGCGCTGACTTGTAGCCAGACAAACGATGGAGCCGGAGATTGCGTAAATCGGGCCTAAACCTGCTCTCACAAATCTACAGTATCAAGGCACTGGATTGGCTCTTGACCGTTTGTTTCCGTTTTTAGCGTACGCTGGCTGTTTGTATTGACTGACTTGACTGGCTGGTCCAAAAAAATCCATACCTTATTCCTCCTCGCTATTCTTATCATCTATCTCAAAGACCTCATTTTTTAAAGGTCGTGGTCGATCCAATTAGTCGGTTTTTGTAGACTGTGAAACTCCTCCATATTCAAGTCTTTTTTTTATACCATGATGACGGTATTACCACCTCTTACGGACACGACGAGTGGTAGTAAGAAACGACGCCGTAGTATTGAACCTGTGGAATCAAGTAAGATTCTAGCGATGCCATTAAGTATTTCGTCGTCTCACGTGATGCCAGGAAACGCCATACGTAATCCAACGTTGTTACAGCCGACGCATGACAAGCGTCATGATGACAACGAGACCGATGGCGGTGATGATGATTTCTTACGTCGTAGTCTAATGGGTCTTTCACTACAGCTTAAACTAAAGATGATTCTTGTTGAAGCCTGGGCTTCCGACATGAATAGCGTCGTGATGGAACGTAATCTCTTTGCTATTGCCAAGGAACTGGCGATATTGAAAGAAATGGGCATTTATGAACAACACACATGTGTGCGTTTCTTGGAGCTTGCACGTAATCGTATGGTGCAACTTTTGGAACAAACGGAACGTCAGGAGACGTTGCATATGGAAGCAGAGCAGATGTGGACAATGGCATTGATCCAGGCCCAAGAGACAATTCATTTATCACCTCATAGTCCATCTGGTGTTAGTGAATTTCCACTTTTGAGTGGTTTTGATGCAAGTAGTCGTGAGATCTCCGTGCTATGGCGTGCCATGTCCATTGCACGTGACCGTGGAGCTCAACTGTGGCACGAAAACAAGCCGGAACAAGCGTTACCGTTTCTACTAGCTGCTGATTCGTACATGAAGCGCTTTACGCTCAAGTATCAGCGTTTAAAAGTCGATCATGCAATGGTGGACACGTTACAGAAACCACCTTGTTTCCACTCGAAGCGGCGGGTCACGTTTGCCAAGGAACCACAAGTTATGGGCGTTGCAGATGCTGAGGTGGATCGTACACCTATTAGCCCTACAAAGCCGTCCAAGTTGGAGTCTTTGTTACTTCGTACATCGCGTGAGTTTCCGACACCCCGTTTCTAGATGATTCGTTCTAGTACTAGGCCGTAGAGGAAGGCCAACGTCATTTAGTTAGGTAACTTAAATCAACGTTTAGATTCATTCACTTGATGTATTCACTCTTTCTTGCTATGATATGTGCACTAGAAGTTTTTGACAGGTGGATTCCTTCAAGCTATTATCGAGCATTCACTTGGTTCAAACAGGTCTGCTTGATCAAGGCATTGTGATTTTGTATGGTTCTTATACTACGACAGTGACTGCCTGATCACATCTTGTCTGACACATGAACTGGCGCGATAAGAGTTAAAACGTGTGTTAGCATCTACTTTATTATCTGCTTTACAATCTATTGAGTTGTCTCCATCACCTTCACGCTCGTTTGCGCCAGTATTACTCATCTGTGATGACTAGGACAGATGAGAGAGAAGGCGCGACGTCGACGTAGTACAACAAACACGCTCGTTCGTATATATCAAACAATGTGATACACAAATCGAGTGTTGTGCCCAAGCAGGTGAGCTTGCCGTAATTTGCATGGCGTTGATGCACACCCATCATGCTCGTAGCTCTTGGAATATCAAGACTACGCTTTGAGCTTCCATAGTTTCAGCTTGAAGCCGAAAAAGTCCGATGCCGTCGACGAAAAGGCTGATAAAACCACCACACGCGTAATGTTGTACAGCAGTGGGTTCATGGTCAAGCCTGACACCTTGTTAGGTGAGTTCAGCTCCTACAAAAGAAGATTGGACACGGTGTTAATAAGACACGCACATTCGTAGTGGTCCATTGTTGGCAAATCATAACCGTCCAACAACCAACCTTTAGCAGTTTACACGCGAGCTTCAGCACGTTATTAGAGACTAGAAGCTTTTCTTTCTTGTGCGGCTTAGCCAGCAGACGAAGATAAACGTTCATCTGTTCAACCACGGCACTGCGTCAGCTACCAACAAGAATTACAGTAAAAATGGGGATGGCGACAAATACCTGCTCCGTCAAAAGCAGCGACGTGTTTTGGTACTTCTTGTTAATGTTAGATCCCAGCATCATGAAACGCAACATGAACACTCTGCAACGACAAAAATACCGACAGCAAGAGAGGTGAGATACTACACAAACAAAACGCAAGATCACATGTACTATCCATAACGTACGAGCATAGCATACACCAAATGGCCACTTCAATCCCAACGATACTTTCAGCTGCTAGCGAGCCGGATCCATCTGATACCGCCTGCATTCCCATGACGACAAGCAGTACGAGGATGATAAGGAACGACGTCGAGACGATCTCATCGGCTGCGCGTTGGCGGCCTTGACGTTTCAGCCAAGTGCGGCCACCACGTAGCGAGATCCACGCTTTTATATTCATCACATTCTTCAACCGGAAGTGAGGCAGGTTTGCCAAACGCGAGCGTCGTGAAGACGTTAACGCCGTGAAGCATTTGGCGTATCTACAAAAAGCAAGACAAACAACACGTAAGTACTATCCACGACACCACAGAAATCAAGCTGCAAATGCAATTGTTACAAGAATCGACGGTGGTACGTGACTTCAGCGTCTGCGAGAGCAGCAAAAATGATTGACGCCAAATAATATGTCGACAGCATACACGAAATTGAAATAATGGACGCTCCAGATGCAAGCTCTTGAGAATGCATACAGAGCCGATCCACAGATAGCTCCTTGGATAATTGAGTTATCCACATGAGCATATCAAGCGGTTCTTGCGTCACAGTAAGACAATTATATTCCTGACACTTTGTTGCACATCGCAGTGCAATTGGTACCAGTGCAAGCACTATCGCAGATAACTCTGCGACCTTACGATAAAACATCCGGACAGGTGTGGCTTTAACCTAGAAGCACAAGTACATTAGCAACTTGCTACAACCATCAACAGTATGTTGCAAGCGCTTCACATCAATATAAAACACTCGTCACCTTTGCAAGAATGGTATCCCGTAGCTCAGTGATTGACATAGCGCGCTTTACGGGAGAGCCTTCTTCCCATACACAGACAGTCACGCGTCTTCTAGCAAACTGGTCGTCACGCTCCAGTCTCATCCCTAGTGGCACACGTGGCGGCAATGACATTGGTGGTTTGCCAAGTGAACGTCGTAGTACCTATGAAAAATACACAGTCGAATCAAAGACGAAGCAGATGAGCTTTATACGGTACATGTGAAACATTTTGAGCCATTGACGTACACGTTTGGGAGAAGACGGAGCGGAGCTGCTTGTGTGCGGGAACATAGCGTCATTGGGATTCGATTCATCACTGGATGAGGATGAATGACCACTTTCTTCATCACTATCCGTGCCATCGGAATTTTCCGATTCAGCCAATGCTGATCCAAGTCCTGAGGTCAAGTGAGAATTGTCGGAATCCGATCCGCAAACATTTTCCATAGCCTGTTTCACCACAGGCGATAGGATCTTACATGCTGGATCCACAATATCTGGCATCTGCAATGCACTTGATACGCGGCCATAGCCAATAGCTACGAGAAGCAGTAGAAAAATAGGAAAGAATACCTCAAATGAATTATGTGGCGACGTGGCCTTGTGATGGAAGATATAGATACACATTGCCACAAGATGTAAGAGATAGAGAGCCGTGGCTGTTTGATAAAACCATGGCTTATGGCTCCAGAATTTAGCATGGAATGGTACAAACAATGCACGTGTAAAACCTTCTTGTACAAGTTTCCGATCATGACTCGTAGGTTTTGTATGAAAGAGTGCTGATCTGGAAACGAATCAAAGAACAAGAGGCATCATAGAGCGAGAAGAGAGTGACATTAATTACCATGAATGTACGTAGAAAACAAGCCCCAGTCTTTGTATTATTCTCGATACTGTACCCTTTAATCAGATCAAAGTCAATTAAATCACGTGTAAAATTCATTTCACGTTTCAGACGCTGTTGTTGTTGTAGTAACATTTCAGGAGATGAATCAGCTTTACGATGAAGTCGCTTTGGAGTTAAACGCCGTGGTGGCGTAGCGAATTCTTCATCCATTGAGTATAAACAATAACAATAAAAGATGAATTCGTGTAGGACCAATATAGATCGTTGTCGATCACAATAAACACAGCGAGCCAGTCAAGAAATGATGGATGACGTTTGTGATGGACTGGGAATATTGGCTAATGACTGTTTTACGCTGTTGTTATTCATAAGGCGAGACGACAAAGTGAGAGCGAATGTAAGAGTACATATCCTTTTGAAAATGATACAGTAAAACATCAACTTATCATAAATACGTCAGCAAAATATCTGCAACCTGTACAAAACAGCGATATCTGATCCATGACGCGAATGAAAGCGGACTGCGAAAGGTTGGTCAAAACACACATGAAACCGACCAAAAACGAGTCAAATTCGAAAGATCATATAACCACAAGACTCAGATTGTTGTTTAGACGACCGTCAATCGACGACCAGACGTTATCAGTTTCATATCGTCGTCTTGTGTTTGTCTACTACTACTATACAACATGTTCCTATTGTATTGAGAGTGCAACAATAAGGTGGTGTTATATCTATCCTACACAATACACCAACATGTTGTATCGTGTAACGCCATTTCCACGACAGTTGACGTCAAGCGCAAGAGTGAAAAGTTTAGTACATGCTGCTGCTTGGGCTTGGATCTTGCTCGTATTGTCCACGGTGAAATCATTTTGCATACGTTTCTATAGCTTTTGACGCTTCAAATTGCCGGTTGAACATATGCGTCGACATGTGATTGCTAGCGTGATCAGTACACCACTGAGAAGGATGAGATACATCATGAATAGCACCGGACTTGTCCAGTAAGCACACACTACGCTCTTCCATCCCTGCAGTACAAACACCATAACCATTAGCAAAGTGTGTGAGAAGATGTCGTCCAGGATAGTTCTTTATTCTTTTCTCTTACCTTAATCACACGACTTGTCAATGCACTTTTTCCGTATTGAATCGATAAGAATTGCGCCACTGCAGCTGGCACTGGCTGCTCTTGGACAGGTTCGATCCCGTCGTGTATATTGACATACTTACGTTGTAATGGAAAGAGAGATTTGTGCGGGACACAGCCACCACAACACATGTGCTCCGTATGTGTTTGCAACCCCTCTGAACAACACACGAGATTATCTTTCTCATCGTAATCCGGCGGCACTAGAACATTCTTACGATCAGCTGCCACTTCCTTTGGCGTTAATTCTACATACCAGTAAATATCCACCCACGTTCCAACATCCGTCTTATCGTATATGCGGATACACGGGTCATGTAGTCGAGGGTCTGACCAATAGAACTCATGGTTCTCTGTATCATACGTGAGCTTTCCTTTATGTGGGATGTTGTCTTGGCGATCATAGGCGAGAAGTCCAACAGCTTCAAACTCGCGCTTTAGTGCTGAGATCTTGGCGCACGTGGCATTCATAACACCAAAATCCACATCATATTCCCATGGAATAAGCCCGTCATCTCGATGTACGCCCAATAATGTGCCCTTGTCGAGCCAATATTCGACCTTGTGGCGCTTGAGAATGCGTGACGTTTTAGTCAGTAATAACGACATATGTCCACGTGTATCACATTTTCCATACAAAAACCACACTATCTGCATTACAGACAGTATAAGTAGGAAATATGTTAGATAATACAGGATCTTCTGACGCATCAAGATGCGCTGCCACCAGGATAGAGCCACAGGAACACGCGGTGGTGGCATTGGATAGAGATTATAATTTATGTATGTTTCATTATTTGGTGTGGCACATGATCTAGTATAAGTACGAAATGAATGCGACGGATAACGAGGATGCATTACGAGTCGGAATGCATGTAATTGCATATAAGAGGGTTCTCAATCGTATATTGTTTGTTCTATATTAACTACATACAGGAACTTGCATTCATACTTTGTATAGTGATCACCAATATGTACGACAAATGTTGATGCAGTAGCATTTAATAATTACGATCAGATGAAAATAATGTGGGTGCAGTGTGCAGAGTTTAAGGGATCAGGAAAACTTTCAACTATTCCTTTTTCGTCGCAGCATTGTTCACCGTACAAATGCAACCGAAAACATGCTACCACTAGCTTTTATCACGGTGGTAGTACGTACATCCAACAGAAAAAATGCGTCGTTTAGGTGTTGTCTTGCCCTAAACATCACTTGACTATTAGCAATAAACTACAATGAAAAGTGCGAACAAAACTCATGACACTAGACGTTTTTCCTCTTGTCTTTTCTAATATACACGGATGGATCATTGGTGAGTTAGGGAGAGAAAGATGGTGTTGATTCGTGTTTATTTTTGTCTACAGAATGCAATTTTATATTCTCCATTTTAAATCATTCTTTCGTTCTCTAATGCTTTTAATCTATCAAGGACATCCAGTCTCTGTTATTCCTACTTACATGAAGTTTATTTCGTACATTTTCATTGGATGCAAGTACGTATCAAATCCATTGCGTTCTTCTAACACTAACCATTGAATTGACACCTCAAAATGTATCCATCTCACTTTCAACCAATTATTAAAGAGCGAAACACGCGAGTTTTATTCTACTTCGTTTTTGTATGGTATTCAAACCCAGTGGGTTTCAAGATGAACATAAACAGCGTTTGTATAGGAGGACGTTTTGACCGACAGTGTAGCATTGACCAAGTTGGTGAGTGGATCAGGGAACAGCAGCTTGAAAGACAAGCACAAGAGATTCAATATATATATATATATCATCATTGTTACACATTGTACAAAAGCTCCATTTAGCTTTATAGCTTCACCTTCCTTCATTTACAATGGAGCTCATACAACAAACGTCTTCCCCTGACACTGTTGGTGATTTTCTACGAGAATTATGTCCGTGACCATCATTCTTTTTTTTTATTTTCCTCTAATTTAGGTTTTTTGTGGGTGTCCTAATATAAAGTCTCCTTCCTATATTTGTGTTGTGATCTTGTTTACCTTGTTAGTGGGTGGGAAAGAATATAATCGAACAGAAGCGACACGACTACAGATACGACGACCGTTACGTTTAAAGACACTTTTTAGTACAATTATTGGCCAATTACCAGAGACGGAACAAATTCGAGCATTAGAGGCACTTATTAGTCTTGTACGTAGCAGTTGTGGAAATGTCGAAGCTTGTTCAACTGCAGGTTTACAGCATGAAATTCTCGGATTTCTTAGTGAGCGAGGTTTATTTCCCGATCCACAATTACCTCATACAGTATTGAAGAAACTATTGAAAGTCTTTCTCTACTTGGCTTATCATTCTGTAAGTATTGATGATATTCAAGCCATGCTCAAGGTCTTTCGTAGTAATCGCATGGTACATCAAGAACCAGATGATCAAGCTGTGAGTTATTACTTGTCGACACTCGAGATGATTGCCCGTGATTCGTTTGGACCGGCGTCCTTTTTTGATCTAAATGGTGAATTCTCGGGACTTTTAATGCCAGTGCTCCCAGCATTTCCAAATAATGGATATACCTTTTGTGCGTGGATCAAGTTTGAGCTTTTACCCGAAGAAGTGGCACCATTGTTTACGTTTTGTGGAAAAACTGGAGTCGGCATCATGTGCTCATTCTTACGCTCGTCGCTCATGATTACGAGTTTTGATAAACGGAAAAATGATGGACACGTGGAAGTTCCGGATCTTGTAACACTTGGTAGGTGGCACTTTCTGTGTATCACGCACACACATCGTCAATTCCGTGGATCAAAGCTGGATGTGTATCTTAACTCGGAATTGCGCCAGAGTGTGCGGTTGGCATACCCGAACACAGCCCTCATGGCTCCTGTTGTAAAGGCATATCTGGCTATGCGCGAAAGTAATGGTTTCAACTCGCTACGGATCTTACTCGGGCCCACGGCGCTCTTTGGACAGGCTTTGCCTGCTAGCATCATCAATAGTATTCACAATGTCGACGAGTACGATGCGCTAGTGTTCCAATTTAACTCCTACATTTCTTCGTCATCCACGTCATCCAGTGCTGGTGTCAATGGGGCACTCGGGACTTCGGGAGGACTTAACGCTCCTGGGAGCTCGACTGACGGATTGCTGCTTGCCTATGATGCCCGCCACTGCGATCGACTAAAAGGGTTGTGCTATGATTCTAGCGGTAATGACTACCATGCAGCTGCTGCTAGTGCAGGAGTTCGATTGAGGCATGCTGGAACGTTTAAGCAAGCGGTGGCACAGTTAGGTGGTCCGCTTGTGTTTCTTCCGTTGTTAGTGACATCTACTATTGCCATTGTTTCTACTGTGAATGCTACAGCGACCACTTTGAGCGCAAACGACGCAACAAAGTCATCTGCAGCTACTGGAAACACTTTGACAGGACCAAGTGGTGCTTTAACGACACAGTTCGACGAGGATTCAGACTTCCTAAAACAGATGAGTGACCTGCTTGCGCGTCCGATGGGTGTGCGCAGTATTCCGATAGTTGTGTTGCTAATCGCTGAGATTATGCGCCATTCGCTCGTCAATAAGTTTATCTTCCGACGCAGTCAAGGCGTTCGCCTTATGGCACTGTTGATGCGTTCGTTGCCACCAGAGTACTTGACACCCGATCTATTAATTGCAATTGAGCGGTTGCGCAGCGCTGTGATTTCGGACCGAATTTTGGCGGACGAGATATATAAGTTCTTACTATTCAATTTTCGGGTTTGGGTGAACGCGCCTGTGGATCTTCAGGACATTATGTTTGACAAGCTGGAAATAATGACCCGTAAGGACAGCACGAACTTGTCCCCAGCTTCTACACGCCATTTTTTACGTTGTTTGTCGTGGATTTACTGGAAGGTTCCCACTTCAACATCACTCCGACGCGCCCGGAAATTCTCTTCCGGGGAGATTGATCTGCTGCGGAAGCGTGTACTGGCGATGATTCAGATCGTACTATGTGAATCCCCTCCGGCAAAAATTGCTGGGTCAGTGATGCCGTTTCCTCCAAAGGGCAAGGAGATAAAGTCTCAGCTGTCCTACGAAAGCACGCGCACTCTTATCTTCTGCATGATCGGTAAGCCTAGCAATCCCATGATCCCTGGACTGAACATTGATGGAACACCGACCATCCATGAGATAGGACCGTCAAACGGGGCATCATCGTCGGCAACTGTCTCGTCCTCACCAAGCGCTAAGAGCATGCCTGAGAGTGATCTCGACTTTTGTGGTTCAGTCATAGAAAATGTGCCAGAAATTGATTTGCCCGATTTGCTGCAATTATTGATTGAGCTATCGGTGCAGTCTACGGCTCCTGCAGGAATGCTGGACCTCTTTGGTCGCTTGGGGGGGCCTTCGTATCTGGTTGCCATTGCTGGGGTTTTCGAACGATATCATTCGCGTGATGACTCTGCGATTGCTGCGCACGTACTTGTTTTTGAAATGCGAGTGTAGCCAAGACCATGATTTGGTGAACAGCCCAGACAAGACCCAGCTTTCTATCGGAGATGCGTACTTGATTATGCACTCACTGAAACCTGAAGAGAGACCTGTCTCTATGGGTGTATACTCTGAAATTCTTCTCATGATTTTAGGAATTCAAGTGATAGGAAAGGACATGAAGGCATTAGATGAAGAATCGGCAGCATACGATGCTCTTATTGACGAGAATGTGCTAGCTACGGCGACTATTTGGCACGACAACATGATGTCTGCCTTTTTGGGACTTTTACGTGCGAGCTCTGTCACTATTCGCATGGTTGCTATCCGTCACATAAAGATCATATTTGCATCGTCAACTGTTGCTAGCGCAATTAATCGCCATGTTCTGATCTTTGGAAGCATATCAAATATGGGCGGAACTGCTACTGAATCATCGACAACGGAGCAGGTGCCCATCATTGAGGCTATCCTTAGTCTTCGTGGGGATTCGCACTGCCAACACGAGACTTTACCGTCGCCACCAGCATCATTATTTGGTATTGAACTACATGGTTGCCCAGGTGTTACAATGAGCCGGTTGAGAGATATGGTGCTTAACACACAGGAACCCGATGAGGTTCGTGTAAACGCGCTGTACTCCATTATTACCGAAGACGACGTTGATTTTGTGCGCGGGTTGTTGGCATTGCACGGGGATGGTGATCGTAAGAAGCAAGGTATCAGTGCAAGCTGCTTCAACGACATGTCAAGTCGCATGAAATTAGCACTTGTGGAATTGATGTCTATACTCCAGCCTAGTGGATGTGTGGATTTCATTACACATATGTCATACGACGTTATTTCGTCCATTATTTGCTTGGAAGTGAAAACGAACGAGATAGCTTGGTTTTTGCTCCAGGACCCGTTTACTACTCTCTCGCGCTTTATCCTTTCCACGGAGGAGTTGGAGATAATTGTGGTGTCATTACTTAAGACCACATTGGACAAAATAAACGAAATGCTTTCAGCTGAAATGAATCTGCGCATTAACGGAGGCACGCCATCGCGCGAGTCTATTTTGTGGCGCAATGCCGAAAGTCTGGCATCTCTGGCAGCTGCTGTAGTGCTTCACTATGATCCGGATACACTAGGCGAAGTTGATCCAAGCAAGTTAGTGGGCTCAGGAAGTGAAGACACGACTGGATGCTTGGTCTTCTGGAAGTGTGAACGCGCCATTTGGCACGAGGCTGAGCTTGTGGACTCAATTCTGGGTATCTGGCAGCACTTTGCTTCTCATTTTCACTCGAATTCAGATGCCAGTTTTGCACGACGATCTAGCAATGCCAGTAGTCGCCGTAACAGTAGTGCCATTCGCTCTGTGGATAGTGGTTTGCAAAGTCCTCCATCCTTGAGCGCCTCTGCGCGTTCAAATGCTGGTACGAGTATGCTTGGATTTGGTTTCAACCTGCTGCCTACTGGTGGCACTCCAAGCGCACCAGCATCTCATTCCCCACTCGCACAGCCGTTAGGAGGAGGCAACATTACCGCACGTCCTCACCCTGGCGGCCCGATGCGTCAGATTCTGCAGTTGCTGTTGCGATGTTTGTACCTTGTACTTATTTCTGATGATTACGCAAATTCTGCTTGTAGCGAAGGCGATGAAAACGATGAATTCACATCGGTAAAGCTGCGGCTTCCCGCCAACTCGGTGTTTTTTGCACGCATTAACAAACTGGAATATTTCATTAACGCAATGGGTCTGGGTCACGAGACTGCGCAGTTCGAGTCGAGCTTTGCACCTTCTCGCTCCGGTTCTAACGGTTTGACAACCACGGCTGGGTTAGTCACAGCATCTGAATACGTAAAGTCTTCCCCTGGTGACGAAACGACACTGCTTCTCTGGCTAATCCCTGAGCTTTCGTTGCTAATTGATCGCGTGCGGCGAAAGTGCTGGTCCGAGTCGGCAGTTAAGCTAGCAAGCATTCTTGCATCTTTGGTGTCCGTACCTCTGCGCTCGTCCGACCAACTAGCGGAGCTGTTGGCTCGAAATGATTTTGCCGCAAACAATCAAGAAGTTTGTCGTCGTGATTGCTTCTACCATGAACAGATGGCACATGCACGTGACATCCGAGCTATGCGTCGAATTGGCATGTTCGACGAGGAAGCTGATGAAAAGAATCGTGCCAAGGCCGAGCTGGAGCGAATAAGCAAGTTTACCCGTTCTGCGACTTCACCAGATGAATCTTCTAGCGACGGTGAGGATTGTGTTTGGTTGGAGCGTGTAAAAGCGAAGGACATTGGCGACTGGATGAAGCTTCGAGTACTGGCCAAATGGGGCGTTCGTCATGTGTGGGGAGTAAAGGATGAGGTGGTGGTAAACACTGCGGATAATGGTACCATTGTTGGGCTCTGGGGCGACAACGAGTTCTGGCGTGTGGACATCTACACGTCTAGCAATTGGATCCGTTGTCGTTTGCTTCCAGATACGGACGATGCTACTTCTCGCAACTACAGTTCAGAGCTTTCTGCGTCAAGTCTGAAGCATAATATAGTAAACAACATGGCAGACGAGTTGGCTATGCCAGCTGTGGACTCTATAGTCGTGGATGATGCAGCTCTTACGGCACCTGGTGATTCGACGGATCAAACAGTTGAAGAGGAAGCTGACGAGGCTCACACTGGTGACGGAGATGGGTCGGATTCTGCGGAGGTCGAAGAACCGGGATGTGTCGTATTGACGCAGCACGATAGCGACGCGGAATGTTTGGATGACGACAATAACATGGCCCATGTCGATACTAGCGACACCGATAGCGACCAAGCGCGATCGATGCTGCCTGATGGCATGCACAGTAGCGATAGCGCTGGAGAGGTCGTAGATTCATTGCAACACACAGATGATGCCTTTGACCAAAACCCAGATGCGCCGTTAGCATCATCGGCACCGGAGAATAACGAGGATACGGCTAGTATCGGTATGGGCTTCCCCACTAGAGATCACCGTGCTGGATCAGTAGACGTGGCAACCACTGTCAAGTCTACAAAGGGCCGCATTGGAACGATGTCGACGCGGTTTTCATCTGGCATTAAGCGTTTGGCAGGTGCACGTCCGACTGCTTTGTCAGCGTCGACAGGATCTGAAATTGGCGGAGCTTCTAAAAGTCTCTCAAGTGTATCAGAAGGTGGCGGTAATGCCCACGATCTTCAGGATTCACCATTCCTAGGTGCAGCAGCAGAAAACGGCATTGCTCCGTCAAGCAAGGAAACTCTAGAGCCTTCCAGTCCAGCAGAATCAAAGTTATCTGGCCCTGCATCGTCACCACATATGAAGAAGATTCCAAGTAAGCAGGATCACTGGAAAACGCTGGGAGCACCATATCGCACCAACGCATATCTTGTGCTGCCGTCAGGCGTGTTGGTGCGCGGTGTTCTGCGTATTGGTGCTGCGACCATTGTCTTCGAGGGCGAGCGCGTGGTGACCCTGCGTGGCATTGCTGACGCGTTCAAGTCAAACGAGGATAGAGGTGTTGCTGCTCGACAGCGCAGCGCCCAACGACTTCACAAAACGCACGTGTCGCAATTAAAACGCCGTGTGTGGGGTGTCCGCGTGATCCGTGTAATTCATCGACGGCGGTTCCTTATGGAGGCCCAAAACGGCCTTGAAATCTACTTTGTGGATGGTAGCTCATGTTTTTTCGGGCTTGAGAGCTATGGAGAAGCTGATTTGGTGTATGCTACATTAAAAGAGCGCAAACCTCCATGTCTTGCGACGTGGGGCAAGAGATTTTTGACAGCTGAACGAATGTTTTCTAAAAGCAAGTGGACCGAGATGTGGGTTCGACGCGAGATCAGCAATTTTGAGTACTTGATGGCACTGAACGTCTCAGCGGGCCGTTCTTATAATGATGTCTCACAGTACCCTGTTTTCCCCTGGGTCATCAAGGATTATGATTCTGCGGAGCTACAGTTGGACGATGATAACATTTATCGTGACTTGCGCCGGCCAATTGGTGCTCAAACACCTGAGGCTACTGAGCGTGCGCGAGCAACGTACAAGAATTGGGATCCAAAGACACCCATCCCAGCCTTTCACTACGCAAATTCGTACTCACACATGCAGTCTGTGCTGTATTTCTTGATTCGTCTGGCCCCCTTTACTGAAGCTGCGTTAGGCAGCGAGGAGCAGCAGTTCTGTTGCAGATCTGTTGATGAACCTACGTTTGATTCAGTGCCTGACGCTTTTCGGATGTGTACAAATGATCAGCGCTACATGTTTGAATTGACACCGGAGTTTTTCTACCTACCAGAGCTATTTTCAAGTGCTCGAAACAAAACCCTGGCTCGCCACTTTAGCCCAGGACAGGATGTTAGTGCGACGGCGGGTCTCGCGCGGGATGTAGTACTACCACCTTGGGCTACATCTCCATATGATTTTGTGCGACTTCACCGCCTAGCGCTGGAAAGCGACTTTGTTTCGAAAAACCTTCACTACTGGATTGATCTTATATTCGGCTACAAACAGACCGGTTTGGTTGCTGTGGATGCGTTGAACTCATACCATATTGCTTGCTACCCGGAGCGTTTGGATCTCAAAACCTCAAGCGATGGTGTACGTGCGAAGCTTGTTCAGCGTGGCACTGTGCCAATCCAGCTTTTCCGTAAGCCTCACCCTGCTCGAATGACTCAAGATGAGTCACTAGAGGCACGATTCCCAGCCTCGCATAGCATGGCGAAGCTATCTTCACGACGACAGGTGCGCCGTCATGATCTTCCATCCAAACACACCGCAGCTGTGAAGAGCGTGCGCTTTTCGAATGCACTGAACCATGCGGTGGCACTTACAGCACTTACTGGGTCCAGTCCTGGACTCGGAAGTGGTACCGGCATGGGGGCCCACAGCACCAGCAGCAATGACCACGGAGTTGTTGTGTATACGACAGACAGTGACGGCGTTGTTTTGGCAAAGCGTTACTTGAACACAGTACCAGATACGGCGCGCTCTTGCCCATTCTCGATGGTGGATGTGGACCAATGGTGGAAGCTTCCTGCGGGCTGTCTTGTTAATGAAGGCGTGGTGTTTTACGAGCAAATGATTAGTTGTGGTTACTGGGATGGCAGCTGGCGCATTCACTGGGCAGCTGATGGCGAGCTCTTGCAACGAATCGCCTTCCACCAAAAGCCCATTTTGTGTATGGCTCGAAGCGAGGACGACTTTACTGGCGATTTGGCATTGGCTTTTGGCAGTGAAGATTGTACTGTTTCGATTTGGGCTTTGTCAAAACTCTCAGCGTCTCGCTCACGACGGTTTTTTGTTAAAAAGGAGCTACCTGTGGGTGGTTTGCCTTGGGTTTTGCTGGTGGGCCACACGAGTCCAGTAGTTGCCGTGGCGCTTAATGTGGACCTAGATGTGGTGGTTAGTGCCTCCAAGGATAACATGCTTTTGTTACATTCGCTTCGCGGTTCGACGCCTCTTCATGCTTTGGCGCTGACGCCTGGGCCAATGGAAACGTCTGCTGTCGCCCACATGGTCATTTCGGCTCAGGGCGATACGCTGGTTCACTCCATCACAACTCATAAGACCCAGCGAAGTGGGCGTTACTCTCGTGCAAATTCGCTATTTTCTGATGACAAGGCTAGGCTTACAGTCGGTAAGGGAAGTGGCAATAGCAGCATGGTGGCAGGTGGTTTGTCGAGCAGTGGATATGTCGCCACGAGTGACCAGGAGCCGTATGACGGCTCAGAAAAGCAATCTGAACTTTACGTAGTGTCTATTAACGGTCATGTGGTTTCTCATGACAAACTCATAACCCGAGATGGAGGTGAGGAAACAACTGATGACTGCAGGCCTCATTTGCTTTTAGATCGTGGTGTGTTATTCACACGCTCAGGTGAGTATCTGATCACGGCGTGCGCTAGTGCGGAAGCAGCTATTGAAGTGCGTGACGCCGGCTTGCCTGGGTTTGTGGTCCGTCGTATCGAATGCAAGCGTCCAGGATCCGAGCTGACGAGTTTGAGCATGGGACAAGATGAGCGTTGTATCGTATGCGGCTATGCTGATGGAGCTGTGGTAGCCTATGCTCTTCATTTTGGTGTTGCTGATGGCTGCAAGAGTCTTGTAGGATTGGACAAGCAGGCACGGGAACGCGAGCGTACTGCTCTTGCACAAGCTACTAAGCGTGACTTGCTGCGTAATAAGAGGCGAGAAGATCTGTTACCTGCCTTTATGCGCAGTACTAGTGGCGTGGAAGGCACTGCTCTTTGGTTACGGCAGGGAAAGAGCCCAATGCCTGAAGAGCCGTACATTACGCATATGCAGGAGCAATATGCACTGCTGAAGCAGAATTGCGTCAGTGGAGATGAAAAGTACGAAGAAATGCTTCGTAACCTATGGAACGCCATTTATTCGCAGCATCCATTCCAAAAAAAGAAGCTGTCTACTTCCGGTCAATCTGACCCTTTTGCAGAGGGCAATCTGCTAGATTTTAGTTACAATGACCAGACTGGCAGTAGTGCCGTTGCTTCCGAACCGGCTCAAGAGCTGCAATTCGAACGAGTTGGAGAATCATGGAGTCGGTTGGGTTTTCAGCGTCCAGACCCGACAACAGATTTTCGTGCCGGCGGCATGCTGAGCTTGGATTGTTTGGTGTACTTTGCATCGCACTACACTTCCCAAGCTGTGCGTATGGTGACTAGTCAGGTACCGGGGTCACACGACCACACGTACCCGTGGGGCCCCGCGGGTATCAATGTGACTTGCATGGTGGCACGCCTTTTCTGGAAATTTGATGGCGAGCTCGTTCGTGCACAACAGAATAATTGGCCACTGTTTTACGACAATGATGCCTTCCGTCTGTTCTTTTCAGAGGTGTTCGTGCTTTTCGACTATCTCTGGAACGATATGAACGCCAACTATGGCAATTTCTCTGGTAAGTTTGTATTTGGTTGATGTATACATGTTTGGAAGTGCAGAGAACTCAAGCCTTTTTTGTATTTGATGCAGTGGTGATTCAAACAACAAGCGACCGAGTCATAGACGTGCTGGAAGAAGCCCAGGGCGATATGAACGTGGTGTTGATGGAGCTACGCTCGCAGAGTCTGTCTAGAAAACAGCAACGAACATCTTCGCGCTCGATGCAGGATTTTCTAACATGTAGCAATCCAAACGTTGCCGATGCTCCAGCGACCGTGAAGGAGGGTCCTTCCTCTTCAAATGGCGCAAGCTCCTCGCCTCCTAGCAAGTCGCCACGGTCTTCGTGGTCATTCACTGCACAGGTCTCACAGTCTGTCAATCGGTTCAGCCTGGGCGCTATCGGTTCTTCGGTGCCGCTGCAACGACAGAACCCGTTCTCCTTCCAGGCTTTGGCGAAAGCGGCTCGTCAGAGTCAACACCAGTTGCCTCTACAGATACACTGGTGCCTGATTTGAACGACCCTTTTGCAGGAAATGATATTTGTGGATTGAAAGAGAAGCCGCCTTCGCCGCCCCCAGTGCAGAGCGAAGACCCCTTTGCGTGCTTACTGTGATACGATCATGTGGGAAATAGCCAAAATACCTAGATAGACTCTGTACAGCGGAAAAATTCGTAAGCAACAAGAGGCAATGCAGTTCATTCATTTAAAAAAGGACGAAAGCTCAGATGCTGTGATGCAGGTCAGCCTACAGTCAAAAGGGTATCCGACCTCGTGTCTGTATGGTCGTCTCTCACCAAAAGAGGTTGTCAACAGCAACATCCTCGTTTGCCTTGCGTCGGAAAACCGCAATGTACATCTTGCCACCACCACGAGCAACTTTCTTGCTCTCTTCTGTCTCTTCCATCATAGCTTTCACACACGGATCGGAATCCTGTCACACAACATTTGTTTTTTTCAGCTTCAATGTACGATACATCTCCCACGGTTTTTTCGTCTTCTCAATTTTCTACCATACCAGCTCGCTGTTCATGATACGGGTAAAACACGGATGACTTGAGCACTTTTCCACGTGCCACTTGTGTAGCTCTTCCACGTCAGTAATAGTATACAGGATCCCACCAGGAGCCAAGAAATAGGCATATTCCGCAAGTAATGGTGTACTACACAAACACGACATTATCAAGCACCAATCAGTACCTTTGGATATCCACATCCCGCCGTATTTTTCCTCGACACAACAATCAATATCAAGAGTCTTTTCCATACTGGACAATACGACGACGATGTAATCGCGTCTTGAATTGTGGATCTGGAAAGCAGAAAAACATCTTGCGAATTTGTCCTTTATCAAAGTAATGAGGTAAATAGCGCATGGCATTTGTCCGAAGCACAGACACGTTCTGGAATTGACCACTGTGCTCCTTACGTAATGCTTCAATACGTAAACGCACATATTCCGTCACTTTTGCACGAATTTCAAGTGCCAGTGTCAATTTTTCAGGATAAAGCTCAGCTAGCTTTACTATAAACCGACAAACACAGCATGATAGTTCTTGTGAATTGTAGTAATCCATATAGATAGCAAAGTACTGGGAGTACTCAACCTGTAAGTCCACCAAAACCACAGCCAATATCCAAAAAGTCCACACACCTAATTGCCATAACAATAACCCCATGAGACCAGTCATACTACTAGCTTCAGCCAGTCATATATAGTTCTGCATTATAAACCGAACTTAATGAGCTTCATTTCATACGGAGTTTGAATATCCGGATAATGTCGAGTCCAATCCATCTGATTCGGTGTCTGTGGACTAGGAGAAAGAAAAAAAAGCGTTTGATAAAGACACGATTATAGTTATATTACCACGGAACAATAGTGTTTACGTACTAGTTGAAACAATCATTATGCGACAATGGATTACAATGTGCACGAGAGCGGTAATATTTCTTTTGTGGCAGTTTCATGAACGTCTGCACGTCATTCTCAGGTGTCGTTATCATTTTGTAAAGGTGGTGGGTGGCTCTTGGGTATTGCATCCACTCAAATGGCACTTTTAAATTTCTAAATTCAAAATTTGACATTCGAAATTTGAGCAATTATTCAACCAGCTTTTTGATCCCTCGTCTTACTGACATACGAAACTAAATTTATAGTACTCACATGACGTCGGTGGAGTTCCCAGTGGGTCGCTGTATGGAATGCAATATGGACGCAATGTATTTAGACCGTATCCTACTGGAACACTTTGCATTGCGCGTATGTATGACATGTAAACAAGATCAAACGCTTCATCATGGCGCGTTTGAGCTCGTGTCCAAATCTCGTGCGCGTGTTGAATACGCACTACCTGCTTCGTGTTTCGAGGGGTTACCATGTTTACGTAAGCGTAATCCACACCATGAAGCATTTGCTCCTCTACAACTTTATTTACGCCGACAATTAATACAAGAAGCTGATCGATTATATGGAAATAAAGAGGGACTAGAACAAGAGATACAAAAGCGCAAGAAAAAGGCCTTTCAAGTCGCCGCAAAGAGGACAAACCATCTTTTGAAACGAAAGCATTTACTGCGAGGTGATCAAGATATTGAGCAGATGATACAAGAAGAAAAGAAGAAGACAAAAGTACAGGATGTACCACTAGTAGCCGATACGGAGGACCATTGTCATGATTTTAAAACGGAGAAATTCCATGAAGAAACGAAAACCTGGACGAAAACATGTGAGTGTGGTATGCACGTGGAATTTGAACAATGGTGACCATAGAAGGAGGTATGGAATTTGTGGAAAGCACGTGATACAATAATAACAAATGACACGAGTTGATTACTTATAAATTTTGTCTGGAGGAAAAAGCAGCTACAATAAATTTAGAATAGCTGTGGTGGATCTGTGTGTGTTGTGATGTGATGGAGGACGATAAGTTACTTCGATTGTCGAGTGCGGCCAATAAAGTCTTCATAACGAGCAGTCATGTATACTGCCAAACCAGTTAATGCTGCCATGCGCAAATTTGGACTCAGCTTGTACAATTGTGTAGCTACTAATGTCGAGTCCTCTTTGCACGGCACGGGCTTCCATGGCACACCACATATGTTGACATGGCTCAGACAGCAGTAATATTTGGGTCTTTGGTCCTCGTCTCCATCAAGAAGAGCCTGGGGTAGCTCAAAGGTCTGTGCTTGATGTCGTCCTGTCAGCGTAATACGCAACATTGTTTTCTTGCTTGCCACCACCTTTCGAGGAAGTACAAATTCTTGCAGCATCATGTCATTCTTGACATCAAAGTCAGGAGAAATGTAGAATGGTTTGGTAGCTGATTTGCGCATACCTAGAAACTGGTTTTGCCAACTTGTTGTGCCATGCTGCTTTGTCATCACGTCATTGACGTCAAAGAACTCAAATTGAACTCGTTTGGGTGCGTAGGTAGGACTGTCCGGATGCCAGAAGACTCGATAAGGAACAATCTGCACGGCATTTACCACGCATGCACCATTAAATGCATAGTCAATATATTCCGTTGCATTCTGATTTGTTGACACGGAGCTACTCCAGTAGCACGATTGGCCTGATGAGCAGCCACAACATTGTTGCAACCGTTCACCCAATGTCGTCAACTCTGTTTCTTCCATCTCCTTAGCCCGTAGCTGATGCAACTCCATCCAACAACGTGAAGGCGTGAGTGTATTCACTGGTGACTCACTTGGTCGATCAGCAGATGAAAATGCTTCAACACTTCCCAGTAGTTGCGTGTCATCGGTTGCAGTGCGTTGCGCAAGACACGCAATTGCTTTCCACCACGTCTCATGGCTCAATGTCTCACTACACGTCACATGAGCAATGACTAACTCTTTCCAGAGTTCTAGATACAATAAATACAACATCGCCACAAGAAAAAGACAACGTCAACAACATTCACAATAACTCAACAAGACCTCAACAATAAAGACGCACCGTGTTCACGCGTAAGCTTCAACATTGTACGTGATGTCTGTTCAGCAGCATGCAGTGTCGAGTGGTCAAGGAATTGCAGTACGTGCAATATCAGTATCGTCGGCAATTGGTCCATTTTATTCTCGTTTCTTTTCTTCACTCGTCGCTTCTTCCGTGTTTTCAATGACTTCAATGACTCGGGACTTGAGCTCTTTTCTTCAAGTTGGCAAATGAACGTTACGTTCAAGTAGACAACGAAAATGACAAAACGTGATGCTAAGAGGAAAAGGAAAAAGCTCGCCTATAAAATAATATTGAGGTAATGAATGGTTGTTCCTAATTCAGTACATGAATATTAGATATGTAAGGGTTTTACCTTGTAAAGTCATTTCATAATGTATGTGTATTAATTGTTACAGTCGATTCCTTCGTCTTCATCTTAGTCTTGTTCTTCTTGTGTTGTTGAAAGCATTACGAGATAACTACAAGTTTTAGATAAGTTTCTCATTCCTGCAACTGCTTTCGTCAGTGGCTCGTTCTCAAACATGCGATGATTGTATTTACAAATGTTCAGTCTATATGCATGGTTTTGTCTCACATTCAACACCCAGTAAGTGTAAAACCACTGGGGAATTTTGTGTTTCTCTCGATATATACGCATTCTGTCATTTTTTTCTCGATGGTTAGACCCCTGAAATAAAAACCAACGACGTTTTGGATTATTATTACTAATTACCTGCATTAATTGATGACCGTGTTTATGCTTACGTAGTACTATGATCAGTTGTTTGAGTAAACAAAGGTAATATTATGAATAAACTTAGGAAAAAGCTTTTTGTAATTAAATATTGTTGTCTGTAAAAAGAGCCGTTGGAAGGCAAATCAATATTTATTTCGACTGGGTTTGTCACAGGCATGGATTGACCTTGTAGGTTTTTTATTTTTACACGATGATCATGATAAAGGTCGAACGACCTCACTCTTATTCCCAATATTTGTAATAGAAAATATCGCAATAATATCCAGATTATCATCATACCATCCTTCCACGTTCAATGCAGTGACTGACTGACTGACTTATTGGTACTGCTCAAGCGGGAATCAAGAATTTTGTCGGAACAGTCCGTAGAGCGCTGAGGGTCGTGGAACTCGTGCAGATTCTGCTTTGTACCAATATTAATCAGCACAAATCCAACGATAACAAGCGCTGAAGCCACAAGTGTCACGTTCGTGGGCGGCATGTTTTGAAACCAAAAGTCGGCCACAATCGCTAGTGGGACGGTCAGTGATAGTCCAACCGTAGCCACAGTCGGTGACGTAAGCAGCACGGCACGTGCCCAGAGGTAGTCCGACAACACGTTATCAAACAGACCCTTCACACTGATGAGAAGAATGATCTCGAGTGATAAACCACTGAGTGACTCAATGCTGGAATAGTGAAAGACCACGACAAATGGCAGCAGACATACCATGTTGATAATCCCAATGATTCCAAAAAACAGTAAAATGCTTACGCTCTCATCATCAGGAATTAGTTGACGAATTGCTGTCGTATACACAGCGTACATGAAGGCAGCAAAAAGCGCTACGAGGTCTCCAACCACATGATCCGTACCACCATTCGTCTCTCCGTCGTTGAAAATCGTCGAAATGTTGCCTGCCATACAGAAAATCACGCCTGCTAGTTTCATCCAGACAAAAGGTTCCTTTAGAGCTACAACACTCAGTAGAAATGTGAATACGGTGGACGTCGAACTAACGATCGTGCTGCTTGACACACTCGTTAGGTTCAGACTCTCGTTGTACGTAAAGTTGGCAATGAACCAGAGCGGCGAGATGATGGCACTGATGCGAAAGATTTGGAAGTAGCTGGTCTGTGCACTTGATCTTTGTTGCAGTTCCTTGTCACTGAGCTTGCCATTTGTTGGTAAAGCACGAAACCACGCCTTCTTGAGTCTTGAATACAACACGTGTGATGCGTACCAGAGTGGAAGATTTACCGAGAAGAGTGAAATGCCAACGTATGTAAGGAAAAAAGGGCTTTGAAAGCTTAAGGTGTGGAAAATATACTGCACTAATACGCTCGCAAACGTCCAAATGAGCGCTACAATCACGAGGAACGCGACGCCGAGCAACCAGTCAAAAGTCGAGCGCTGGTATTGCTTCCTTTGTCTAGTGTGTTGGTGGTTTGTGGTGCCATTCAGCAACGCATCACGCTCCATTGCTTCACTATCGGATAATGTTGTAGATGTGAGTGATGTAGAGGAAGCAAACGGCTCCTTCGTGGTGTTCATTGAAGACATTTGGCCCACAAAATCTGAGTCATTGTAAACTAGGATTGTCATTGGTGAATGAAGCTTTCATATCGATAATAATGTGGTGCACGTGACACAAATCAGTGTCGTCTCGGCTATGTCATGTCTAAAAATAGCTGCGTTGTATAGCATGGCCATTTGTGCGAGTAGGCGATTTTTCTTTTTTGGTACTGTTCTCAGAGTCAAAATACCGGTACAAATACCGTGAATCAGGGATGATGCCATCTTCATAACGACAGTCATTACGATTTGTTCTCAGCCTTTTACCATGGCGTCTTGTAGTACGTTAAAGAGTTTAAGCGCATTTACAAGCACTAGTAACGACTTTAGTCATAATCATCACTCGGCATCCACACAATCTTTTGCTGGTCAACTTAACATTGAAATCCTGGGCGCTCGGAATCTATCGCCTGCAGTACTTGGGAGTTTATTCAAATGGACACCAAGTTATTCGAATCCATATATCGTCATATCGTTAGATCGTGAACGGTTTGTCTCAAGTGTAAAGAAAAAAGACTTGAACCCGAGTTGGAAGGAAACAGGTCGACTGAATGTACCGCTTCCATCCGAGACTGAAATGTTACAAACGAGTGGAATTCCAGGCGGTAGATTTGGTGACAATGGAAGCAAGAAAGATACAGTGGAGCATTTGACAATGAAAAAGACTGGAACTGCTACTGCTACTGTGGCAGCTGCAATGGGGTATCGACAATATTATCCATGTGCACCGGAGCTTGATGTCCAGATTTTTCATCGTTCCGACGAGATAACCGATACTATGGCAAATGCTGCTTCCACGTCCAATGCATTGGATAATTCCAATTATGTAGCAGCTCTAGGACCGGATGATAAACTAATTGGTGCTGTGATTGTACCATTATTACCATGTCTTATGACAAGTGTTTCGAGTTTTCGAGGATGGTATCAATTAACGGATGAAGAGTCCCAGAAAGCAGGACAATTGCAGCTTTCATTGAGCTTTGATGTTTCTGCTGCAACGAATCATTTGGAACCACGGAAGGGAGATATTGTACGATTGACGGGCTTTGGAGGACTCGAGTATTACTCGAAAATTCTACCACCGGGTGCAAGACTTGAGGTGCTGGATACATTCCAGGATCAAGTGTTTGTTCAGACGCGTAGTCTAGAAGGATGGCCGTTGAGTTTTGAACTACATCGTAATTTGGTGCATGTTGAACGCCGTCCATCGCTCTTTCATGATGCCTCCGAGCAACTCCACAATCAAGTGACGCGAGTGCGTCAATTGCGTGTTGTCACAAGCGCGCAACGTGTTTGGCGTACTTTGCCAGAAACGCCACGAGCTCAACTTGAAAACTCGGCTGCGTTTGTGGCTTTCTTTGGCACCCAGGCGTATTCCATGATAATGCGCAGTGTGCATGATCTGCTACGTTCTGGCGTGTATTCCGGTGTACAAACGTTTGTGTCAAGTTCAAAGGACGCGTTTGGACAGGTGAAACACGAGTTTGTACGTGTGTACTGGAGTGCACCGAGGCGTGTGACTTCTGGATATTTAGACGCTGGCTACGATGACGACCTGATTGACTGCGGACCTCGTACCAATCGTGGGCATATTGTGCGTGCTTTTACGGCCGCAGACCGCTTGGCCGTTGAGTATGAGGATCAAGACGAGGAGGAACTGATGATGCACTGGAAAACATATGAAGACAGCGAAGAGTTCAAGCAGCAAGAAGCTCAAGAAGGCAACGAAGACGAGTCTGATGTACCTGAGCAACTCATTTGTCCTATTACTGGCTGTCCAATGTTGGATCCTGTTGTCGCTGCGGATGGACACAGTTACGAAAGAGAGGCTATTTTGCAGTGGTTTAAAACGAGTGACATCTCGCCAATGACGGGCATGCATATACCTACGAAGCAGGTATTCTCAAATTTTACGTTGCGCCAACTTTCCGAGGAAGTTCGTGCCGCAGCCGCTCGTCGTCAACAGACCAAAAGAGAGCTACACTCACTGAAGTAGATGAGCAGGCTTTTGAGTAAGGTATATGGAGTTGAAGATATAGTGGCATGTCGTGAAACAAAGCCAAGAGTGCAGTCAACAGGATGTATGTGTCTTCTGTAGTTAATTTATGAGGTCAGACAAATATGAAGGCACATCGTGAGGGCACAGTGACGACTTGCTTCACTGTGAATGAAAACAAGAAAACCTTTAGATAAAGCATTCTTCATCAAGTCGTGACATGTCTACAATCATTCACTCATACTTCCACAGCTTCCTGAGCTGCTTAAGTAGATCGTCTTGACCAAAACGTCGTAGCCAAGGATTGGCAAAGTCATCTATCTATAGCGTCTAGTCCATTCGCTTCGCGTACGCTACATCTTTGATCCTTGCCAATCTAGCTTATGCTACGAGCAGGATGCAAACACAGAGCAGCCTCATGTTGCTGTGAGAATGTCAAACCCATTTGCCGACCGCAGGATTCGTCGAGTGCCCACACGATTGTGTCGTCGCTCTCAAGGTAGTAGCGCTTTCTCCATAATCTCTAAAACCAGCGATCAAAACTTGACAAACACCTTGCGAGCTCAAAAGTCTTCGAGAGCACCGTGTGATCATGCAACGATCGCGTACGTCGACGTTATATAAGCTATGGCTTTAACATCCTTTCATAGAATCTTGACACTGGAGACAATGTCCTTGTAATTGAGCCTTACTTACGTCCCTCTCTTTAAACGTCTAGTTCTTCTCTTTGTCCAAGAAGAGCATACCTCATCCAAAGTGTCGTGTGCATGCCATGTCATGATTGAGCGTTGAATCCCGTTCAAGGGCTGACCGATATACTTCCAATGACCCTTTACAAAACAGTGAATGCCTTGTAGCTCATGCTCATCCATCCATCGCCTTGGCATACCTTGTCGGAAAAGAAGACACAATGGATATGTTTTCTCAGACAGCATTCACAACTCGGAACACCAAACAATGAGTTTACAAACACACACAAACCATTGATCAGTAAGGACGCTGCACTCTAATGATTCCACATGCATTGATTGATAAAGCCAGTGTTGGTACTATTGCATTCACCGATGATCAACAAGTGCAGCGCTTCTTCATAACAAACCACGTCTTCCGGACATGAATAATGCTGTAACCTCAGGAAGTGAACGACATGACATATTCGACCATCATGATTGTGAGCGCATCAATAGGGTGTTGTCCACCTATCGTACAAACCGGATGGTCCTACATGAAATAAACTCGTTGCAATCTTAGCCATAGAATACTGCCCATTGCATTGCATAGATTCGCATTAGCATACGCTCAAAAAGCATTGAGCAATTAGCACTAGCTAGGCGCTTCAAGAATGTATCGTTTTACGAATGGCTCGTAATGCATAGTACAAACAAAGCGTGTGAATATGTCGAATGAAGCAGCAGATCAATGTAAAGGGCTTTCGTCGTGAATTTGGACTTCGACTACTGGACGTCTGTCTACTTCTGCTCACAAGTAGTGTCGGCCGGATATGAATCAGCAGAAAGGTGCATGCTGTAGTCTTGTCGTACTTGTTCACCTATTGTCGTTTTAGCGTTCAGCGAGGAAAGTCTCCACGAAAAAAGAACACGTCACGACGTCCGATTCCCTTGTGTCCATCAGCCCATCCAGAATTACGTTCCAAAAACTGGCTTCCATTTGAAAAAAAAGTGGACAACGTTCTCTTCATGGGATCGATAGACCTACCCAGTGCAGTGTAGTAGTGAATGTACCTTCATGTCCACTGACCGCATCTCTGGCACCTGCTGATTGACTGTAATGGACTTCCATGTGGAAATCGGTAATTACAAAGTGTTGTTGCTGATCCAGCTGTGCTTAGCTGATCTGCTTATAGACATCCTCAATATTACTTGCAGCAGCTGAAGGATGGACAACAGGTGGTTCTTTTTTCCATCACAGCACAGCGCAAGGTAAGCATGATCCAACAAGGTGTTCACGATGAATTTATTTACGTCTAAGGAATAAGAGTTAGAGACAAACATTTGGTATTCCATGAACAATGCTGTCGTGGATGCAACGTGGTTAAACGGACGTTAGCCTTATATTCTTGGTCTGCTCAAGGTGTTCAGAGTATAAGGTGTTCAGTTCAATCCGACACGTACATAAACTCGCTTTTGTTGCTTCAGGAGGACCCATTATCGTTGAGCAAGAAATTTTGTTAAAATCTTGAAGACAAACTTACAGTTCTCTAACGTATTGGAAAAAACTGGGTGCGCTAAGGCTTTTGTCGCTGGCATTATATTGATGTAAATAATATAGGAGAGGGAATGTCAATCATTACGTTTTACGAGATAGTTTCTAATCAAAGCGATATCTTCTGAGCTGTTGTCTATATGTAACATAACGACTGTTCCATGTCCACATCATGAAGATAGATAACCTTTGGTTTATTTCGATTACGAAAGGACGATAACGGTGGAAAGTCGTGGGCCTTTGTACACTTTTTTATGTGGCTACGGTGCGTCGTCAGTCACGTTGGGATCATAAATAGTCCATTTTTATCAATGAAAGAAGCCAATATACAGCGCCTACCTTCTTGCAACAAATTAAAACGCATGTTTCTCGGTTGTGAACTATACGACCATCAAGTGACGGTACCGTAAATGTCTTGATTATAACGTACAGATGACATGCAACAATATGACGATCGTGCTTGTCTCTCTCTACCAGAATTGAGGTTACCAAAGGACAACATGAAGCCAGTCTTATGTTTTCAATGACACTGAATTCTAACTCGACATTCTCGCACAACTTTCCATCGTATGCTGGGGAGATTGAAGAAAAAACGCATGGCTTTTGTGTAAAACGTTCATTCGAGGATTGACCATCAAAAGCTCAAGCAAGAGAACTTGGTTTGAAGCATTTTTTTAAGAAACTCCAAGACGTTACTACAGCACATGATTCCGTCCTGCAAACGGCGTTTGCGAATGACATCGTCCTTGACGATGCTTTTGCTTGCATTTACAATGGTCATGGCGACTTTATTACACACAACTTCCGGCCACTCGGTGTTACGGAAAGAACATGGCATGAATGAAGTGGATACACGTCGACTAAGCGGAGGTGGCGGTGATCCAAGCAAAACCGTACCATTTAGTTCATGGAGTAATACTATCAAAACACTTCAATATGTCTTGGCATTTCTTGTCGTCCTCGTGGCTGCACACCCTCTTGGACTCTTTTTTCCGAGATTCTTCAAGCTACCGCTCATTACGGGCTATCTCTTCATTGGCATTCTCGCCGGTCCATTTGTCTCCAACTTGCTCTCAGCGGAACTTGTGGCAATGCTATCGAGCTACGTGAGTGCTTTGGCACTGTCATTCATCTCATTCCAGGCAGGTCAAGAAATCTACTTACCCGAGCTACGCCCGCAACTCAGGTCGATCATGCTTCTTCTCGGTGTGCTGTACGTGACGGCCATGATCATTGTGACTTCCATGATGATGCTCACTGAGAACGCCTTTTTCTATAGCGATATGGGATTGGTGTGTCAATTGGGTATTGCGCTCATGTTTGGATCGATTTCCGTGTTGGGGTCGCCGGCTACGGTCATGGCGATTAAGATTGAGCTAAACAGTGTTGGCCCATTCACGAGTCTGATGTTGGGTGCGACCATGACTGCGGAGTTCATCGTGCTCATTTCGTTCTCTATAGCACGTATCGTAACTTCCATCTACTGTGCAAAGCTGAATGTATCGATGCTGAACCTGCTGTTTACAATGAGTATTGTGGGGTCCAATGTATTGGTAGGTCTTCTCATTGGTGGCGTGATTATCTTAATATTCAAGATTCCTGGAGGTGGGTTGCATCACGATGAGCATGACGATCATCACGGAGCGGCAAGACATAGTACGGAATCATACCAAGGTCAGAAAACTGATGAAAAGGTTGCTCCTACGAATCCTGACATGGATCCACATCCACGGTTGGATGAACACATGCACGAACCTCCTGGGTTTCTGACTCCGGAGAGATCACTGTCACTCAAGGGCTTTATTTGGCTATCAATGGGCTACTTCTTCTACATTTCAAGCTCCCTATTTGCTGAAATCACTGTCGCAGCATTCGGACTGTCGTGGGAGATCAAGTTTGAAGCGCTTCTTGTTCTTATGATTGCTTCATGTCTTGCTGGACACCAAACGGCTATTCGTCACGACATGCACGTGATTCTTGACACCACTGCACCTTACATGTTCCTGCCATTCTTTGTTATGACGGGTGCAGGGTTGAAGCTAGACCAGGTCATGGCAGCCGTTCCACTAATGAGCATGTATGTGATTTTGCGATATGTCGCAATTTTTATCGCGTGCTACTTTGGTGGTCGCTACATCCTGAAACTCACACCAAGCCAATACAACAATCTGTGGCTAACAATGACGCCACAGGCTGGTGTGGCACTTGGTCTGGCCAACGAGGTGAAGGCTATGAGTGATCAATCCTGGGCCGCGGAATTTTCGGCGACAATTGTGGCAGCTGTGGTGGTAAACCAGATCATTGGCCCTGTGTTGTGTGCGATGGGCCTAGGACGTGCCGGTGAGACATTGAAGGATCGCATGGTGAATCTAGATACACCCAAGGATGAGAAGGATGAGTTTGATAGCCCGGACAAGGACTTTCGAGGAAGCCGCTTAAGCGTAGCTCAAGGTGGTGGCTTTGGCAGCAGTATGTACGGTGGTGGTGTTAGCAGATTAAGTCACGTTGATGGTAGCCGAATGGGCGCATCGGCTATGACGATGGGCAATGGAGACCCCCAAACGTTTATGCCGTTTTACAAGGTTCAAAATGCAGTTGTCATCGGAGACGACGAAGCGGCCTTCGAGATTGCACTCCAACTGTCGCTCTATGGTGCGCATGTCAATGTGCCTCTATTGGATGAAGAACGCACGAGTAAGTGGCGGAAGATGAATGATACCATTCTAAAGCGTGCCACCCAGGGTGACCTCATTTCATACAAGAACACACTTAAGGGCCGTGACACCGCGCAGGCCATGTCATCGGCCGATGTGCTTATTATGACGGGTGATGCGAACCGTACACGCGACAATGTGCAATTGTTAAAGTCTCTGTTGGGCGAATCGCACCCACGCATGATTGCGTTTGTGCCGGATTCAAAGTTCAGCAAGGAGATGAAGGCACAAGGTGTTTTAGTTATTCAGCCATCGATTGCTCTGGCCAATATTGCAACACGTATGGCACTCCTGGAATCAAAGATGGCAGAGGCATTATCAAACGAGATCAGTACGACAAGTGACTTCAGCATAGCGTCATACTTCTTACGTGACGGTCGCGATTTGTCTGAAATGCGTTTCGATGGACGTCGTTTGGCGTTAGGCCGAAATGTGGTGAACCACCATTCGGTGGATTACGATCGTCTTGCAGAGGCACTTGTTACCGAAAAACTGCCATTGCCTCCTCCACCATCACGTGTTGCAATGTTCGGTACATCGTCGGCTTCTGGGTTTGATCCATTTGAACGTGAGAGGGGTGGATCTGAGTTTTTCCTTCGCCATGATGAACGTGACCACACCGAGGAGATTGTAGTGGACGCACACCACGGTCCATACTCGTCGCGCGGCACTAGCTCACAAGTTAATATTCAACGAGCATCGAGTCAATTTGGATCAAGTCGTGTGCAAGTGGGTGGTGGTGGTCGTGGAAAACGTCCTGCTGGACGTACCAAGCCTCGATTGTAAAAACTTCATGGAGGTGGAATTACAACGTACTGATTTGAAACCACCATGTTCTTTCGTTTGTCTTGTATGACATGGAAACGGGATGAGATGGACGAAGAGAGAAAAGTAGTTGTGAATGCAAACATATCATTAGCTAGAGCTAAGAAACAAAAGACTGAATCGAATCATGTTCTAGGCCCGACAAGTTGATGTCTTTTGTATCTAGCAAGTAGGTGGAGTATATGAATAGAACTAACGTCCATTAATGAGCACGTTTTGAATAGATGGTCTTTAGCTTTGTTTGGTTTGTTTTCAGTCACATTTCACAGCAATAGGACCATCTTGTCATTTTTGTTTACCAGTAAGAGAATGTAAGTCAGTACATGAGCCAGTATTGACGAACATGAACCAGTAGTCGGTTGCTTGTCCTTGACACACAGACTGGAAGGTGTTACAGATGGGATGTTCATGACCACGAGTCAATTTTTGTCAGCCATAGAATCATTCGGTCTTGCAACCTCACGCCTCCATGATGGCCGCTAGTATTTCGTGTCGTCTAAACGTATTCCGTGTCAAGACAGTTCTTGTACACCTGACCAAGCAAAATGGGTTGGATATCACCTAGTATCATCTGATTCTTTTCCCCATCAATGACCAGAGAGGGAAGGTCTAAGAAAGTGGATCGACGAAAGAGATGAGCAATAGAAAATCCATGTGCATCTCACTTTGGGTAGTAGTAATACATTCAGTTGAGTTGATGCCAAGTGGCAATCACAAGATATAAAAGTCGATGCTAGTGTTGCAAGTTTTCCATCTTGACGTTATAGTACCATGAACACGCATGGAGATATAGATATCATTGCACAGCTACTCTGTGATATCGTCCTGTCACTTTTGAAAGCATAAAGGTTTTTGCTGTAAATTTTGTATATGTCTCACGTCTGCAATCATACAAGCAATTGCAGTCAATCTTTGTGTCAGCATTGAATTTGAAACCACTTTTCCTTGATCAATGGCATTGTCACCATGATAATAGTCTGATACAAAATATATGCATACAGTACATGGCAAGGAAGGATAAAATTCCGTATGACTTTCCATCAAATGACACTTTTTGTCAAGAGTCTTTGGTTTCAAGGACGATATTCATTTGTCTTGCTTGATTACGCGTATCAATTGACGATTGACAAGATGTAATGCAGCTAATTCCGAGTAGACAGGACTGTTTCGACTTCTTGTGGACGGACAAGGAAGAAGGACTCATTGCTAATCTTTAGTTCTTGCCTATCCTTGGCTTGAGTATATACAGAGATAGATATTCCTTCATCTCGCATTCATATGGATTAATGGAATTCAAAGCCAGTGTCGAGATTCCGTTTTTCTGATCCAACACACTGTCGACTGTGCTCCCAAAGCACATTCTAATCATTTAGCGACAAGTGCATGAGCTTCCTGTTCCTCTAGACTAGTTTCTTGACCTTTAGGCTTTCGAAAACTACTAATCCTACTAGCTCACAATCATTCGGTTCAATTCCCGAAAGACCTCACTTGCGTTGTCAAGCATCATGCTGAACATGAAGCCACGCACGCTTTCGATTCACACAAGATCATTTCTTCTACAACTAGATTAATAATAAAAGCTTCTTACTAGATCTTACATTGATATACGTTTCAATGGTCTTGCATCGACTTCTGCTGATTCGCTCTTGATTGTCCGATCAAATAGCTTGACCTAATCTAGCCTCAATGATGTCTAAAGATAGACGCCAATTTCTAATTGAGATATGTAGGGATAGACTAGAGCAAATCACGAAACCGCGGGACAACTCTACTCCATACTTCTGAATACTTGTCAAATGGAGCTGTTGATCAATCACAACGTGTCACTTTCGTATTTGCCATCAACGTTCCACATCGTAGGAAAACACAAAAGTAGATGAGACCTTTTTACACGGAAAGCATGCAACCAGCTGCACTCGTGCTAGTTTGTATAGCAGTCACAGTCTCCATGCATCTGGTATCGAGTCAATCTCTACCGCACAATGACAATACAAATGCAAACCTCGTCCGTCGGTTAAGCGGTGCTACTGGTGATGAAAACAAGACCGTGCCGTTCAACTCATGGGGTAATACCATGACAACACTAAAATATGGACTCTCCTTTATCATTGTTCTTGTCGCGGCTCACCCTCTTGGACTCTTGTTCCCCAAGTTCTTTAAACTACCATTGATTACGGGCTATCTCTTCATCGGGATTATTGCTGGCCCCTTTGCTACGAACCTCATTACGGCAGACATTGTGAATCTCCTGTCCAACTACGTGAGTGCTTTGGCGCTATCTTTTATCTCGTTCCAGGCAGGACAGGAGATTTACCTCCCAGAGTTGCGTCCACAACTCAAGTCGATTATGATTCTTCTCGGTGTACTGTACGTGACGGCCATGGTCATTCTCACATCTGCAATCTTGCTTGCCGAGAGTGCCTTCTTCTATGGTAACCTCGCACTGAATTGTCAGCTGGGCATTGCACTCATGTTTGGGTCTGTTTCTGTGTTGGGATCACCGGCGACGGTAATGGCTATCAAGATTGAGCTAGATAGTGTCGGTCCCTTTACTAGTCTTATGCTTGGTGCTACGATGACGGCAGAGTTTGTGGTGCTCGTATCCTTTTCGATGTCGCGTATCGTGTGCTCCATCTACTGCGCTGAGTTGGATGTTTCGTTGATCAACCTTCTGTTCACCCTGAGCATTGTCATGTCCAACGTCTTGGTCGGGGTAGTTTTGGCTGGCTTGACGTTTGCAATCTTCCAGATTCCTGGAGGTAAGCATCATGAACACGTGAACAGCCCTCACAGCAACAATGTTGACGCGAGTCCAAGCGCTACAACGTACTATAACCAGAGGACCCAAGGGAACGATTCTTGTGTACAGATTGATAGGACCCCACATCCAAACAGTGACTCTACTATCGAGAATGGGAAGAATGGTGGTGCTTTGGCCTCTCTATTGACGCCTCAGACGTTGCTCTGCTTGAAAGGCTTCATGTGGTTGACCATGGGGTATGTGTTTTATATCTCAACAAATACCATTGCCAAGGTCACTGACGCGGCATTTGGTTTGTCGTGGGAGGTAAAGTTTGAGCCACTGCTTGTGCTCATGATCGCTGCATGTATTGCTGGACATCACTCGGGCATTCGGCATGATATGCACGTTATCCTTGACACCGCGGCACCATACATGTTCCTGCCATTCTTTGTGATGACGGGTGCAGCATTGAAGCTGAATCAAGTGGTACATGCTATTCCGCTCATGGCAGTGTACGTGGTGCTACGGTACATTGCGATCTTCATTGCGTGTTACGTCGGTGGTCGTTTCTTGCTCAAGTTGCCACCAAGACAGTACAATAACCTTTGGTTGACAATGACACCACAGGCTGGTGTTGCATTGGGTCTTGCCAACGAGGTGATGGCATTGAGTGATGAGACATGGGCAGCCGACTTTGCAGCAACGATCGTGGCAGCAGTAGTGGTGAACCAGATCATCGGTCCTGTGCTATGCGCGATGGGCTTAGGTCGTGCAGGTGAGACGGCAAAGGACCGTATACAAGATGAACAAGAGCATAAGGACGTGGAGCAGCAAGATAGTCACGAAGATGATGTGAAACCACGACCAAGTCGCTTTTCCATCCGAGTCAGTCAAACGAGCAGACCAAGTCGCTTTTCTATTGTTGATGTTGGAGACGCGAGACCGTTGCCACCGTTTCGTGAGGTGAAAAATGCCGTTGTCATTGGAGACGACGAAGTGGCTTTTGAGATTGCACTCCAGCTTTCACTCTATGGTGCCCATGTGAATGTGCCTCTATTAGATGAAGAACGTGCACATAAGTGGCAAAAAATGAATGAAGCAATTCTCAAGCGTACGGTCAAAGGTGGACCTATTTCCTACAAGAATACACTCAAGGACCGTGATAATGCTCAAGCCATGTCATCGGCCGATGTGATTATTTTCACGTGTGATGCGAATCGTACACGTGAGAATGTACACTTATTAAAGTCTCTATTGGGTGAATCCCATCCACGAATGATTGCACTTGTACCGGATTCCAAGTTTAGCAAGGAGATGAAAGCACAAGGTGCGCTAGTTCTTCAACCATCGATTGCTCTTGCTAATATTGCAACACGTATGGCACTCTTGGAGACGAAATTAGCTGACTCGTTGTCAAAAGAAACAAGTACGACCAGTGATTTTACACCCGCCTCGTACTTTTTACGTGGTCCTAGAGATTTATCGGAAGTAAATCTAGAAGGTCGTCGTATGTCACTACGTCGAAGCATTGTGAACCATCATGCAGTGGATTATGATCGTCTGATGGCAACGCTTGCTGCCGTCAATGTCCCTCCTCCTCCTCCGTCTCGTGTCGCAATGTTTGGCACGTCTTCTGCTTCGGGCTTTGATCCATTTTCAAATCAACGAGAAACACTTGCCTCCAATTTCTTTGTTGTACATGATGGCGCAGAAGGAGTGGAAGAGACAGTGCCCAATGGCTTTCCAAAGTCTCGCTTCCGGTCATTTTGTTGGTAAAAGAGACTAGGTAGTTTTTGCTACTATATATATATCATTTATATATGTAGGTAAGCTTGTCGATTGTTTTCAACATTATAATAGTTTCATAACAGTAAATCACGAAAACGAAGGCACAGACGTTGAAAATAGGTCCTTTGTAGTGATGGAATTGATAAAGTAGGACGTACTTTCTCACGTTTTGGTTCGTTCTAGCCACTATTTTGATGTATTATACTTTTACCTCGCTATATGTATGAATGTATGAATGTATTACGCTCTGAGAAAAGGGCTTTGCGGGATGGATCTAATTGCTCGACATGGAGAAAATGACCTTGCAGTCTGATAAAAAGTGGCTGTGACATGTACATAGTGGACAAAACCAGATCCATAAGACCCAATCACAGCATAAGTTTCAGATTTCAAAAAACATATGATGTACAGAAACAATCACTTTTTGTCTTCTTTGTCTTCTCGCTAGTAAAATAACGTTGTTAACTCTGTATCGTCTACTTTCCTACTATCAGAATCTACTGATTTCTGACTGAGCACATGACAACTTCGTGTCTTGATTGTCATGCACTCATGCATTATAATCAGTCATTATTACCACACGGTAGTCTAAATATCTAATCTAGTTGTTTCTACATTCAATTCATCGAAAAGTTCGGAGATGTTTTTAAATGTGAAATCTTGCAAGATTTTCATGTCAAGTCAAGTACCACCGATATGTCCAAGCGTCCATATACTTTATCATAAACTCTGTATTTCTGTACAAATTAGATGTATGTAGCTATCAGTATTCCTGACAAGGAGATATGCTTTTGAGTAACAACTTTACGTGTTGAAGGTCTTTTTCTTCTTCTTCTTCTTTCGTAAAATTCCCATCTGCAAATCAAATAGTACCTGTCCTATGGCGGTATATTGTTATGATATTGCAATAATAAGTTTTACGTGCATGTCTCAGATGAAGCTCCAAATGAAAGCAGAGTGCGACATCACGAATAGCGAGCTGCTATAGGCCAACACGTTAGTCACTGCTGTTTTGTATGAGAACTACCTACCTTGCCATTCGACAGCTGGACGAGAGCGGCACCTGACGGCGGACCGACACTTTGAAGCGATCAATGCAAACCATTTCAGAGGACTTTGCAACATTGGCAACTCCCGGACCCTTTTCTCTCCAACGACCCGGTAGTAGCACGTCGTCTACGGAAGATGGGGGTATTTTTTTGGATCAAGTCTTGCCCAACCATCAAGCTGTCCGTGTACAGTCGACAGGAGCTACGAGACAGCAGACGTGGTGTGGTATCTCGACGAAATCTCTGGATGAGGGTGTGCCTGTGGTGATGAGCATTGTCATTGGCTCATACTTTGGTGTGGGGATTCGAGTCCTGCTTACCGAGTTTGCCAATGTCATGTACGAGATTCAGACGGAATTGCTGCAATTGCTCGGCTTTGGCTATTACTTACCAAATGTGGTCGGCTGCTTTGTTATGGGCGTCGCTGCTCGCATTAAGCCAGCACTACGTGGTCAGTATGACGTGCTACTGACGGGCGTGACAACAGGATTTTGTGGCAGTTGCACCACTTTTGCTAGTTGGGACGTTGGAGTCGCTCTCACGTTCGTTCATGGCCGATGGTTGAATGCCATTTTAATGTTGTGTGTACATGTGGCGAGTGCAATGATGAGTCTTCGACTTGGCTTTCACGTAGCAGAGGGGATCGTGCACTACTTCACTTTGCAAGAATATCCATTCCGTAAACCGCCAGTCAACCTTGGACAGCTTAATCTGGATCTCGAAAGGAACATCAATCACTTTCGAGAGATCAAGATGCATACATTTGGACCATTAGTTACTCGACGAGTGCGAGCTACGGAAGAATCGCTGGCTGTAGCGAGAGATTCTTGCAACGAACTGATGGCGGAAATTATCCAAGTCGAACATGAACAGTATCCCATTCACCACAACAATAAAGTATGGATTTCGATAGCTCTTACGCTCACGGCGCTTTTTTGGACACTGGCATTCTGTGGTTTCGACAATTATCCTAGCTCGAGAATCCTGGCACTTTGCTTTGGTCCATTTGGCGCACTGCTGCGGTGGTACTTGTCACTGTACAACAGCAAACCCAAGTGTAAACGGTTCCCGTTTTTTACATTTTTACCGAACGTATCTGCATCGTGTCTCAGTTGTTTTATGGAGATCGTTGGCAGTATTGTGCACAATAACAGTGCGTTTGCCTACCGTCATTTCGTGATGTTTGGTCAAGGAGGCATCGTGGTTGGCTTTCTTGGGTCACTCTCTACCGTATCGTCGTGGGTTTATGAGTTGGATAGTCTCTCATCGAGGCGCTTGATCTGGGCGTATCGCTATGGACTTGCTAGCGTCATTATCTCACAGCTCGCGAGTGTTTTTATTCTAGGCATGTACGACGCGTATGGTAGTGATCCTCTCATTGAATAAGTCGTCTGCTTATTAGTTAGTATCTGTGCTGTTCTTCATCAAATCATAACGTGAATGCAGCAAAACCAATTTCGTGTCTCTTTGAAAGTGCGAAAGTAATTACGAATCACCGCTTGCCTTACAATTGAGCAAACCCAAGCTTCAGATTCATGAATCAATGCTGAACATTGCACGCACAATGGCTTCAGTGTCGTCTCGAAGCTGATGCGAGTTTTCATACTCTTGAACCTCAGCTTGCACTAATTCTTGTGACGATTCTTGAATAATTTGCAATGCAGTTTCGCCTCCTAGTCAAAATGCTTGATATGAGTTTAAAGAGTCACAACAGCGATCCACACCGTAAATTATTAGGCACATACTTACCAGCTACGATCGCTTCACTCTGAAAGATTGAAGCACGACGTGAGAACGTATTCGACAGCATAGCGTCCCCTACTTCAATGATCTCAACTACCATTCAAGCGTTAGAACACACAAAGCCTGTATATATGATTAGTAATCGTGTCAATTCCATCTGTCACCTCCAAAGCTTCGAAGCTTCTCTGTGCATTTGATCGCGTCTTCCTCGCACAAAAGTCGACACCTGGACACATAAAGACACAGCTAAAATCTACTCTAGAGTAACACATACACACTCTATAATCACCCCTTACATCACATGCTGTTGTCCATTACTTGAGTAGAGGCGTAATAATTTCTGATAGAGAACACACTTGCGTGGTTGTTCAAACTTGCGCTGAAAGAATCGACCTAGACGTGGGTATGAAAACTGTACACTTTGTATAGTATCATCCAGTACAAGTTTTCCATGTCGATTCGAGTGCTTTAGCTTTGTTCTGTTCCCGACTCTGTGCTCCATCACGAGCTGAGCGCGGAACGTCGTCTGGCGTGAGGAAGCGCGCGGCATATTGTCACTTCAACTTTCAATATGTAATTGGATTGGTGGAAATTAAGGAAAAAAAGAGGTGAAAAAAGCCAATCATTGACCGTCATTTGCATTTAAGAAAGTACTATACTAAACCCTGGTCCGATGCGTATATGGCAAGCACTACTGCTGCTGTGGCTCATGATTGCGTGCCTATTATCAAGTGTACACGCGTTTCATATCCAATGGAAAGAGTACTGGGAGTTAGCCATGTATCACACGGGACTCGGCTGTACGTAAACGTTGTGAAACTGAACAGAAAGAGTTGGCAGCTAGATGCTCACTATGTATTGTTGTATCTTGACATTATACCAGCAGATCAGTGTAAATTCGTGGACAAACCATCTCAGATGGTGCGTCATCATTTACAGGATAATTTAAAGGGTCAAGAACGAGCTGTGGAGGCGGTCGTTGGTGCAATTGAAGCTTGGGAGTTCTCGTGCGTCGGCAGCTGTGGGGATGTGATCGAGTGGGCATGTTTTCTGACTGTATAAACACTTTCTGTTACGTGAAAATGCTAGAAGGACTTCTACAAAAGACCGTGCGCCGCTAGTGCTGGCGATTACGGGACCAACAGGTACAGGCAAAACGGAAATGTCCAACTTAATCGCGGAGGCGCTGTTTAAACGCAAGAAGAAGCTGCCGAGAAGTGAAAAGTGGGTGCCGTCAGGGTTGCTGATCTTTCGGTGGGTTTTTGTGCTCAGTGGTAATTGGACATGGTATTTTTGTACTTACTGCGATGATTGATATGATACATACGACGACAGCGGAGAGGACTTTAGCGATAACTTTACAAACCCTATCACAGAGTACCACACACAGATTAAGAACAGGCATGAACGTCGATACTTTTGGTTGTAGTAATCTGTGGTATTCGCTGAGTGGCTATTTGTGCAGACTTGCAGAGCACTTGTACTATTGCTCAGGAAATGCTGTCGTAGTCATTGATGAAGTGCAGAAGGTGATTCCGCATACTCTTGACGGTAAGCATTTTCTACGGTTTTATACGCTCGGTAAAACTTACTCTTCTTTCATCCATGCACAGTTCTAATGGAGGCGGTCAGCGAAAGCTCTCAACTATCCTACTACAAACACGGAGTAACACAGAACATCGATACCGCAAACGTACGTGGATTATGGAAATGAAAATGAACTGAGCCATTTTGGCTATGTAATTGTGAAACTTATAGCACGCCTTGTTAGGTCATTTTTGTGCTGGTGTCAGACATTGGCGTGAGTGAGATGGAGCAGGTCATGATTCAATACGATGCTCGAGAAGAAATACCGACCGTACAGCTTGAACGGGTCGTGAAGGCAGCTTTAGACGACCAATGGAAGCGGCTAGACTTTGGCAAAATGATTGATCAAGTATGTTAGGTTACTGATCGGATCGTCGACTTTAGTCTGTTATCAAACTGATTGCGCTCTTGTTTACATTGCAACTGCTGCGCCTTGCAGGTCATCCCTTTCCTGCCTTTTGAGCACCAACACATTGTTGAGATTATCGCGCTTAAGCTGAGACAGCTGGACGAAAATTACCGTAGCAAGTATTGGCACCGACTTTGGATTGAGGTGCGTCCATGCTGTCATCATGTTCTGTTTGTTTGTTGCTGATAGTGTTTGATGTTGTATCTTATCTGTAGGAAAACATCGCTGATTACATGTCACGGTTGGATTCAGTGCACTACAAAGTCCGCTCGGCAGTAGTTAACGGGAAGGTCAAGTCCAGCAAGGTCTTTGCCAAGTACGGTGCTCGAGACGTGGAGACGGGTCCAATCCAATTGCTTAAATCCAAGTTATTGCGTTATCTTCGTCCTTTCAATCCGAACGCTGAGATTCGCATATCGCAGGATCCGGATACGAAAGAGATTTCAATTGTCGCATGTGGAAGACAGGAAGAAGAAAAACCCACGACGAAGAAAGTGTCGTCTACAGGTAAAAGCACGAGCTATTTGGATGAAAGGATCGACGACAGTGTCGCTTTTATGCACATTGGTTGCGTCACAAAGTGGTCGGGTCGATTTGAATAACCGCATGTTTCTTTTCCACCAATCACAGCATGTATTTTTGTATCTTTTCTTTCAACCAATCATAACGCTGTATGTTTCTCACAATTAAATCTTCTTTGATTCAGTCTCGGAAAAGCTCTTACAGTAACACAATGAGTGTGTTAGAATCGTCGGAGATTTGGGGCACTGACGATGGACTGGATCCCGAGATCTTGCTCATGTCTAATGAAGAATTACGACAACGTATTCGTCTATTAGATAACGATATTCGTATCATGCGCAGCGATATTCAACGTATTAATCACGAGAGTAATTCCCAACGGGACCGGATTAAAGAAAATAATGAAAAAGTAAAGCTTAATAAGCAATTACCGTATCTAGTAGCAAATGTGGTGGAAGTATTAGAGCTTGAGGATGATGAGGATGAGCAGGATGGTGCGGCTACGGATGTAGATGCACAGCGGAAGGGCAAGAGTGCTGTGATCAAGACAAGTACTCGACAGACAATCTTTTTACCTATTCCAGGACTTATTGACTCATCGACGTTGATTCCAAACGATCTCGTGGGTGTGAATAAAGACAGTTATCTAATTTTGGAGAAATTACCAAGTGAGTATGACTCGAGAGTGAAAGCAATGGAAGTGGATGAGAAACCAACGGAAGAGTACAGTGATATTGGTGGACTGGATAAGCAGATTCAGGAACTTGTCGAGGCTGTTGTTTTACCAATGACACACAAGGAGAAATTTGATGCGATTGGTATTATGCCACCAAAGGGTGTACTTTTACATGGACCTCCTGGCACAGGCAAGACGCTACTTGCACGGGCATGTGCGAAACAGACGGACGCTATTTTCTTGAAACTGGCAGCACCGCAATTGGTTCAGATGTTTATTGGTGATGGTGCAAAACTTGTGCGAGATGCGTTTGAATTGGCTAAAGAAAAGTGCAAAGACGGAGACCGTGGCGGTGCCATTATTTTTATTGATGAGGTGAGAGATAAAAGGGTAGTAGAATTATTAGTGGATGCTCAAGGCTGATTCGAGATTGTGGATTCGTGTTTTTGGAAAAAGTTGGATGCCATTGGTACGAAGCGATTCGGTGGCGAGCAATCAGGTGATCGGGAGGTGCAGCGTACGATGCTAGAACTACTGAACCAGCTGGATGGATTTACAAACAATACGAAGATCAAGGTCATTGCTGCTACTAATCGTCCGGATGTACTGGACCCTGCCCTCCTTCGTTCTGGACGTTTGGATCGCAAGGTATGTAAAACACATGACAGGGTTTTGAAAGTGTTGCTAATCCGACGCTGTATCTGTAGATTGAGCTGCCGCACCCAACTGAAGAAGCTCGTGCTCGCATTTTGCAGATCCACTCGCGTAAAATGAACGTCGACACGGAAGGTAAATGCGCGCACAGTAATGCGGTGGTATGTTTTTTGCCCAAAAACTGATTGACATCACTTTCTATTGCGTACAGACACCAACTTTGATGAGCTAGCACGCTCCACTGATGACTTCAATGGCGCACAGCTCAAAGCGGTACGTAGTGACTTTTCGTGTTCACCTCCTCATTACACAAATCTGTGAGCTGATAATCTAACAAATATCGATTGTCGGAATGGTGGCAGGTATGTGTGGAGGCTGGTATGCTGGCATTGCGTCGCGAGAGCAACGTAATCAAGCACGAGGACTTCATGGAGGGTATTTCCGTTGTATCAGCCAAGAAGAAGGCGACGCTCCAGTACTACGCATAGAATTTCAATCAAAATGAAGCATTGCGATTCATGTACATCTCTCTCTTTCTCTCTCGTTGCATCACCACTGACAACACCATTTACAGTGTAGAATCTTCTTGCCGAACCGGTACGAGATAGGAATTCAAATCCGTCTTATCAACTCCATCTGGCAATATCAGTCCTCGTTTGTGTTCAAGTTTTGTTTGAAGCTCATCATAGTATGCAAAATCATCCCATGCACTTGAACGACTTTTAAACTGCGTAAAAAGAGATAAAAACTCATGTGCCTACGGATACAAACGCAACCACAAAAAACGGATTAAATCCATTCCTATAATTTTATCTCTCTCACGAAAGAAAGACAAAACAATATCCAAAAAAACACCCCCCCACACACCTCTTCATACAAAACTTCTTCGCAATCACGACACGATGTAATTGATTTCTTCGTTGGTGTATTTTTCATCTTAATACCTGTTAGAACATAATTTGGTACGTCTTTCACCAGTAGCCACTCAACATGAAAAAATCCTTCATATTTGGACTTTTCCCATAGTTGAAACTGATAATCCATTTGTACATTTGATGTCATACGTGCTACACCACTGAAATGTTTCGATCGACATATACTGCGATACAAATAACAACAACATAATCAAAACGATGAGCCAACACGTCAAGTAACAGTTACACAGTTTTACAAAAAAAGGGTTGGATAAAATCCAACCTTTTCGTCCGTGGATATGATAAAGATTTTACCTAAAAAAGAACAAAATAGGCCTTACTAAAGTCAAGTCACTTTGAAAAATTTGGTCCAACAATGTATTATGCAACATTGTTGTACTCCAGATACCAAATTTCAGACTCATGTGGAAATTTGCTTCACTGAACGACTTGAGCACGAAACAACGGCATGTGGCACTAGTAAAAACATCACGCACTAGCTCTGCTTGTTGCGTATCGAATGCATGCTTAATTTCTTCTTCCTTTGTAGCATCTACATCTTTATCTTGAGTATATCGCGGCGCGAGCTTTGGTCGACGTTTTTTCTTCATGTTATTGTCTCACCAATGTGAAAATTCGAGATATTATCTACATGTTTGTGTTTTATCTAAATCTTTGGACTTTTTAATCAGCTTTATCTAAACAATTTGCAATTATCTAAAAACACATGAAAACCTTTATTAAAACCACTTCTATCTTAAAAACTATCGATATATAAAACACTTTTTTTTTCAATCGTCCCTTAGCGCTACTGTATAATAGAGCGTCATCCCAACACACCTCCTAATGATGCTTCTTCCATTCGCATGAGCTACTTTCATGGTCATATCTAGCATCATACTGATACTCTCAATGGTGAAAACTACACTGTCGCCTTTGTTTCTCACTAATCCATTGAGATTTTTTCATACGTCGGTTGTCACGATTGTCACCACCACTTGTCTGTCCTTGATCCCAAATCGTATCATCCTTTGCCTCATGATCGTTCTCACACGAATGCCATCGTTCTCGTAATGTGATTGATCTTGATACTGGACACTTTCAACGTGATGATTGTTGAGCGTGATGACGACGTTGTAATCGACTTTGATTACGCACCTCCAGCGCATCCGTAAACCGAAACCAATTTGTCGCATTCAAACAAGATTCCGATACCGTCAACCGATTCTTGCGATGTGTGTCATCATCATCTTGAAATCCACCACCAAGTACGAGGTCCCAATCCATTTCATGACTGAGACCAACCATGTGCTTCTGAATCAGATCTCGATATGCCTCGAGACCGGTGTTTGTACCTATTTTTCCACGGTACGAAGCACGTCGACGTTTGTAATGGAGTTCACTCTTTGCATCACTCGCTTGCGTGTGGGAGTTATTGTTGAGCATAGCACTCGTGGTCATAGAGTCATGGCTATGGACTGAAGACTGCGCTTGGATCGTCGTTCTCTTTTTCTCACTCTTTTCTCTCTTTTGCTGAGGTCACAATGCATGTAGCGTTAGCTCGACACTGGTATAAGATGGATAAATAATGACATGGAAGAAGCTACAGCAACAACGTACAAATACACTTTGCAGACCGATCTCGACGATCAAAAACTTCCAAAGCGCCAGCACGATGTTCTATAGCGCACATGCAACCAAAGAGCAAAGTCATGAACAAGGCAGAAACACAAACGTGAGTGATGCACGCAACGTACGGAGACATTGTTGTTGCCCAGGAACTCGTGTAACTCCAAAACCAGCAGATCAGGCTCACAAAAGTCAGGGTGTTCCAACAATCCAACGATATAGTCGACCAGCTCCTGATCGAGTGCCTCACCACTAGGAAGCACTCCAGGACGACTCAGCTCTGCATTCAGCCACCGACGCAACGACGACTGCTTTACCAGTGCGCGTTCACGATCGTTTATCGTAGCAAATGCATGTGGAATACGATGCCATGCTTGTACTTGTTCGTAGAATGTCGTCGCAGAAACGGCAGCTCTTTTGATTGCAGCGATCACTCCGTCGGCTACATCAAGTGTCGTTTTCTGCTTGTCATACTGACCTGCTTTGGGCTCTACCAGACTCTGGAATCCAGAGCTTTGCGATCTCTCATCATCGACACATTCAGTGTCATCTGCTGGCACTTGAATATCAGCAACAATGTCACTGTCACTTTCAGCTTGTACTTGACGACCAGTAGCACTGTCATTGACACTTGTACTAGGTTTATCATGAGAAATCACTGCGTCTTCTTCATTGCGTCTGCCATAAAAGAACTACAGCGCAAGTTATGAATACACAAACAACAAACTCGCACACTGTCTTGTTATTGACATGGTCAGTTTTGATCTTACAGCTGCATTCGGAATAGGTCGAGCACGCTTTTCTCCATGGCATTTCCTCTATCACCCGATTGCCACATACCGACACAGAGACACACACATAGAGACATACAGACATAGAGACATATACAAACGTTAAGAAAATCCATCCATCCATTCGTCTTCTTCATTTTCCACAATCATTTCTCGAGACCAACCAAATGCTTCTTTAGTGACGTTTTTGGCACAAAATGTTCATGAAAATCAATACCGCAGGATACAAACTCCACTACTGCCGGTTCAGTTCTCACTCCCGTTGTCTTAATGAGTGTCTCTAATGCATTCGAGACGTTTGTCACGTATGTGAAATAGGTCGCTGCCATGTTTGAAGCCAGTGAATTTGATTGCACCATTTGTGTCCGGTATGATTGTACCGTTTCGTATTCTTATCATTGGACGAAAACGTTTTTGCTTGAATCAAAAGGGGGCAAACATACTCAATCAGACGTTAATGCAGTCTTTGAAGAACGAGCTAATGCATGGTCCAACTTGTGAACAAACAACAATGCAAGTATCGACTTCATTACAAGAGACATCAACTTTATTGCATCATACGATGATCACCGATACGACGTTAGAAGGTCTCTCCATGGCTGAAATGACTGGAATCGAATCGACTGAATTACCTCAAGAAACGCCTCCGAAATTGCTTGAAATGTCGTTTGAATCACCATCGAGAGTGACAATGGAAATGAAAGAACCTCAAGGGTTTAAACAAGAAGAAGAAGAAGAAGTAGGAGAAGATGAAGGAGGAGTAGAAGAAGATGTAGTAGTCGTATCAAGTAAACAAGGATCAGGTGATGCAGTTGTTCAAGAGACTAAACGGAAAAATCTGACTGATCAGGAGCGAGTGGCAATTGTCCACTATCTGCTTGCAAATAGTGCAGCCGGACGTTTGAAACACGGAGATATGAAGACTGCTGCAACGCACTTTGGCGTTCATCGAGCAACGATCCGACGGCTATGGAAGATGCATACGGCGTCTAGTGTAACCGATGGACTAGCTGGGAATGTTGCTAGTCGGATTAAGGGACATTCAGGAAGAAAACCAAAAGTACCGGACGAAGAGCTTAAAGTTCGCATTGCTGCAATTCCAGTGGAACGTCGAATGACAGGAAGGGGATTATCAACAGCTCTACAAGTGAGCAATAGTGTTGTTGTGCGTTTGATTAAGAGTGGAAAATTACGGCGGCATCCGAAGAAACTGCACTACGTTATGTGACGAGTAGAAGGTGCTTCTCTTGAACAAGACAAGTAAATGTGAACTTTACCATGTTTACCACATTTCAAGTTTATCTGTCAATGGTGATGACGGCATCTTCTTGTATCACCTAAGGTAAGCACTTACTTGTCTTCCTCATACACGTTTGCTAGTCTGAAGTATCAGCATACTGGGGATTCGTAGCTTCGAAACGTGCACCGTCTTGCAGAGACGTCTTCATACGCTAACGTCACAATGCATAATGTATCAACCAAGGTGAACTTCAAATCAAGCACACGGCTGTGCCATCCTCATCCTCAGCTGGCGTAATGACGTTGACGGCAAATGTACGTTAGCCGTTAAGGTGACCCTGCAGTAGAATTGAATATAGGCGGTCAAGGATATACAGGGTGTGATCGTGTTCACTTCTTCACAACAGTTTGCTGCACGTCTCCCACGACTCCGCACCCCACCGGGACCCGATGTGCCGGTAAAAATGAAAACGCATGAGCGCCTGTTCTGGAGCTGTCCGTTTGCTCAAGCGACTTCGCCACAACTCATCAGCTACTAAGAAGCCGCTAGGGTGCAGCCTGGACGCTTGCAACGTTGGAAACGCACATGTGCAGCTTGAACCAAGCTCCCTTTTCTCGTCCTATATCCAACGATGGTAGCCCAACGGTACCTTGACGAACTGGGTCGATTTGCTGCGATTGAGCTCGGTGTTAGACATTTCTTTCTTCTACCGTCGCGACCACAGCAAGGCGGACGCTGTCATCCGAGGCGCCATATTACACGCGTGCATTGAGATCCCTGACACTACGTTGCGCCCTTTCGGAGCCGACATTTATTATCTTTGCTATGGAGATACCAGAACTCTTGTACTAAACAGTCAACAGACATTCTCAATCTTTTTTCTTTTCTTCGTTGACATTGTTCTTCACAACAAGTTGAATGCGTGCATGATACAGTCAGCATTGCAGTGATAGATGTGCCAATCTGTGAGCTACTAACACCTTTTACATGGTTTACCAATTCTCGCTATGGTAACAATCACCAGCAATACGTCCTGTACTCTTCCATACGTCTTCATTTATATACTCCCTTAATGACCACACAGCCCACTTGAACAGCCAAAAAGTGATTGCAGCATATTCCAGCGCATATCACCTCGAAAAACGTGTCTTATTCAAAAGAAGCACCTTCTACTCGTCACATAACGTAGTGCAGTTTCTTCGGATGCCGCCGTAATTTTCCACTCTTAATCAAACGCACAACAACACTATTGCTCACTTGTAGAGCTGTTGATAATCCCCTTCCTGTCATTCGACGTTCCACTGGAATTGCAGCAATGCGAACTTTAAGCTCTTCGTCCGGTACTTTTGGTTTTCTTCCTGAATGTCCCTTAATCCGACTAGCAACATTCCCAGCTAGTCCATCGGTTACACTAGACGCCGTATGCATCTTCCATAGCCGTCGGATCGTTGCTCGATGAACGCCAAAGTGCGTTGCAGCAGTCTTCATATCTCCGTGTTTCAAACGTCCGGCTGCACTATTTGCAAGCAGATAGTGGACAATTGCCACTCGCTCCTGATCAGTCAGATTTTTCCGTTTAGTCTCTTGAACAACTGCATCACCTGATCCTTGTTTACTTGATACGACTACTACATCTTCTTCTACTCCTCCTTCATCTTCTCCTACTTCTTCTTCTTCTTCTTGTTTAAACCCTTGAGGTTCTTTCATTTCCATTGTCACTCTCGATGGTGATTCAAACGACATTTCAAGCAATTTCGGAGGCGTTTCTTGAGGTAATTCAGTCGATTCGATTCCAGTCATTTCAGCCATGGAGAGACCTTCTAACGTCGTATCGGTGATCATCGTATGATGCAATAAAGTTGATGTCTCTTGTAATGAAGTCGATACTTGCATTGTTGTTTGTTCACAAGTTGGACTATGCATTAGCTCGTTCTTCAAAGACTGCATTAACGTCTGATTGAGTATGTTTGCCCCCTTTTGATTCAAGCAAAGACGTTTTCGTCCAATGATAAGAATACGAAACGGTACAATCATACCGGACACAAATGGTGCAATCAAATTCACTGGCTTCAAACATGGCAGCGACCTATTTCACATACGTGACAAACGTCTCGAATGCATTAGAGACACTCATTAAGACAACGGGAGTGAGAATTGAACCGGCAGTAGTGGAGTTTGTATCCTGCGGTATTGATTTTCATGAACATTTTGTGCCAAAAACGTCACTAAAGAAGCATTTGGTTGGTCTCGAGAGATGATTGTGGAAAATGAAGAAGACGAATGGATGGATGGATTTTCTTAACGTTTGTATATGTCTCTATGTCTGTATGTCTCTATGTGTGTGTCTCTGTGTCGGTATGTGGCAATCGGGTGATAGAGGAAATGCCATGGAGAAAAGCGTGCTCGACCTATTCCGAATGCAGCTGTAAGATCAAAACTGACCATGTCAATAACAAGACAGTGTGCGAGTTTGTTGTTTGTGTATTCATAACTTGCGCTGTAGTTCTTTTATGGCAGACGCAATGAAGAAGACGCAGTGATTTCTCATGATAAACCTAGTACAAGTGTCAATGACAGTGCTACTGGTCGTCAAGTACAAGCTGAAAGTGACAGTGACATTGTTGCTGATATTCAAGTGCCAGCAGATGACACTGAATGTGTCGATGATGAGAGATCGCAAAGCTCTGGATTCCAGAGTCTGGTAGAGCCCAAAGCAGGTCAGTATGACAAGCAGAAAACGACACTTGATGTAGCCGACGGAGTGATCGCTGCAATCGAAAGAGCTGCCGTTTCTGCGACGACATTCTACGAACACGTACAAGCATGGCATCGTATTCCACATGCATTTGCTACGATAAACGATCGTGAACGCGCACTGGTAAAGCAGTCGTCGTTGCGTCGGTGGCTGAATGCAGAGCTGAGTCGTCCTGGAGTGCTTCCTAGTGGTGAGGCACTCGATCAGGAGCTGGTCGACTATATCGTTGGATTGTTGGAACACCCTGACTTTTGTGAGCCTGATCTGCTGGTTTTGGAGTTGCACGAGTTCCTGGGCAACAACAATGTCTCCGTACGTTGCGTGCATCACTCACGTTTGTGTTTCTGCCTTGTTCATGACTTTGCTCTTTGGTTGCATGTGCGCTATAGAACATCGTGCTGGCGCTTTGGAAGTTTTTGATCGTCGAGATCGGTCTGCAAAGTGTATTTGTACGTTGTTGCTGTAGCTTCTTCCATGTCATTATTCATCCATCTTATACCAGTGTCGAGCTAACGCTACATGCATTGTGACCTCAGCAAAAGAGAGAAAAGAGTGAGAAAAAGAGAACGACGATCCAAGCGCAGTCTTCAGTCCATAGCCATGACTCTATGACCACGAGTGCTATGCTCAACAATAACTCCCACACGCAAGCGAGTGATGCAAAGAGTGAACTCCATTACAAACGTCGACGTGCTTCGTACCGTGGAAAAATAGGTACAAACACCGGTCTCGAGGCATATCGAGATCTGATTCAGAAGCACATGGTCGGTCTCAGTCATGAAATGGATTGGGACCTCGTACTTGGTGGTGGATTTCAAGATGATGATGACACACATCGCAAGAATCGGTTGACGGTATCGGAATCTTGTTTGAATGCGACAAATTGGTTTCGGTTTACGGATGCGCTGGAGGTGCGTAATCAAAGTCGATTACAACGTCGTCATCACGCTCAACAATCATCACGTCGAAAGTGTCCAGTATCAAGATCAATCACATTACGAGAACGATGGCATTCGTGTGAGAACGATCATGAGGCAAAGGATGATACGATTTGGGATCAAGGACAGACAAGTGGTGGTGACAATCGTGACAACCGACGTATGAAAAAATCTCAATGGATTAGAGAGAAACAAAGGCGACAGTGTAGTTTTCACCATTGAGAGTATCAGTATGATGCTAGATATGACCATGAAAGTAGCTCATGCGAATGGAAGAAGCATCATTAGGAGGTGTGTTGGGATGACCCTGATAAATCTGAGTATCACGTAAGTAACAATCATTCAAGTACAGTGGTAAGGTGATTGTTGTTTGTTTTGATTGATTCAGAATTTAGACTTTAGACTTTAGACTTTAGACTTTAGACTTTAGACTTTAGACTTTAGACTTTGTTTGATTTATAGCTACGTTTTATTTCGTAACATAATGAAACTGCAATTAAAAAGAGGAAAATAAAATACATGTCAATGAAAGTAAAAAAAAAAAACAAATAAAACCTTACGTGACATCAAAGCAAATCCTACCGTTTTTTCTTTCATTTTATGTACACCACATCACATTCTCCAGCCACGTGGCAACAATTTGTCAGAAAAACATCTAGATTTGATCTTACCACCTGACCACCTGCTGCTATACATCATACTCGAAGAAGAAGGATGATCTATCTCTGGCAATTCATCTCTCTCGTTTTCATGTGTTTTATTCATTTACCTCTTGCCTCTCATGTCATTGTATTAACAAGTGATACATTTGAAGCTCAGACGCAAGCAAGTTCCGGTGCGACGACTGGTGATTGGCTCGTTGAATTTTATGCGCCATGGTGTGGTCATTGTCAAAAGTTAACGCCCATTTTTGAAAAAGTAGCGACGGAATTAAAAGGTGAAGTAAACGTTGCCAAAGTAGATGTTACAGAAAACGGCCAATTGGGGAAACGGTTTCAAATTCGTGGCTTTCCCACGTTGTTACTTTTGAGTCATGGTAAAGTATACAAATATGGAGGTAAACGTACTGTGTTGGACCTGTTAAACTTTGTACGTGGTGGTTATCAGTCCATGGAAGGTGAAATCATTGCACCAGCTCCAAGTGTATGGACGATTATGATGGAACATGCAGTCGATCTTCAAAAGGATTTGATCACGTTATTGGAGACGAAGAAGAATGTACTTCTTGTTACATTCTCAAGTGGATTAGTACTTGGGACAGTACTTGGTTGTTTATGTGGATGTTGCACACGTCGTGGGACAAAAAGTGCCAAGGTGAAGAGCGAGTAAAGAAGAAGAAGAAGACATTGAGAGGGGCTGAAGTAAGAAAAAGACATTGAGAGGGGCTGAAGTAAGAAGAAGAAGACGATTGGGAATTGCTGAAGTACCAGGACTGGAGTATGAATGTTACCTCATATGCATGTGGTGTATTTGACATGGTTCGTGTCTTGGTTGAGATTAATTGATTGGTTGATTGGATGATGATTTTGGGTTTCTTATAGTACTTGTGCTATGCGTTGATTGAGTGCCATGAAGTTGTATTTCAGCTCTAAGCTTTTAAAAAGAGACTCTTCGACACCTTTGTAGTTTGTGAGCATTTCATCCACTTCAGGTAGTTTTTCGGGATCACATTCGGTAAGAAAAGTGATTAGACGTGCACGGTACGGATTTTTTGTAAGATCGATCGGGGACTTGGATGACGAGGGAGGTATTGGCGGGACATCTTCGTATTGCGTTTGATAAGAATCATATGCTGGTCCTGAAGATGTAGAAGGTTGTCGTCGATGGCCACTTAAGATAGCAATGTCGTCCTCGTTCAGTGTGTATGGAACAGGTGAGGCATCAACTTGTCCTTCTGTTGTCGTCTCTTGTCTGTCATCACTTTGACTTGTACGGCTATCTATATATTGAATCTCTGGCTGTGGTTTGAACGATGGCTGCTCACACTTTACTGAAAGGTCTAGCATTGCAACTTCATTTTCTGTTTGATTGACTCCAGACAATCTTGCTTGCCCGTCCAGTTGTGAATCTTGTCGTTGTTGCTGCTGCTGCATTAGTTCATCTCGAACATCCTGAAACTTTTTCTCCATGTCTGCAGCTTCGTTAATTAGCGCTCGTATCTGTGTCAGCAATAGCTCATTTTGCTTTTTCAAACTTTTGTTCACCATTCGTGCCTCGCTCGCTTCCGCCATGGCCACTGCAATCTGTCCTTCAGTCTGGGTGCGCATATTACGTACCTCCGTTATTAGGACGCGCCTTTGGCCACGAGCTTTCACGAGATGCTGCGTCAGCTGCAAACGATCGCATTCCCACGTTTGCATTTGCTCCTCGTATTGTTGCTTTGTCGTCGCCATTTCTCTAGCAATCTTTTCCAATCGAGTAGAAGTTCCCGTGAGATGATTGTTCAACGAGTATCCCAACTCTGCGCGGCACCGCAGTACTGCAGCTTCCGCCTTGCCAAGTTCTTTCTCAAGACGAATACGAGTCGCTGAGTCCATATCGGTAGCCACGTTCGAAGCTTCTTCATCACTACCATTGAAGTCATCCGTCTGGACCACCAATGAAAGTCCAAACGACGGATTGTTAGCAAAGTATTACTACTGTCACGCTCTAATATAATTCATACCATTGCCCAACGATGTTTTTCTTCAAGCAAAGCATCTCGTTCTGCTTGAATCACACGCCATGCTTCGCGTTCTCTTTGTATCCTCTGAAGCTCACCAGCAACAGCAGCTAATTCTTGCTCTTTCACCTTGACTTCGTTTGCAAGATTTTCTTTCTCCACAAGCGCCATTTGTGTCTTCGATCGTTCTTGATCGCGTTCTGCGGTTAGCTTGGCAACATTATCCTCATGACTTTCCTGTATATTGGATACCCAGGTGCACACAAAAACAATGGGTATTCATTCTAGCATCGAGCGCCGATATGGCCATCTTTTTCTACAAACATACCATTCGCTCCATCAACTGCATGTTGAGTCCATTCAGCTCTTCCAGCAAACTCCGTGCTTCGCTGTCGGACCCTGCATTGTGTTGGGTTCTTGACAACGGTACCATCGCTGTTGTATCCTGGGCTCCAAAAAGCTTTGATACCAAGTGTCCAGCCACATTCATGGGCGCACTCAGCAACCAGCTCTGCTGAGCGATAGCCTCGGGAATATACGCCGAGTATGCAGAACATTCATTTGCATCTAATTTTGCAGGACTTACAACAAGCGCTGTGGACAAAGCTACATTCCGTTCTTCGTCACGTGCTTTTTCCGCCCGAAGAGCTTCATCCAACGCATCCGCTGCAGCAGTAGCAGACTCCATAATCTTGCTTGATACTACTTGTATCTGGTACAAAACATTCTTCCTGTCAACATGACACAAAACATAGCAGCAGCATGTCATGTCAACGACTCAATTCTTCTTCTTTTGTCCCAAAGTGATTGTTCATTTTCATTCACGTACCCTCGTAGTCTCGAGTACGAGTTATCCCACACAAGTCTTGCTTTTCCTGGTTGTATACATTGATACACGCCTTCAATAGCTTGTCCTGTCGTTGTAGATACATATCTTGTCCGAGCATGTACAATATCAACAAATGGCTCCTCCTCCTTCCTCTCCTTCTCCTCCATCTCCGGTAGCTCAGGTATAAACATGACACTAAAGTCAATATCATACTCTTCCAGCTCAAATTTCCACACAAGATATTGTAGTTCTCCTGTCTTCTCGTTGTTTGTCATCATCATCATCATTTCATCTGCTTTTACTTGTACCATAACTTCCTGTCTTGACCCTCTTGAGATATAACACTTTTCCATTGGAAAAGGCTGGAGAATAAAATCAATTGCTGTCATATGCATTCGTGCACCTTTCTCATTGTCACGTTCTGCTATAAAATCCAGCCATTCTTCTTGTCTTTGTAATCGACTTGTACACCAACACGTGGCTAAGAATGCAGTCATTTCAGTACACCATTGAGCAAGTATTGAATCATTATGACGATGGATTTTCGATGGAAACGTTGGAAGACGCGGGAGGGACGGAGAAGTGTCACGTTCTACGTGAGTGGCTGATTGAATCGTCGTCTGTAATACGTGATAGAATGTCTCTAAAGGACGTTGGATAGAGTATGAAGTCTTATTTTTTGTCACAATGAATTCAACCTGATAGCCATAGAGATCACGAGGAGAGAGCGATGAGGTGATTGTTTGTGTAAGACTTGAAGAAAGAATGGGATCGATACTTGTGATTACAATATCAAACACGTGGTCGTTATGAACACGAGCATTGGGAGCTGAGAATGGGATTGTATCGGACGTATTGGATAATTCGAGTCGAGACGAAAGAGGTGTTGGATTGATTTGAGTATCTGTCATTTAGTAAATGGGGTACTTTTTTGGTGTTGGATATTTCTTTAGACCGAATTAGATGGAACGGTTAGAGAAAATGGTTTTGTTTTGTTTATATTGCGTTTTTAGGATTGAGATTAAATATTCGGAATGGTTGAAAAATGCAGGGTTAGATGAAACAAGTCAAGCAATGTGAAGAACATTTTGTCGTAAAGTTGATAATTTTTACTGACCAGATCTTATTTGTAGCTTTTTTTTACCTTAACGTCTTAAATAAAGCGCCTTATAGCATGTCAAAACTGATAGAGTGGATGAAATATCAACATCTCTCTCTTCTAGCTAAAACTATATACACAGATGCATTGTATCTTCTACAATATCGTTATCCACACATCACACTAGACTAGTTTCTGTCTTTACGTTTTCCCCATCTTTAGTGACAACTACTAACGGCTTCTTTCGAACGACTATCGACATCCATAGCTTTTTCCGTATTGCTAGAAACACGCCTTCTTTCCATTTAAAGTCGCACTTAGTTCTATATTTTGGATCGCCCAAGTTTACGTTGTAGAGACCATAAATATCATCTTAGACATTATTAAACCTCACGTGATGTTGCTATTTTGCTGATACAAATTGTCGATTACATTGCATTTCAAGGTTAAATTTACGGCAATAATCTTTTTGTCACCCTAACCTATAAGAGTAGTACAAAGTCTTATTACCGATCCTGGATCTTTTTACCTTATCGAACAAAATTCAACATGTCCGTTTTTTCAACTTCTCTTTCTTCGTTGGTAAACTAAATAGTAATTGTTTTTCACACACACACACCACGAAACTCCCTATAAAGTGAAATTTAAACTTTGTTCGAGAATCTGCTAAATTTTACTTTGCCATTTATTCTTTTGCTGTTAATTCCGACAAAAGTGTTTATCCAACATCTCTAAATTCTCTTCGCATCATTAGTAATTTTCCCTACTGAAAACTTCATCAAAAAGTGGTGAAAAAGCTGAAACGACAAAAAAAATCGTGATTTTTTTTCAACCTCGTGTACAAAACATCGAACTTGACGTCCAGAATCGTCGAAGAAGAAGAAGAAGAAGCAGACGACGAACGAGAGAGAGAGAGAGGCAGTGAGGTCTTTGAACGACTTGAGAGCAGCTGAAGGAAGACAAGAGAGTGACGTGATCCGAGGGACTGTACTGTACGTATGCAATCAGAGACTGTGAATACACAGGAAGAAACGGCTGGAGATTGTGCACCTCCTGCATCCGATGCAAGTGATGTTTCTGTGTCGTATGTTACAAATACGATTGGTGCAGAGTCACCTGCAACGCCCATGGAAGTAGCCATGGCAACACATGGAGCGAATATCTGTAGTTTAGAAGAAAAGGAAGAACAGTCTTTAAATTTACAGAAGCTACAAACTGAACCCATGACGTCGTCTGAAGTAACACACGCACAGAATGAACAGAGGAGAGAACGACATTGGCGACGTATGGTACACAGTGAGTTAAGGGATCGACTAGTAGCGGAAATGTATGTCAAGTGTTTGGAATGGGAAGATGGTTGGATGGTATCCTTACGTTTCTAATATGATGGAGAGGATTCTTTGGTGTCTTGTGTGTGTTTGTGGTGTTTGTAGGATGGAGCAGTTGCTACGGATAACAGGAGACCCGGATATTCGACATTTGAGAATGTGTGCGTCAAGATACGAGTCATTTGTGTGGAAGAAAAGTGCAAATCAAGTACAGTACAAACAAAAGCTGGAACATCGTATTGAGTCACTACGTCGTCAGCCATCGCATGGTGAGAACGAAGAGATGGAGGTGATGGTTCGACTGGTTGAAGGTCATCGACTTACTCTGATTCGGTCTTCAACTCCATCGTTACAATTACAACCAGCTGTGTCTACTATTTCGATGGTCACACCATCATCTTTGGTACCGTGTCTTTATCGTCAACACGAAATTCAGCAAGTTGATACAGATTGTCCACTTTCCGAACCCCCGCAACGACACAGCAATTCGTCAAATACTTGCAGGTCTAGTAGCGCTAGTAGCAGCAAACGTGGAGGGAAGCGGAAAATGCAACCGTCGTCGTGTGTATCTTCAACAACAGACGACGCTGCATCAGCTCTACGTGACGAGATGTACTTTGCCAAGCTTCGAGTGATGAAGAATCAATATCGTGATGAAGTTGCATTGGTCTTTCGAGAACTCTGTCGTGTGAATACAGTGATCCAGCACTCTGCGAGTTTGCGACGCCATGAATCGAACAACCTTACGGACTTTCTTGCGAATCTCAAGAAGATAATTTATTTGCTCGAGCAGCAGCCGGGTGAAGCTTGCGGTATGATTCCAGTCCGTAAACGCGCTGTTGAGTACCTGGATGTGGTGGAATCTCATATTCAGCGAAAGGTGTTACCGATCCTTCACCGTCTACGCCACACTTACTCAACAATCCTGCGTCCCATTGTGCTCAATTACATGAAGAATAATTTTCGCTTTAATCGACGATTCTAGCTCAAGGAGGAGGAGATTTAGTATGTTAAGGTGTATCACATTACACGTTGGACGAATGAAAAACATCCAATTTTTTTTTCAAAAGAAGGAAAGAAAAATATCGGACAAGAAATGGATATTATTCGCTCCTTTGCAAAGTGTTTAAGTACTTTTTTTATCTGGATATTATTGATCCTTATCCACTCGATTTTATCCTGATTTGAAAAGAATAAAATCGAGTGTAAGAAAAGAATTGATATCCATTTTTGTTTCTCTCATATTATGTCAACGTTAGAGATGGAACTCCGTACGCTGGACAAGCAGATTGCTAACTTGGTGCAGCAAAAAGCATCAATTCAGTTGCGTCTTGAGCGTGAAGGAAGTGGTATTCATGCAAAACCAATGAGTGCTGAAGTAGTAGATAGTAATCCATACAGTCGTTTAATGGCACTTAAGCGGATGGGCATTGTCAGGCATTATGAAAAAATCCGTGATTTTTCAATCTTGATTGTCGGGTTAGGGGGCATTGGTTCTGTCGCGGCTGAAATGTTAACACGATGTGGGATTGGTAAATTGATTCTCTATGATTACGATACAGTGGAACTAGCGAATATGAACCGTCTCTTTTTTCGACCAGAGCAAGCTGGGATGACCAAGACCGCTGCGGCAAAACAGACGTTATCTAGTATGTGACTCAAACCTGTATCATTTTATACATTGCCATTTTAACCCCAAAACTGATTGATTGATTAAACAAACACACACACACAAAAAACCAATTATCTGTCTTTTTTTTTTCCTTGTTGTTATATCAGGTATTAATCCCGATGTGATTTTTGAAGAATATACTATGGATATTACAACCACGACCAACTTTGAGCATTTATTGGATCGGATCCGACATGGAGGAGTGAATGGATATGATCCAATTCATCTCGTATTAAGCTGTGTGGACAATTATGCTGCACGTACAGCATTGAATCAAGCGTGTAATGAATTGAATCAAGTGTGGATGGAATCAGGTGTGTCCGAGGATGCCGTTTCAGGTCATATTCAATTTTTGCTACCAGGACGTACTGCTTGTTTTGAATGTTTGCCACCTCTTATTGTCGCAAGTGGCATTGATGAATCGACATTGAAACGTGAAGGCGTATGTGCAGCCTCCTTGCCGACAACAATGGGACTGGTGGCTGCAATGTTGGTGCAAAATGTATTGAAATATCTCCTTGGGTTTGGACAAGTGTCGTATTATTTGGGTTACAGTGCTATGACGGACTTTTTTCCATCGGATGTCATGCGTCCAAACCCCGAGTGCTCAAATGTACAATGTCGCAAGCAACAAGCTGTTGCGGAACACATTGGGTGGACTCCAATGGTTTGGAAAGCGCTTGGTCACGATGGACAGGAGAATCTTGTTGTCGAACATGACAATAACGAGTGGGGGATTGAGCTTGAGGAGAAGGATGCTAGTGGAGTTACAGAAGCTCCTGCTGTAGAGATGACAAAGCTTGCATCGGGTCTGTCGTTTGCATACGAGCAGTCCGTTGGAGCACTGGAAGCGGGTACTGTTGAGGATCAATCGGCTTTAGTCGCGGATGCTGACATAAGTTTGGAGGAGCTGATGGGACAATTAAAGTCCCTTTGAACAGAACAAAGAAGACACGTGAAGCGGACATCAATTTTGCCGAGATGTTTGTTAGTGGTAGTGAGTTTGATAGAGGAACGAAGAAAGCTGCATGCTGTAGAATGCTTGTTCAGACTAAGTTTCTTGTGCTTGAACTTGTTACTAAGTATCAATACAATTCTGAAAGATGTACAGCAAAGCAATGCTCAACGCCAATATGACCTTGTTCCTTGCCGCGTCAATCAAAAGCCACTTTGACAGCGCTTCATATAATTATGTTGATGTGTAGGGTCGATACGACGGCATCCAATGCAAATGAAGGCATGATCACTTCAGCACATGTGTAAAGCTTTCTGAAAAGCAAAGCCCAAACTCAGCAATCTCGTGTGCTCGTTTGTGCGTGATTGTCGTTTGACGCCATATACAATTCACAAAGCTTGGTGACAATATTGTTGTTACTCCTTCGCGTTTCTCCCGTACGAATTTTCTACGTAGCTGGAGACGACATCGAAGAGCTAGCTTTTGATGCTGTGCTCCCCGCAGCTCGTTTATGGCAGTGGCATGTCCAGCACTCTGACATCGACGGTCTGTCGCTTTTTAGAAGAGTGTTTGGAATTCGTGAGCAGACTGTTCAGTCTCCAATTCCTCCCGTGCAATTCCATCGCACTCTCGTACAACCGACATGATTCACGAGATGCGTCACAATTGTTCACATGATGTAGCACACATTGACCGTTGACGAGTTAAAGCTGCTCTCTCATTCTTTGAATTCAAGTTGCAGCAGTGCCACGTAATCCATAACATAGTCCTGCTGTCGAAGGCTTGACACCAATGTAGCATGTGTTACATCGGAACGTAAGAAATGTCCCCTGATGCTAACTCATGCTAGTCTCTCTGTCAACAATAATGACTTAGGCCCAATAGCTTGATAATCCCTGTCTTGCTCGAGTCGTTTGAAGCGTAGCCAAAGCGCAAGAATGTGGCATGGTTCACCGACCAAGCTACTGCAGAACGCAATTTTGCCAGCTTACAGTAGCTCAGTCGGCCAGTTGCGAGCCAATCACTCTGCACAGGTTTTAAATAAGCGTCAAGGTATGGAGTGCAATTGACCGTAATCTACACAAATTGATGCAAGGTATGTTATTCCAGCAACATCTAGACATGGACAAGTCAGCCACGTCAAGCGCAAACACAAAAGTGAGTCTCTTTTGTCAAAATATCACATCCATTCTCTACACAACAGCTTACTCCTTTGTCCCGGTAGCCATCTTAATTTTCACCTTCAACTATGCATCTTGAGTCTCGTGTTTCTTCAGCTGCATCTCTAAGGACTCGATGTGCTTCTTCATGAGAGCAATCTCTTGAGCTTGACTTGCCACTATCTTGAGCAGATCATGCTTTTCGCCCTCCAATCGTGCAGTCATTTGCTTGTACATATCCGATAGCTTTAGTGAATCATCTAACGTAGACCGCATTGACATCCGGCTTAACGCGATGCTCGGGGCATTGGATATAGCATCGTCGTCACGTTTGCCAGCCGGAGACTTCATGTGCTGTACGCCTGACTCGGACTTTAACGGATGTTTAGCGTGGATAGAGGGTCTCATGGATCCAGATACAGTATAATAGTCTTCTTCAGGCTTCATCACTGAAGGTGTTGAGGACGCTACGTGAGGTCTCATCGGCGGTGTTATAGCATCATTCCTCGCTGAAGACGGCGAGCCAACAGGTGGCTTCATTGGCGGTGGCGAAAGGTTTGTCTGCGATTTTGCTGGTGAAGGTAAAATACCGACGTGAGACTTGACCGGTGAGGGTAGTCCACCAACCGGAGGCTTTGGCGGCAAATGTGAAGCATCAATCCGTAAATTTGTCGATGTAGAGTGGCGCACGTGAGACGTTGTCGATGCATTGGCCCGAAACAAACTGCTAGCACTTGATTCTTTATCCGAGAATAATTTCTGAGCTTCAACTAATTTCGATGCAGGTTGTGAAGACTGTGCAAATGAACCTGATCGCGTCCAATCTGTGTGGTTTGTCGGAACAGAAGATCCAAACAGGCTGTCAGCACTTGGTATATGTTCCTGTTCCTCATTCATCGAACTAGACGATGGCAATACACTTGTATCCGAACGAGAAGTAGCAGAAGCAAAAAGATCAGCACTAGAGCATACCGGTTGTTCCTGTCTGTCTTGATCCTGTAAATACCCTGTCTCTTTCTCTAGCGACTGTGTCATGTTTGTCTCCTTCATAGTATTGTTTGCTTGTAATTGATTTCCATTTTCAACCACATTCCTCTTCTCCTCCGTGTGCGTCGTAGAAACAAAAGGGTCTTCGATTACCGACGTCTGCATTTGATCGCTAGCTAGTGACGTAGTCATTGAATTTGTATCCATCGGATCATATCCACTTTGTTTTGTTATCGTCATCGTCATCTTCATGTTCCCTCGAGGTCCAAAGGATAAATTACTCATTGATTTCGACGGTCTTCTGTATGGATTTTCTTCATTCTTCGGACGTTCTTTCATTGGTGGAAAGCCATTGGAAAATAGTACAGGAGCAGCTGATTCCATCGTCCTAGAAGCTGGAAAAGATGATCGTCTAGGAGCAACAACTGACTCGTTAGTTGCTGTAAATAGTACTTGTGCCTGTGAAGTGGTAGTACTACTACTACTAGCAGTAGTAGTAGTATCAGTATTTAAATCTACGGTCTCGTATATTCCACCAGTAGATTGCGAGGTGAGCGGAATTTCGTCCAATCCCGTGACACCTGGAGATTGCGCATTTATATTAGGCGGATGGTAGTAAAATGGACCTCCAGGTGCCGCACGTTGATATGAGCCACGATTAATCCCGTGATATGAACCCCCTAATGATTGAGGAGGTATTGGAATCGATGAACGTGATGGAGATGCACTTGGAGTGTCAGGAGAGTCGATAAAATGCTGCAGCAGTCGGTTCATTCTTGAGAAACTTTGTGATTTGCTACGGTCTGTGAAAGGAAAATGAGTCATTTTGGTGTTCAAATGGGTACAATAAATAGGCTCAAAAAGTGGCATGTGACATTTCAAAATGAAATTTGGGTACTGGAAAAACATGCAATTAATATGAGAAACAGTGATTCATACGAAGCAAAATAGTAGTAATTGTTGTAGTACTACTACTTACACGTAGTAAAGCTGAGTATTACTACAAAATGAAGCAAGTATGAAGCATACTATACAAAGACCTTGTGTTAATCGAGAGACGATAATATCAGTCTTTGGAGGAGACATATGGGTATTTTGCTTGCATAAGTCGTCGGTCTTGTAAGCTCAAAGAAATGTCATCGTAACAAAAAAGAAAGACTGTAACACTTTCATTCACTCACTCACTCATGAATCTCGTGCATCGTCGTAGATCTTCGCTATGGTAGCAAGCTCGCACTTTATCTGCGTAATAGGACACTCACCATGCTGCTCAATGTAGCGGTATATGCACGGGTAGCAAAAGACGTATCCAGATGGAGTCATAGCAGGATTTGCACGTTTCTTCTTACATAATGGACACAAGGCCGGGTTCATGGTAGCCAGTGCCAACGCTGGTCCTGAAAATTGAGGTGGCAGTGGTGGAGGTGGAATCGGTGCATCGGTTCCAGTGAGTCGCAACTTGACTGATACGCCCTCTTCCGAGTACATCCATTCAATGAACTTGTACCCTGCAATACCCAGCAACAGCAGCACATACGAGTGATCGACCGTCGCCCAAGTTACTTGAACCAATAGTCGTCGAATTCTATCAGTAATTCCTGAGCCGCTCAACTTGGTCAATACTTTCTCACGATACTTAGCTTCATGTTGACGAAAGATAGACTCGTCATCTGCTGTAACTCGCACGAGAACCGTCTTCATACATCTTAAAAAAGGCGAAAAGAACGGCGTATCGCCAAGGAGATACAACCAGTGATAGAAGAAGAAAGACCCTTGATACACAAAATGTGCATATGGATAGGTTGCTACAAAGCCTTTTTGAAGTGTTTGCAAGTACGCCAAGCTTTGAAGACGTTGCAAAAATCGACTCATTCGTTGTTCTCTTGTACCACCATTAGCACTTGCATTCCTCGTATTTGTCCCTGTCGTTCGAGCCAAAAGCACCACAGTCTCTTTATAGTACACATCTAGCTTTGTCTTCAAGTACGGTACAATTACCTGCAAGAACGAATTGATCAGTCACAATATATCGTCGATTATACACACGTTCTTACTATCTGTTGTACCCATAACGTACAGCAAAAAACAGGGTCAGTCTTCTCGCTCGGGAGGTCAATGCAGATGTCGATATCTTGGCATTTTCATTCACGATTATAACACGCTTCATACCATAAAACTTCTCAGTAGCTAAACCATCGTATCGCGATAGAAAGTAGCTCTCAATGCAATAGCGTAACAGCGCATAGCTCTCTTCAAAATAACGCACAGGGAGTGAGAGTGCTACATTCGGATACGATTCACATAGTGTCGTCACGAGATAGTCTAATGCAGGTTTAAATCCCTCCGCCATACGCTCTTGCATAAGTAATTCAAATAAAGATGGGACACAAGCATGACGGTCATCGCGAGCAAACCCCTGTGTTTGCTCGAGAAATAGCATACTTGTATGAGCAATGTCAAGGTGAGTACGGTACTGCGTCGCTCAGGTATTGTTTGATGCAATTATTTCCATACATGCATTATCATGTGGTCCACATTGCAGTTGAAGCTAACACACAATATTTTCCATGCATCCAATCAGAATGGTTGATGACGACATACAAAGGTTTCACGTCGCTCACTTTTCATTCCGCACTCTAGTACATACATAGTCGTATTGTATTGACTTTTCATACTGCCTAATGCGTTCTTCTACTACATTGTCCTTTCGTCGGTTCTTAAGTACGCACGTTGCTACTACGGACGTTGTGATTGCTAGCTACGCACGTACACCCATTGCATGTTTTAACGGATCCTTTACATCCCTTGAGGCTCCAGACTTGGGTGCGATTGCTAATACTGAAGCTGTGAAACGTGCAGGACTTGAACCAGTGGATATTCAGGAAGTTATACTAGGTAACGTTGTAAGCGCTGGGATTGGTCAAGCACCAGCACGTCAATCAATACTGAAGGCAGATTTTCCAACCTTTATTCCATGTACAACAATTAATAAAGTCTGTGCATCTGGCATGAAATCATTGGCACTTGCGTCACAGAGTTTAAGGAGCGGCAGTCAGCAAGTGATACTGGCTGGAGGGTTTGAAAGTATGACGAATGTACCACATTATTTACCCAAGGCACGCCATGGCTATCGACTGGGCAATGGTCACGTCCTGGACGGTGTTATTCATGATGGTTTGTGGGATCCGTACAATAATCAACACATGGGCATGTGTGGAGAAAAATGTGCCGAGGATTTTGGATTGAGTAGAGAAGATCAAGATACATTTGCTATGGAGAGTTATCGTCGTGCAGTGAGTGCAAGTGAGAGAGGGTTTTTTAAGACGGAAATTACACCAGTACGTATTGAAGGACGACGTGGCAGTGGTGAATCCAAGGTGTATGAGACTGATGAGGAGATGTTTAATATTAAACTTGAAAAGATCTCGAGCCTACGAACGGCATTCAAAAAGAATGGTACGATTACGGCTGCAAATGCATCCACATTGAACGACGGGGCAGCTGCAATGGTTCTTATGACTAGAGCTAAGGCTCGTGAACTCGGAGTCACTCCCCTTGCGCGTATTCGTGGCTTTGCTGATGCAGCACAGGACCCCGTTGAGTTCACCATTGCGCCTTCGAAGGCTGTGCCATTGGCGCTGAACCACGCAGGACTGCAGATGAGTGACGTCGATTATCACGAGATTAATGAAGCTTTCTCGGTTGTAGCGCTGGCCAACATGCGCCTCATGGATATCCCGCACGATCGCGTCAACGTGAACGGTGGCGCTGTTGCTATCGGCCACCCAATTGGCATGTCTGGAACACGCATTGTGGGCACGCTCATCCACATTCTCAAGGAGAAGGATGCCACTATTGGCTGTGCTTCCATCTGCAATGGCGGTGGTGGCGCTAGTGCGATGGTTATTGAGCGCTTGAGCTAGACAACAGGCAAGTGAGAGGCCTTAGCAAACAAAGAAACAACTCAGCGGTGAATAATATACTGTCATTTACTACTGACAGACAGCAGCGACTTGAACTTGTAGGTGGTCGTAATGAAGCAGATTGTTGTCATCAACGTAGCGTGGCGAAGATTTCTTGCAAGTTTTTTCGGAGCAAGAATCGCTGATCTTCTGTCAGTTCATGTGCATCACTTATGGTTTCCACAAACGATTCGATCTGTGCAAGTGGAACATCAAACTCTAGCATACTTAATGTGAACGAACCAAGCTGGCCAAACACAATGTTGTGTACGCGGCACACTGCTTCTTCGCGTGATGGCAGACCTGTCGCATTCAAAGCCAACCTTTGTCAGATTCTGTTCAAAACCACAGAATCGTGTGTGTTGGTACGATCAAGACTTACCGTCATGTTTAGGAACACCGCTCGGTAATTCTTCCCATGGGCATGGCTGCGGTGTCCGCTGTAGCTCCTCACCAATTGCCAACAAAAGCGCCTTTTCCCAAAACTGATTGCGGCAACACATTACGCATCACTTAAAATCCGCATGAACGACCACAAAGCTACAAGACTTACCGCAGGTGTTTTCCAAATGGAATGTTTTTTGACTTGTTCTTGCAAATACGTTCGAGTTGCACCGCGGCCAATTCCTTCTCCGTGCAGCAAAGGGTGCATTTTGTCTACAAAATGGAGCAGCTCTTTACTTGTACGCTCGGTATAGTCTCTGCTTTCCGTACACAGCACAGACGTCCGTTGCATCGAAGTGTCCGACTCACTGTCTCTTGAATGAGTGCATTCGTTGCGTCCCGACCGCGTGCTATCTGAATTGTCGCTATTTGATTCTGGTTGAGCCTCTTGCTGCGGCGCTTTTGGGTAGTAGAACGTCTCAGCCAAAATCATAGCAGTCTTTGCCGCTTTAATATCGTCGTGACGGACACACTCGTCAAGAAACGTATCAAAGCACGCGACAAGGGCTTCAAAACTTGCATAATCCTTTACCTTGGTCTCTAAACTGCGTTGCCGATTCAAGCATTTTACGAACAGAGCCCGACCCTCTGCAGTTTTGCACGTCTCACACACAAGCGCCTCAGCCAACGTTCTTACTTGGTGATTGCTAGACGTCTGCAAAGTCGTACCAACCTCATCGTTTTCATCGTTGGATGGTTGTCGTTGGAGATTGACCGTTGTTTCGCTTTCGGATGAGTCATTGAATGAGGACGATCCGTGTTCCTTATATCCTGCAAAATATTCATGAAGAGCGGCGCTCATGGGAGTCTGTTTGAGGACAGCATGTGGACTGTCAAGTGGAGCCACAGAGTCCAACACGCCAGTGGTAACACTCGACTTACATTGTGATGAGCTCAACGCTGTTGTCAAAACCGACGATGAAGACGATGACGCAAATAAACCGTTTTCAGTGCTACCACGACGCTCCAGCAGACCGGGTGGGTGTCTCCTTGCATTCCCCACATGATCCGCCTGCATTTTGCTCCACTGCCAATCCAACAAAGCCAATGCTTTTCCCTGAAAATGCATATTGTCTGGATCACGCTGATTATGAATAAATAGTTGTATGTCCTCAGCGCGACTCAAATTCTGCACGTGGATCTCGAGTGAATTTAACATTTGCTGCGAAAGCTGTAGTCGTTCCTTTTCTACATGAAGAAAGCGCTGCAAACTTGCATTCAGCTGATCCAATCGTTCTTCCTCTGCCTTCTGATATGCCACACTTACAGCCATTGTCATTTCATCTCTCGAAATAATCCGGTTGTACAATGTCGTCTTTGCACGTGCTCGTGCCATCACCGCCTGAGCTTGTTCTTCTTCACTCCTAGCAACACGAGCAGCAAGTCGTTGCAGTTCAAACTCTGGTACACCAATCTCCTGCATCAATACACACAAACACCTCATTTATCAGACCAAAGAACACCTCTCTCTCTCTCTTGTAATTCCACTGCCTACATGCAGTGCAAGTCTTTGTCTCTCCTTTGCTTCACGTAATTCCAACGTAGATCGATGTAATCTACAAGCAGCTTCTCGATACACTGTCATTGCCGCTTCATACTCGTTATTAGCATTAAGAATCTCGCCCTCAAGCGTCTGGATGTAGGTCTCCGATGCGTCTTTCAGTGACTCGAGAGGTCCTGCAACCTGATCATCCAATACCTGAGCCATCAACAGCTGTTGTCTGCAATTTACTTCAATACATCCTTTCATCTCTAGTATCGCGCGTCGAATTCCTGTTCCAGCTTCTTCCAACGTCTCCATCTCGTCTACAAACAGCTCTTGAAGCAATTGCGCATTCGCGCTACGTTCTGCCTCTGCTTTACGACGAAAAAACGACGCTAGACCTTGTAGACTACGCTTTCCTTTATCCGCATGCTTATAAATGGCACTGAATGGTACTTGACAGAACGTACGACGCCATTGATTCTCCTCGTTCATGGCTGTCCACTTGGTCGTGGTACTCATGGTCGATGAAAAAACAAATGCTCTCAAACTGTAGTGACTCTATAAAAGATGGAGTTTTGATCACATTGTATGTATACAAAAATGCAACTGTTCTTATAAATGACAGCAAATGGAACGGGGTAATTTTTTAACATCATATTTGGTCCTCAATTTTTCACCCGCCTCTTCATTTGACCCAATTTTTCTTCCCCTCTTCTGTCGTTTTCGTCTTCCATCCAAAATCTACCTAAATCCTACCTAGCACCTACTACTATCATGTGTCTAAACCTCTCTCTCTCATTCACTCGCTCTTCCTTCTGCTCAAACATTCACCACACTTCTTCTTCTTCTTTGCTCCTCATCTTGTTAACATTTAGTCGCGCTTTGCCTTCGAGAGAAAAGAAAAAAAACAGTCGCTCCAAACTCGCTCACTCACACACACGAGAAAAATGACAGCAACTTTTGTCTTGAACAATACCGTCGTATACCACATTCTCAAAGAGTCAGCAAGTGTCGAGCTATGTGTGAGCTTCATTCTTGCTGGGGACTTCTTCTTCTTCTTCTTTCTATGCCACATACAGACGAAGATAAGAGGCTTCTCAACCACTTACTTGTTCGCTGGTATTATTTGCATTGCCTTGCTGGATTCAGGTCGGTCGCTTTTTATTTAAACTGCCCATGAAACTTTGTTCCAGAAGCTGGCAAATTGTATGCCAAAGATAACGATTCCTTGGACAAGTCGTCGACGTCAGGCGGTACGTCACTGCTGCTCAATCCTCCCCGTCCAAACAACGCCGAATCTAGTGGATTGTCAGCGACGACGGTCTCATGTTGTTGCTGTGAATCAGTTGAAAGATACTCTTGCTGCAAAAAATCACCCAACGATTGATACGGTGCGCTATTGACGCTGTCTGTGTGCATTCCAAACGCACTATGACCAACGCTGTTACCACCAAAGCCACTATTGATAGACAAGCCCATGCCCATCATCCCATTACCAAAGCCGTCTCTGTCGGAATTGACAGTAGTTTCGTTGTTTACGTATCCGCCGTCTGAGTTTGAGTGCCACGCACTCGATCCATGAAGAGGAGTGCCACCGCTAAGATGGTTTGAAAACATCGAAAATAATGGTGCTGGAGCAGGAGGCAACGGAGGTTGTTGCTGATGCTGTTGTCCCCGCGGCAACGGCGGAGAGCCCCACGACTGCTGCTGCCAAGGTGCTGCTTCCCACGATAAGCTTGACGATTCACTGCTATCGTTCACCAGTCCATGTGGGAGATAGCTCAACTCAGAATGTGAGGCAAGAGAGGCGTCCGAGACACGTTGAGGGCCTGAGCTAGGTGATAGTTTCCACTGCTCAATTACTGGATCATTATTGAGAGGGCGCAAGGCGATGTCCAATGGCGATAAGTGCCCGTTTGTACCTGATATCGTAGCTGAGTCAACCAGGTGGTCCGCCGATCCGCGTGACGACGAGCTTGCCGACAACGGCGGGGAAGCAGCAGCACTGCCTATAAAACCGCCACCCCGAGACAAGACTCCATCACTTAGCACGAGACTGGAGAGAGCATCTGCAACACCGCTGATCGTGGAGGTCTCAAGGTTAAAGCCGTTACTGAGGCTGCTGGCGTCCAGTGATCCAGAAGATGTCTGTGAGCACGACGAAAGCATGGCATTAGAGCTGGATGTCTTTGGTACTCCTCGACCACCATAGCGAACAGCAGCAGCGTAGCCCCCCGAGCATGCCATTAGGCATAAGATTAGCCGAAGCCGAAGACGTTCGACTCGATTTCTCAGACCCCATTGAAGCACCACTAACAGAGGGTACACTACCAGACAGCGACATTGGCGGCGTTGTCGCGGAGATCACGTCGTCCATGCTTCCCACAGAGCCAGGCCCAGATGGACCGCTGAAAGAGCCTCCACGAGACGACACGGACCTCGGAGGAGGTACGTCCGTACGCGGGACAGCGCGCTTTACTTCGACGGATTTACCATCAATCACGTGATTCTTGTCCTGCAGCACGAGCTCAACGCTGGTCTCGCTTTCAAAAATGACAAAGCCAAATCCACGCGACTTGTTTGTCTCGCGGTTGAACATCACTTCAGCCGACACTACCTTGCCGTACTGCGCAAAATACTTTTTGAAGTCCGCTGGAAAGACGCCGCATCACATAATCGCATAATGATGATCAGTGCAACGTCGACATGTACACTACAGGCACACTAAGCTGCAACGTACCATCTTTTGTTTCATAATGTAGACCACCCACAAATATTTTTTTCGTGGCGCCAACAGCACTATTTGGACTGATGCTGGATATTGAATTAGCACCGTTTCCACGATTGTACGACGAAGCAATCCCGATTTCACGCATGCTATCAGCACGCGGAACGGCACGCTTCGCTTCAACCTAGTGTGCCACAACACGGTCGAGAATGAGAGTGCATCAATCCAACCATGGTAGGTAGTAATACACTGCATCAACGTACTCTGCGGCTGTCTAAGATGTGATTAGGTTGTGCCAATGCCCTATCAACACACAACGGGTCTGCATACGTAATAAAGCCAAAGCCTCGTGATCGTCTAGATATCGGGTCCTTCATCACCACGGCATCCGTGACCGTGCCGTAAGCGCCAAAATACGACCGAAGTTTTTCTGCAAGACACATCATCACAAACAACAACAAAAATCACCACAACAGTCCTATGAAACACCACATCTCATCCTTCTGATACAGCGTTTCAAGCTCACCATCTGTCGTCTCGTATGATAATCCACCAATGAATATTTTTCTACATACAAAACATAGACGAAAAAGGTATCAAACACGTGGTCAAATGCGTCCGTCCATTAGCAAGACCCCCCCCCTTCCCTTCCCTTCTCGCTTGCTAAACACTTGGATATATATTCATTCATCCACTTGAATCTAAAGCCTTGACATCTAGATCTTTCCAATCACTGTCATTTATACTACGAACGTACCCTAGCTTGGTCGTATCTGCCATTCTCAAGTCACCACTAGACTCTGTGTCACTGTCTCTGTCTCTATGTGGCTCTCTGTGTCTGTGTGTTAAGTCAAGTTAAATTCGTTCCAACCACGTTCAAGTTGTGCGACAACTCGGATGGTGGTTTACGTTTACTTGTCAATTGTTTCCAAGTCTCCTTGCACTGTCAATCTTACTATATAATATCAAATGTACACACTAGGACGTGGAGAGAGAGATAGCGAGCGAGCTGTAACGAATCCTCTCGAATCGATCAAATTCTCTCTCGTCTTCTTCTTCCGACGGCGACTGCAAATATCAATACTGTACAAAGAATTTGCTGCTTTCTTTCTTCAGTCTTCTAACCTTTTTACGTATGCGTACGTTGTGATAGCGAAGAGTAAACGCAAGAAAAAGACACGTAATCTATTGTCACGGTCTTCTTCTCGGTGCTTTGAAAATGTCGTGCGTTCGGTCAGCGTGTTGGTTTTGTTTCAGTACTGGGTCGTCGTCTACTGTGAATATTGCAATAAAAGCGCGACATTTTGACAATAACAAGAAGCGATCACTTACAAAAATGCCGTATAGATGTATACGCATCTGTACACATCATCCGGATATTTGTGCCACAATCATGTGGTACACCCGCTCATACTTGGATTCGCCCGTGAAAATGACTGCGCTACTTCTGCGTCAATCCGTAACGTCTTTAACCACGTCCTCGTGGTCGTTGCGTCCTTATTTTCGCAGGAAATCGTTCTCCAACTTATGTACACATATTGTGACTGATAACAAGTCACTGACTGAAACGCTACGTGAGCTGCGGGCCAGTGAACACTTTGATCTGATTGTCATTGGGAGCGGACCTGCAGGCCAAAAATGCGCTATTGACAGCGCAAAACACGGCTATTCAGTGGCAATAATTGATAAACGTGACATGATGGGTGGTGTATGTGTACATACAGGCACTGTACCCTCAAAGGTGCAGTAATTATGCAAGATTCCTTTGAAAGTATCTGGATAGAACGTTGTAACGACTACAAACTAAACGTTTTACGGTTATTCTGCTGTAGACATTTCGTGAAGCGGCGCTGCATTTGACAGGATATCGTCACAAAGCCTTTTACAATGGTCAAGCAGGACCTAGCAAGCGATTTGGAGTCGAGGACATTCTACAGCGCGTCAAGAAAGTGGAAAACGCTGAGACGGATATTACACGCCATCAGTTATTGCGCAACGGAGTGCAGATCATTAATGGCACGGCAAGGTTTATGCCTGGCAATAACCACATGGTTGCAGTACTGTCGAATGAGTCGTACGAGACTGCAACGGACGCCAAGCGACATTCGAGCGCTGACATTTGCAAGCGGTACTGACACACTCGATTTTTAGAGACTTTATTTTTCGTTGTTTCGTACCATTCTTTTTTGATAATTCGTGTGCATTTGGTTGATTGCAGTGTGTTGACCGCTGACAATTTCTTGGTGTGCGTGGGCACAAGACCGGCACGCCGCCCGGGCATCCCATTCGATGGAGAGACTATCTTTGATAGTGACCAATTGTTGTGGGGAAAGGTAAAGACAGTACCACGTCGCTTGATTGTTGTTGGCGCGGGTGTTGTGGGCATGGAATATGCGTCCATGATGACAATAATTCCCGGCACAGATGTGACAGTGATTGATGGGCGCAAGGAAATTCTTAACATGGCGGACAAGGAAGTTTCGGAGGCGCTATGTTACTCCATGGCTCAAACAGGAACCCGATTTCTTGTTGGTGAGATGATTAAGAATGTAGAGAAGGCTGCAAATGGCGAAGTCTTTGTGCACCTGGAAAGTGGCAAGACTGTTGTTGGTGATGGTCTGCTTTACACGGTCGGACGTCAGGGAAATGTCGAGGGCTTGAACTTGGAAGCGGTAGGCATTGTTCCGGACAAACGTGGACACATTAAAGTCGACAACAATTTCCAGACTGCGGTGCCTCACATGTACGATTAAAAGTCATTCATTTGTGAAAAGCCATGGTGAAGTGCTAATGCTTGTGTTGATCTCATGAAGTTATGCAGCAGGCGACATCATTGGCTTTCCTGGACTCGCGTCAACGTCAATGGAACAAGGTCGGCTTGCCTCCGTTCACATGCGCACTTCCAAGTCATTTTACACAAAGGAGATTTCTGACGAGAAAAAGATGGATGATCCGGACCGCGTACGCACTCGCATGCGCTCTGGTGAAGTATTTCCTTTTGGCATTTACACTGTGCCGGAGATTTCCATGGTGGGCAAGAACGAACAGCAACTAACAAAGGAACAGGTTCCGTACGAGGTTGGCGTAGCTCGTTACGAAGAATTGGCGAAGGGACAAATGCTAGGAGGTGTTCCTGGCTTTCTCAAGCTTATTTTCTGTCCCAAAACCCTTGAGATTCTTGGTGTCCACGCGATTGGCGAGGGTGCTACCGAAATTATCCACATTGGACAGGTTGTAATGTCTACTGGTGGTACTCTGGAGTACTTTCGCAATGCTGTGTTCAATTATCCAACACTGGCGGAAGCCTACCGTGTGGCAGCACTGAATGGTCTTCGCAAGGTTGATCACTTGAGCGATTCTTAAGTGTCTGACAAGCGATAAGGACGAGGGAGATGGTAAAGAAGACAATGATCAAGTAGTTATACTAACACGAATGGAGTGAGTGGGTGTGACAATCATGCATTAATGTGGAAGGCGTGATGGAGGCAAACAAGGGAATTGTAGTAAGGAGCGCAGGATGGATACAATTAATTCACAATCGTCATTTTCCCCCACTGAAATGTATTGTCCTGAGCGGAATATATGTGACTTGTTTTGGGCTGATTTTTTATTTTCGGTAGAATAAACGCATTTCACTGCAACAACTAATACTTGAAGTATCTCTCACTGGCTCTTAGCTGTAAGTCAAGGACCGTGTAAAACGTTCAGAACGCAATGCACCACGCTTGTCATGAGCAAAGGTTTGTCTTGATACCTTCTTTACTCATACATACCTTGCGTGAAAATAAAGTCTACATTTGCTCAAATACAATCATAACATACGTTTATCATCTACTGCTTACGATATAGTGAGTACAATCTTGTGAGTACAATCTTGTGAGTACACTTTCTAAGTAAGTCCACTTTCTAAGTACACTATCATGTGCAAAATTTCCAATAATCAGGTTGATTTCTATGTCGTGTGTTTTACATTTCTAAAATAGCGAATTGCACCTATGCGCTCAAAAAACAAAACAGCCGGACGACACCCCCCTCCCTTTTTTTTTCATGCGTTTCGTCTCTTGTCAATTGTGTTTTAAATTTCACGTAAAATAAATCTCATGAATATATTTCATCCGTGTGTCGCTGTGTTTTTTATCCGCCATTTTGTACAACAAACAATAGCAACAACCTCAATAGAAAACTGTCTTTCTTTCTTGTCAGTTATAAAAGACCAGGTAGGTGACACCCCCTCTCTAGACTTGGAGACGTGTGTATATATTATAATCAATGACAAAGGATACCCATACAATACTACCGAGTCAAGCTACCGTCATGCAAAAGAACTCGACGACAACGTGTTTAGAAACAACCGTAAACTATGATAAACTTACGACACCAAATAGTGATGAGTCACTTGTTTTAGGACAACGTCTTTCCTCGACATCATCTCATCATTCAAGAATGAAACACCATGAAGAGGAAACATTTAGTGTGTTGGATCATCAGCATCATCATCATCATAATAATAATAATAATGGACAAGAGACTCGAGAAGAAGAAGAAGAAAACGACGAGGAGAAGGAGGACGAGGAGGGGGGGTATGATGATTTAATGCACGGTATTAATTCATTCTGGGCAATTATCTTTCCCGTCTGTATGACAATGATTATTGCAAGTCTTGTGGTTGTGAATTACCGTAGTGCTAGTATTGAAGCATCAATGTCGACATATTTAGTCTATGGTGATTCTGGATCCAATGATACGAATGATGGTACAAATGGTACAGGTTTTGGTAAATCAGTGGTGAATGCATTGGTCATTATTGGAGCAATTGCGGTCTTAACATTTGGTATGGCATTGTTATATAAATACAATTGCATGAAATTCCTACGTGGTTACATTATGTTTGCGTCAACTGCAATTTTAAGCTTTGTTGGTGGACAACTTGTGGACGAGATTGTAAATGATCACTTTAAGTGGATTATTGACTGGCCATCGTTTCTCTTTATTATGATAAATTTCGGATTTGTTGGCGTCATTTCAATTTTTTACCAGAAAGGAACACCCAAGGTTGTACAAAATGGCTACTTGGTTATGGTCAGTGTTATCTTAGCTTGGGAATTCTCTGCATGGCCAGAATGGACGACGATCACCTTTTGTGTCATGTTTGCTTGCTATGATCTATGTGCTGTGCTTACACCTTGTGGACCGCTCAAGTACTTGATTGGATTGATTCAGGAAAAGCAAGCACCATTACCGGGTTTACTTTACGAAGCTGATGTTCGTGATGGTGTTTCGCACGATCACCATCGACAACAGCGGCAGCAGCAAGAAAGACGTTCAAAAAAGACGCCGACGGATGAAGTTGCCACTACGAAGCGGCAACCGTCATCGTCAACCTTACAGTCATCAAGTACCAGTGATCAGAATATCAATGTCAACACGCCAGTGGCAAATGTCAACGCTTCTGAGATTAACAAAACCCGCGCTATGCTTCCCCAAGGCTTGAGTCAAGGGCTGGTGGCGGCCCCCGTCCAGACGACAGGACCTATGGACTCGTCTCCGATTCCCGTCATGTCTTCTGGACGACGACCCCGCAACGTGGCCGAGTCTAGCTTCACTACATACGAGTGTGAAACGTTGGAGGCGCTCGTGAGTCTGCTCATTGGGTTTTATGAGACGTTCAGTCCTGAAGACACGTGGAAGGCTTCGCAGGTTGCGGAGAAGTTTTTTTCAACGCAGGATCGCCTGTGGTTGCTGATTTTCCACAAGTACCATGTCTGTTCGTGCTCGATAGATATGCCGTGCTCAGTACAGACAAGACGTGACCGTCGCCGACGTGAACGCGAGGAGGAAAATGCGGACGATAAAACGATTAAGCTGGGACTGGGTGACTTTATCTTCTACAGTGTGTTGGTTGGTCGTGCTGCTATTAAGGACTTTTCCACCTTTGCTGTTGCCTTCGTGTGCATTGTGATGGTAAGCACGCGCGCCTGAACTCTGTTTGTGGAACAATTTTACCTGTAGCTGATAACTGTGCTTTTTCCATTGCTTATTGACAGGGTCTTGGAGGAACGCTCTTTCTTCTTGCTGTACTGCACAAGGCGCTGCCAGCATTGCCGATCTCCATTTTTTTGGCCACAATTTTTTACTTCCTCACGGAGTACATTTTCATTGATTTTTGCAGTTTTATGATGGCGTTCCCTGCCGCAGTGTAGTAGAAATGTATGAAGAATGAAGCTACTACAAATGCTTATGTTTTAACGCCAGCACCGCGATTTAGCTACAAAACCTCATTGGTTAACTTGTCTGTAGGTGAAGTGCAGATGAAGCATTGCATCTGGCTTGAAATGATTTTGGCTTTACAACCACGCTGATCCAACTTACAGTCGAAGCTTACAATGACGTGAATGATACACCAGCTCCGTGTTTTCAGCTTGCTGTTGTCTTCTGAAGAAGACCAAGGTGAATATCAACTTCGCTGACATCTCTTAATAGTCTGGGTCGGCTTCGTCCACAGACTTCGCAACAATCGCAACGATGTTAAGATCATCATTTGCTTGAGTGGTAACCCACGAGAGTACTCGTTTGGTCGAAAAGCTGAGATCAGCGGGTACGGCAGAGTTGACACCTTTTACCAGATAGATATGCAAGTGAATATGCTTGTCAGTGACTTAGCCATTCTTCTGCTGCCCTTGGATGCACAACATACCCGAGTGTATTAATACGGGGAAACACCAACCAACACATAGGATGTGACGAACTAGCTGTTGCACGAACACGTTGAAAATCTTCAGATACATATATAAATGGAGTAGAGCTTGGACAGTAAAACAATCAAGCAGGATTAGTGGGTAACAATCATCTGTCTGATGCAGAAAGCAAACACCGTTACGATAGAATAAAGCAAGAACCCACTCAATGTGTGAGACACCCAATTGTGCTGCTGGTCAAAAGGCTTACTGGCTGGCCATCTACTTTTTGAAGGCGGTATCAAAGAGCACGACGACGGCGCTCATGTTGTCGCGACTACCCTTGGCTAAACACTCATCCAGCACCATCTCTGCAATGTCCTTGGGATCCTTTACACCATCTTTTAGCTTGCTGCGAATGAACTTACGTAGCTGGTCGTTACTCATGACGTCAAAGATTCCGTCGCAGCACAGCACCAGAAACTCATCCGCCGGGTCGCGACGCTGCACCCGGACACAAGGTTCCGACGTTACCAGCTGCTCATGAGGCTTCAACTCAGAATTGCGTTTAAACCACAAGTCACCAAAGCTCCGTGAGACAGCTACACCACCGCACACGCGACCACGAAAGACTGTTCCTCCTGCTGCTAAAATACGCTGCTTTTCAAATTCCAAATCTGGTTTATGGTCAACTGACAATTGCAGTACCTCTGGAATCTTAGCATTGCTCAAAATGCATCGTGAGTCACCCACATTGGCACATACCACGTCTTTTGGCGTCACAATAGCAAACAGTCCCGTTGAACCCATTTCATCAGAAGAAGTTTTAAATTGTGGATGGTTTTTTAACATGTCATCAGCAACCATGAAACCCTCACACAAAGCCATAGCCAGAGACTCTGGCGACTTGTGATCGTTCTTAAAAGCTTTGGTATCGGTAATAGCTTTTACAATCTTCTCAGCTCTGTAGTATAATAAAAATCAAAAAGGATCATAGACACATAAAACCATTAAAACATTAGTATAAGAATAAAACTACATTCAATGTAAAAATTCAAAAAGTTCACTATGGCCAAAATAAAATAAAAATAAAAAACACTCACGTACATGTACGTGGAAACAGCAGATCCCCCATGACCGTCAAATATAGCAACACAAATGGTATCAATTGCATCTGGATGCATTGGAATATTTACTATATCAACGTCCTGTTTACAAAAATAAGAAAAAAAAGAAAAAACATAAATAAGAAAAAAAACCATATTATATCTTCCACCGTAAACGAGCTTAATGTTATACTGAATCGATTTGGCAGCTATATAAAATGATACGACTAATTTGTGTTTTATTTCTACCTCCATTGCATCACGCCATCCTTGCATACTTGCTGTACCAATGGTCATACCAGGTGCTGTAAACGTCTTGGAAGTCTTAGTCGTAATGGGTTCAGTAAGAAAGCGTGACATCTTTTAAATCTCAAAAATTAAGTTTTTTTCTTATAAGCGAAGCTTCAAAAAGTCAATGAAAAGTACCTTTTTGGGTAATTTATGGGAGAGGTCAAAGCTAGAAGCTGTTTTTCATATTAAAAAAAGATGAAGAAAAAACATCAAGCAGGACCAAATTGAGTTTTATGCGAAAATAATACATAAGTCCAAACGTTGGTTATCAACATCGATCAGAATAAAAAACCAAAACCACCACGTAAGAAAAAAGAACTGGTAATTCGTAGCTACGTTGAGCTGGTCGTACATACGTACAGTACAGCTCTTGAAAGCTCGAAGATATCTTACCTTTTGTAGCCGAGTTGCTGTAGCCAAGCTACTTATGCACTACGTGCAGAGGAAGACAAGCTCCAAGAGCTTCTACGTCTTAGGGTTCTTAACCCTCCCAAGGCTAGCTCACAAGCTTATGCCTTTTGGTTGTGAACAACCGTGTCGCCAAGAGACTTCGTATTAAAGATACATTTCCTTAAAAGGAATAGAACGCTCAAGCACTTAAGCTTTTTAGAGCAGGTTTGAAACTGATTTATATTCACGTTTATCTTCTAAATATAGAAGTAACTACTCTATACTTAGTGCTAGTCACGATTACTGGCTCTGTAGCCTATTAATATGCAAACATGTATATTCACTGTACTTGACTAAGTATAGTGACCACGTGGCTCTCTCCAGTCGCAGCTTTGGTTGCAAAATTGCGCGTGGACTGGAGAAGAATATTTCAGGGAACTCAGCACTGCTCGAGACGCATTGCAACTTGATAGTGCACACTCCCACTCGTTTTTTCAATCAGCTGATGATATTTCGAGCTATACAGAGAAATTGCCACGATGCGACCCTTCGTACCTTAGGTACGGTCACATCAACCTACCACTGTACCCAAGGTACAGCCACACCACATTCGTGTGGCATGTGTATGCACAATACACACATTTGTGTAACCCCGTTACACCCCCCACCAATCCGTTACCCACAATTTTTTGAGGAGTCATCGATTTCATTTTCTTCCATTTTGCTTGCCTCGCAATAAGTGCCTCGCACTTGCGAACAAAGCCTTCGTGTTACAACACTCTCTCATTAAGCACCTGTGCGTTGCACTCACGCTTCCTAAGAACCCTGGTGTTAGGGCACTCGTTTATAAGCGTTAAGCTCCAAGCACTTGGTACTAATACCCTTTTAGCTTACGAACACTTTCTTTTACAGCATTAAGTGCCTAGAACTTGTTTTTACGCATTACAGTGTTCCCAACACTTGCTTATATTACGCTTGTTGCATCATGGATGCTGCAATGCGTCGAAACATCTTTGGTAACGATGACCGTGACGTTGCTTCTAGGGGTAGCGGCACCGAGTCTCTGTTGGGTCATAGTACTACAAGATCACTACGCTCACCGAGCGAGGGACGCCAATCGCTTTCGTTTCTTCTCCCTAAGGGAAAGAACTGCCTTGCGCCAAGCACCACCGCTTCCCTCGCGGGAGGGTGCCAAAGAAGAGGTAATCAACCCTTTTGACGCTGCACAGCGTCGTCAACTTGATGACTAGGCCCAGACAGCCGCCTTGGCACGGCCCAAACAAACCTTTTCACGTCGTGATTATGGGTTCGTGCCTCGGGACCCCAATGAGGAATCTCGACGAGCTGCATCGCAATCTTTGCGTACTCAGACCCGTACTGCTTTCGAGGTTGCGGGTCGTGCCGCGCTTCGTAAGCGGCTCCTTACCTCCCAGGAGTTTACGATGGAATTGTATCAGGGGCGACTGTCACGACAGTCACGTGGTGTGCTAGTGCACCCACTGAAAAACATACTAGTGAGACGATTGCCACAGGAAATCCGTGTTGTCTAAACACACGATCCATGAACAGCTTAGCTGTTCCTTCTCCATCAATGGAGTCTGACACTGCCTTTAAATGAGCCATCTTGCTCAGTTGGTCAACAAATACCACAATTCCAGTGTTGCTTGCCGCATCACGCGGTAGGCCAAACACACAAATTCCATACTAATGGACTGACACAGCTCCGAGAGTACAGGCAAACTCGCCAAGGCGCAGCCATACTAAGCGAGGGCTTCACCCTTTGACACGTTTCACACGTGCGTACATATGTACCAACCCATTTATACAACTTGGGCCACCAACAATGGGTGTTCACCGAGATGTAGGTCTTTTCACGACCTAAATGACCACCAAGTGGTGTATCATGAGTCATAAAGTATCTGATACTTGAGGTTCTCATCATGAGGCACCACAACACGACGCTGGTCATCCGACCCTGTAATATAGTACAACAGACCATTGGTCAGTGCATAACGGTATAATCTAGCACGATTACGTGGTGACAGCTTCAACTTAGTTTTTAAACTCGGCGCTACCAGTGCCTGCAAAATGGCAGCACAAGTCTCATCGCGTGCATACGTTACACGGATACGATCCGTGACTGACGAAGTCACAACAGTGAGATGAGTAAGCTCATAATCAGGTCGACACTATATCCTGTCAGCCAAAGCATTCTATTTTCCCGGCTTATACTTCACCTCGAAGTTATACTCCGCGAGAAAAGAGAGCCAACGAGCCATTCTCTGCGAGAGATGAGGCGACTGTGTTGCTGTGCGTAACGACGCATGATCGGCATAGATCACAAACGGCTTTGAGCCCAACAGGTGCGGTCCAATATCCACGCCAAAAGCGCGTTTGTTTCCTAGTAGTGTGTGATCGTGAAGTAGTTACCTCTCGCGCTAGCATACCATGAGCTTTGAATACGTTAATGAAATTTGTTTGCCTTTTTTCCGTCTGGATATTGCGAACATCCATCTGAATGACGAGCAAATGCAGTGTAAGAGCAAGAAAACACTAGGCAGATTCAATTGCGCCTACAACACAATGCGTGCGGCTTTTTGCTTTTCATACCGAGTACATTACGGCACCCTGTCATCATTGAAAGACTGCACGGGTGCGTGACTTAATGACTAAAATAGCTTCAATGATAGGTATGCATGTCGATTCAGGCAAATTGTTAGAAAACCATACTCAACCTGACTCTTATTGCAATTGACCGTAGCGGTTCTTCAACAGTTGAGCAAGGCATTGCTGCGCTTTAGGTGATCCGTGCTGCAAATGTATTTTTAGACATTCCAGAAGGTAACTGCGACGTGATACCGGCTTACAGGGTCGTGATACTCTGCTGACCGCGACAGTAGTGGAATGTCTTCAGGCCAACGCACGAGAAAGGCATGTATTCCCGCCAAGATAGCAAGCTCCAGCTCAGTCCAGCTCCCCAACACTTGGCACGAGAAACACGATATTTTTAGGCCGTTTATATATGACCGCAGCTCTGCTGCTTGCTGAAGCATTCCACCATCATCTGAGGATCGGCTGTCAGTGGCATGCCTTTGGGTTGTTTGCTGTTGGGACACACCACAACCGAACCAGAATACCACCGCTTTGCCAGCTGTACAAGTTTGACATGCGTTTGTTGATCAGCAGACCCACTGTAACTTTGGCCTGCATGGTGTCCCAATGTAGTCAGTAAATCTGACAACCGTCTTCGCTGCCATTACCATATATTTCTTGCTTGATGTTGATAATAACTTAGGCGTTACAGTCCTCGGAAATACGGCTCAATCCAGTTTGCAGGCACTATCAACCTTTGACCATTGTCGCTATCATGACAACATGTTGTCCAGCGCAGAAGATGAAATTACAACACCTTTGCACCCTTTTGCTGGCAGCGCAATTTGACGATTTCACCACAATGTGACAAGGTAGGGCTCATACTGATTCTCTGTTTTACCGCCAACACAGCATGACGGAGGACAGAACTTCATACAATAGCAAGTCGAAAAACCAGCATGGAGAGCATGAAGGTTTTACACCAACGCAACACCAGAGGTTTCATCTTCATCGGGCTTTTTTTCTTCCGTGTTGTCATGGCCAGCCAGACGTCGCCGCTTGCCTGAGCTCAAATGCAGAGCCTGCCCATTAGTGTCGTGGCTTTCCGATCCATGACCTTCCAGCGCTGGGTTGTCAAAAGCAAGAGTATCACTATCTAAAGATTGGAGGAAACATAAGCACAAATCAGTGTAACGCCGAACCGGCTCAAGAACTAGTAACAATGTCTCCTTCGTACATGTAGATACAAGGAACGTGGTATCATCTTGATCGTTGACCACATCATTCGTCTGCACCTCTCCAACAGTTGCACTGCGGGAGATTGGGATAGGCACACTGGTGAGACCTTTGCAAGTGCGCTTGTTATGTCCTTTAACGCCACACATACTGCACGAAAGCTTTTCCTGCTTTAGGTCACCAAATTGCTGAATTTGCTGTACCTTGCGCGGCCGGCCTCGAGTTGTTGGCAACGGCTGCGGAACCGTGATCCCGTCTGAGGGCACATTGCTAATATCGATTGGCGTTATACGCCCCGCGTAAAGCGCCTTCAAAGATGTCATGAGAAATATACGTGGAATCACATCTGTCCGTAGCATGCCAGCATGTGTCACCGCAAGGAACACGTGTAGACATGGAAAGCGCGAGACATCGTACTCGCCACAAGTGCACGTTTGCTTTACGAAGTTGATTACCCGCCCGGCACTGGTCTGACGGTCGATAACCTCAAATTCGCTCTCGGAAGTGCGGACCACGTCAAAACGAGACGATTCTCCTTCGTACTCTGTCGCAAGGGAATGAAATTCCGCAGGATACTCTGAGCTGAGATGCCCGTAGCGCTCGTAGCGCTGAAACAGTGTTCGGGCCACCTGAGAGACCCAACCGACAAGGATCATCAGCGGAGCTTTAGCACACAGTGCTTCCATCCACAGCATAGACGAATCCAGACGCAGTGTAGAACCATTCGTTCCTGTTGCAATCGAAGTACCAGATGACTCTGAGGCAGCAGAATCTCGCCCGGCAGTGCGTATGAAAATTTCAACTTCGTTGGACTGCGGGCAGTTGGGGAATATACTATAAATAGCACGAGTGAGTTGGTCTCCACGATTATGCACAAGTGACGTAACTAGGCGCTCCAAGTCAGGGAAAGCATACCGCAATTGCTGCAAGAAAAATCGCCACTCGTCCTCATTCTCCGCGGATGCGAGGCCAATAGCCATTGGTACGTTATCACCCATGACGTCCTGTGCCGTAGCCGTAAACACGACTCCTCCAAATGTCGACGTCACCAAAAAAACACTGAGTAACATTGATCCACGACAGTACTTTAATGCATCATGTAGTGGTTTTGGACACAAAAAAGCATGTGCAAATAGCTTCGCATCCGGACTAGTAGCTGGTGGTGTCGCCCGCGTGTTGTCTTGATGTTCAAAAGCCACTAAGCTTCCCTCATTTGTCACTGCAAATGCATGAAGATATCCTTTTAGCTTCATGTACGACAATAAATCTTCTTCCTTTCGTTGCTTTCTAAATGCACTCAATGCTCTCCACGCCGTCATATACGATGGCTTGACTCCAAACTTTTCCTTCATAATCTCACTCACATCTTTCGGTTTCACTGCTTCTCGTCCACCTCTAGAATTGGCCAATTGATTCATATACGGTAGTATCGTTTCTAAAAGTGCCGAAGCCGTGACTGTCGATGTGCGTCCCGTATTTTTCAACCCTGTTCTAGTTTCACTTTTACTAGTCTCTGCAGTGGCTGCAATGCGAGCACAGAGCACTGTACACGTTAAAGAGTGTGTAATCACGGCTCTTGTTACATATATTCGTCCATTTGCGTGTCGATTTGCTGAGACAACAAACTCACAGACTGGTAGAAGACAAGGATTTGTTTCCAATCTCTTTTCTCCATTGATTTCTTGATATTTCTTCCGGTCTCTCCAGGATGGACAACGAGCTTCAATACGTTGTGGACTACTATGTTGCATATAATATGGTGCATTTTGCTCGACAGATAGAATTTTAAGAGCACGACGAAGTTCATTCATTGTCTCGTAACTTTCTTGAAATGGTGCAAATTTAGCAACATCTCGAGAGATGAGTCGTGTCTTGGGAGATGATGATGATGATAACGATGATGACACAATCTCAAGTGTGTTAAGGGTAGAGATCTTATGCTCTTTTGTCATATCTTCTAGTACATTAGTAGTCGTCGTCTTAATAGTCGAATTATGATTTGATTCAATAACAAGAGAAGAAGAAGATGAAGAAGAAGGAGAGAGACAAGCCGAGTTGTCTCGTATTGTACGTAATGGAGAAGTTAAGACAGTGGAAGCGCCTTGACATGCGTCATCATGACATGCTGGAGACGACGTTGGCTCATGGTGTGGCATGTTCGTAATTTCCACGACTTAGAATACGAATATCTACAATTCTAGACAAAAACGAATTGCAACAAAAGTGCGTGTTCTTACAAATTCATTGGTAAAAAAAAGAATAGCCAACAAACTGCCAAAACAAAGAGCATTGTCCAATGGATATCATCTTGGGATAAAATCCATTTGTATGACGATAATTGGGATAGGACGGGTGAGCCAGAGGACGTATAGCAAGCATCAAGCACAAGCACAAAGTAGTACATGAGACGCTCCAGTAGTCGACACATCTACAATGTTTTCAGTAGCATTTACAATGCTTTATCACTTTGCTGTGTCATCGTTGCTGTTCTTAGACGGTTGAATGCCGCTGCCACCTAACAAGCAGCACACAAAAAAGACCTCACCACTATATCAAGAAGGTGGTGTGAAACGACATGGCAGTACATACCTCAAGCTTACGAGGCCGAGTATAAAATCCACACTTGGTGTCGCAACTAATAACATCAAGCGAACCTGAATGATTGATCTCGCTTTCAAGGATTGTCAATACTTGCTACACGTACGAAAGACACGACATTCTCAGCACGTGGAAATCGATCCATAAAACACAAGGCGTTGTTTGTACCTCAAGCGTACGCTTCCCATCCATTAAAGACCGACCCTTTTGAATGGCGTCAGCAATCGTGCGTACTTGGCTGGACTCCACAATCTGCTCGACAGCGCTCAAGTTTAAATCCACCTACAAGTTGGAAAAATACAGCACATTGAATAACCAGAATCACGCGTGTCAGTTATTGCATTATGACCAAAGCATGTTCTTCTCCAACACAAGATCGTATCATACTTTGCCATACTGAATTTTATCCCGTCCACGCGAGACAACCTTGCCATTGACTTCGAAGCCATTAGCCAAAGGAATGCGAGAGTTGAACCCGCCAAACTGAACATCCTGTCGGATCTCATCGTACTCGCTCGCAATCTTTTTGGCCTCAGCAGAAACGTCTCGCGGCTGATACGAGTCCATCATGATCACATGATCGGCGACAGAAAAGTAGTCGCCAGCGCCACCAATGACCAGCACGGACGACACCCCATGCTGCATGTAGAGTGCGCGCACCTTTGAGATGAATGGTGTAATGGGTTCTTTGTCTTTTGTCACTAGTTGCTGCATCTTCCAGTCACGGATCATGAAGTTGGTAGCGCATGTATCCTCATCAATTAATATTGTTGTAGCACCCACCTCGAGAGCCTCGACAATATTAGCTGCTTGTGACGTGCTGCCAGAAGCATCAGCAGTGGAGAAGCGAGTTGTGTCTTGCTTGAATGGGAGATTATCGATAAATGCGCTGATATCGGTGCATACGACGCTACGGGAGTCCTCAGAGCGAATCTTTGCTGCGTTTGGATCGACAACGACGAATTCCCGTCCATCCGACGGTACGTGGTTGTATACGCCCACTTCTAGCGCCTTAAGCACTGTACTCTTACCGTGAAACCCCCCACCGACAAACAGCGTGACACCTTGAGGAATGCCCATACCTGTGATTGTTCCACAATTTGGCAGCATAAATGACCTCCTCAACGACTCGGGCGACTTAAACAGAATAGCCTTGTCACTACTTAGCGGCAGATCCGAAGCCCCAGATTGTCTCGGCAACACAGCTCCATCTCGAACAAAACCTACGAGTCCAGCACCCTTGAGCATACCTCTCAGTATTTCCTGATCTTCCACCGACTGCAAATGTTTCCATAGATGATTTACATCCAGACTTTGAAGCACCAAGGACTGTGCTACCAATTTTGGCAACGTTTCTGCCAAGATTGTGTATGCCCAGTCGCCACATATACTGCGACCACGTGCTGGCAAGTTAATGTTAAATCTGGCCTCAACATCGCCATTAGCCAGTACATTAACACTTGTGCGTTCGATCACGTGTTGGCCTGGCGCATCAATGGAAATGTCTCCACCTTTAGCTCCTTGCCAAGAGTTACTGATAGTCTTAGCATCAGCACCACAACTGCGTGCATTGGAGGCAAAAACTCGAGTCAAGTAATCACACAAGGCCACGTTCCGCGTCTTGTCACGATACATTTCGGTCGGAAAAGCGGCTGACACAGTAGGAACTGTGACATGAGCACGTGATGGACTTGCGTATGGATCACCTTGAATATGATCAAACTCAAGGGAGAAATAAAGATCATTTGATCTACTTTGATACTCAAAAATACGTTCCAATTCATGATATGCACCGTAGTTCCTATTGTGTAGCTGCTGTAGTATGTTACCCAACTGTTGCCATGAAGCTGCAGCTAATGGCATCCGTGGCCGTTCATTGTTGTAGCTACTGCGGTCATCGTTACGTTCACGCCCGCGTCTATCTCCACGACCACCGCCGCCATATTTGTTGCGGTAGTACTCTCCACGACCCATGATGCCGTTACCAAAAAATATGAGTACTATATTTTAATAGAGAGTAAAATAATAGTAGTTAGGACATTCATCTTAAGTCATATAAGTAGATTACTTGCATCAGAGAAACAACCTTTATAGAGCTATCCATTTGCTACATGGAGGCATCAGCTAATACAGCAGTTGCTTACCCTCCGTCATGCATTGGCCACTAACGTCGATACTGTGTGCCTTGATGAAAAAAAAGCTAAAGCTTAGGCCACTTCACGCACAATACAACTTGATCTTTCTATCCCATTTCTTGGTATACTCTTCAATCGACCAATGAAGCAATTGGTTGTCTTGTGTGTTAAGGCTACTATTGCCACCACTTTTGCTTCTACTTCGTTCTCTCTCGGTTCCAGCAAAAAGTAACGTCAATACGTTGACCATCCAATGCCGGCCGTCATTCAAAATCAAGCTGCAACTCACTCTCTTCGGATCATATTGTCATAGCGTTCATCCAAACATGCGACGCTTAATCTCCGACCGCAACATACGCATTTCCAACTGAGCACCGCTCATAAGACCCGAATTCTCCTGGGCACGACGGATAAGGTATGGCAGTACCTCATGGATAGGGCCGTACGGTACGTACTTAAACACCTTGTAAGCGTTAGCGCCGAGTGTGTACGAGACGTGGTCGCACATACCAAGAAGTTGGCCAAAGTATACACCACCAGTAGCACGGCTAATACCAATGTCCTGCATCTGCTGCACCGTGTTCACAACTGACTTCTCATTGTGCGACGCCACCATGAAGCTGGCCAAGTGATTATGACGCAACAATTTTGATACCTGAGTGTCGTAGTTCTCGTGTGTGTCTTCAATAGTGTCGTGGATCGGGTCGGCATATCCCTTATCGCGGGCACGCTTGCGCTCCTGCACCATGTAAGCACCACGCACCAGCTTGCCAGCGAAGCGAAACTTCTCGCGACGAGAACGCTCCAGGTCAATGTCAATGCGGTCGCTCGAAGTCTTCAGGTAGCACTGGAACGTGTTGTAAATGACGTCGGCACCGTTGCGGTTGTGCTTGCGCTGGAGGTTCAGCGTCAGGTGGTCAATCGCCGGCTGCATGTAGGTCTGTTCGGCGTCAATCATGAGCTTCACGCCGCGTTCCGAGGCATCATTAGCCAGTGATTCGAGACGAGCAATCATATTATGCAGCTGCGTCTTCTCACTGCCAGAAAGCGGTTCCTCCTCAATGAACTGAGTGAGCGGGCCCATGGTCAGATCAAACGGGTCGAGAAAGCTGACCCAGTCCACGTAATCGATCACACCGTCACCGGACGACTGGTCGAGTTCAGCAAAGAGCTTCTGTATCTCCTCCTCACTAGAGTCCACGCCGGCATTACGAAGACCTGCGCTTAGCGTAGGGTAGTCAATCATGCGCTCGAGATAGCGTGACTTGGCGCGCGATAAGTTAGGGCTATCCAGCGTGTGAAACAGCAGCTGCGCCTGCACGATGATGGCAGACATGCGCATGAGCAGCTCCGGTTTGCCCAGCGCCGTGCATTTAATGGCCACGAACGCAGGCTCACCGATAGACGCCGCCTCGCTAGCATCAATTATGGCATGGCGCGAGATAGCGGCGTTGGCGTCACAAGCCGCCTCGCCATCGTAGGCGTACGTACGAGCCGAAACCAAATTCTGATCAACTCCGTTCAAATCACGCGGCTGCTCCACGTCGGCTTCAGCGGCAAAATCTAGAATCGCCCCGATACCGGCAGACTGGAGCTTTTGAATGACAGGGCGGATTTCATTTACGTCCTCGCCAGCGCAGAAATGGCCAAAGAAGGTGGCGCGCAGTAGAGCGTTCGTGAACGTGGCGCCCGGAAACTTGTACGAGAGCTCAAGCAATTTGCCACTGTGTTGCACGAGGGGACGGAACTGGGACATAAAGTAAACAGCGTAAGCACGTACAAGCTCAGCGGTACTCTTTGAAGCAAAAATTCGCTTCGTGTCTTGAAACTCGGTGGCCAATGAAGTTCTCTTGCTTTGGTCTACCAAGGTCGAGTGGTCGTGTGCCGCAATGGGCGCCACGGCAGCCGTGGGTGCGGTTGACGATGGTCGAGGCGAAGCTGACGTCAAGAAAGCCACGGCCGAGCGCGGCAATTTACGGCAGGGCATGGGCGTGACTGCTTTTTGTAGTCGCAAAACGTGACGAATCGACTTGGTTCGACGATTGAACAGAAAATCTCGACTTACGTGTGTGGAGACGTGGCACAACCTGCTTGTGCTTTCACGAGGCAAATTGCGATATGAATGTAACAACTGGCGTCTGGCTAGAGCTGGTTTTTTGGTTGAAGTGCGTGAGATTCCTACGTCCTCCCTCCTTGTTGTCTTTTTTATGGTACGACAAGCTGCGTCGAGCGACAAGGCTTTACGTGACTGTTAGACAGCCAATCAAACGTTATTGAACAAAGAAAGGAATGACGCGTGTGAGGGAGGACACCAATCCTTTCTTATTGTATATATCATAAACCTGCGTTCTGTCATCTCCTGTCAATCTATTTCTAGTCTAATTTCATTTGACTGGACGAGTGTTCTTCACGATACAAATTTCAAGTCAAAACATCTTCATATTCTCTCAACGCTATAAATGTCCAAGGTACCCGATCTAGACGCGCTGCGTGCGTCCGTGACACGTCAAAGCGCACAAGTGCGCGAGCTTAAGCAGAAAGGTGCAGTGGCTGAGATCGTCAAAGTCGCTGTTGACGAGCTGAAGAAGCTTAAGCTTGATCTCGAGACGCAGACGGCACTACAGGGCCCCGCCGAAGACGGCCTGAGTAAAAGCGACAAGAAAGCGATGGATGACCTGCTACTGCGCAAGATGTTTGTGGTGCCAAGTTTTGAGATATATGGTGGTGTCGGTGGGTTCTACGACTTTGGGCCGCCGGCCTGCGCGCTCAAGAGCAACTTACTCCAGTTTTGGCGCCGGCACTTCGTGTTCGCCGACAAGCTGCTGGAAGTGGAGTGTACTAATCTAATGCCTGAAGTGGTGCTCAAGACGTCGGGTCATGTGGATCGCTTTACGGACCTTATGGTTAAGTGTGCTAAGTCAGGCGAGTGTTACCGTGCCGACAAGCTGCTGGAGGACCATGTGGAGAATTATTTGGATAAGCACACGGGCCTTAGCCAGGAAGAACGCGAGAAACATGAGATTCACGCTACAATGGCTGAGTCCTACTCCCCCGAAGAGATTTACGCTGTATTTCAGCAGTACGGCATCAAGGCTCCCGGAACTGGAGCCGACCTGAGCTTTCCCATCCCGTTCAACCTCATGTTCAAGTGTGCTATTGGCCCTGAGGGTGGGATGGTGGGGTACCTACGTCCTGAGACGGCGCAAGGTATTTTTCTCAACTTTCGTCGTCTGTTGGAGTATAACGCCGGTAAATTGCCTTTTGGTTGTGCTCAGATCGGTAGCGCTTTCCGTAATGAGATTTCACCTCGCGCCGGACTTCTGCGCGTACGTGAGTTCCAGCAGGCTGAGATTGAATTTTTCGTCAACCCGAAGGACAAAAGCCACGTCAAGTTCTCGACCGTAAAAGACCTAGAGCTGCCTCTACTAACCAAGACGAACCAGCTTACGCATGGCAAGGCTGTCCAGATGACCTGCGGTGACGCTGTCGAGCAGAACATCATCGCTAACGAGAGTCTAGCGTACTACCTTGCACGTACGTACGAGTTCTGCCAAGCCATTGGTATTGACATGAAACGCTTGCGTTTCCGCCAACACTTAAACACGGAGATGGCACACTACGCCACCGATTGCTGGGATCTGGAGATCAAGCTGAGCTCTGGCTGGGTGGAGTGTGCAGGTCATGCTGACCGCTCGTGCTATGACCTGTCGGTCCACGCCAAGAAGAGCAAGGTGGAGATGGTCGGCACGCACAAGTTCGACAAGCCCGAGAAGCGCCAGATCGTAGAGATTAAGCCGAATAAAGGCAAGATGGGGCGTGCCTTTAAAGCTGACGTAGCTACGATCTTGGAAGCGCTCGAGGCCCTGAAGGACGATGTGGCTTGCGCGCAGGCTTTCGAGGACGAGTTAGCCTCCAAAGGCGAAGCAACGCTTGGGCCACTGTGTGACGGGAAGGAGTTCAGTTTGCACCGTGACATGGTGGCCATTAAGGTGGTGGAGAAGATGGTAAGCGAGGAAAAGTTTGTTCCATCAGTGATCGAGCCCTCGTTTGGCATCGGTCGCCTTCTTACCGCTGTCTTCGAGCACAACTTTTCGACCCGCGAGGGCGACGAAAAGCGTGGTATCATGTCGTTTTCTCCCATTATCGCACCAATTAAGGTGTCGGTGCTGCCGCTGAGCAACAATCCCGCATTCGACCCGTTTGCCGCCGAGCTAGAGCACCTGTTCGTCGAGCAGGGCCTGGAGTGCAAGGTGGACACGTCCAGTGTGGCTATTGGCCGCAAGTACGCCCGTGCAGACGAGCTAGGTATCCCGTTTGGTGTCACGATTGACTTCGACACGGTTGAAGACCGTCAGGTAACACTACGGGAGCGCGACTCGACCGCGCAGGTAAGGATTCCGATAGACGCCATTGACGCCGAGGTGATCAAGTTGGTTAGGGGCTCGGCCACCTGGGAGCAGATGCTTGAGCGATACCCAAAGGTTACGGGAGCTCCTGAGTAGAAGGAGATAACATCGGTATAGATGTCACAGTAGCAGCGGCAAAGAGCAGCGTGTATTGCTCCATCTGAAACAACATTTGGTTCGAAAACTTTCATTTGAACCTGACTGACCCAGAAAAAAACCTCGCAAAACCATAGCGTCTAGCCAATCGTGGCGCCAGTTCTTATGAGACAAAAGTTCATTACTACCGCCTTGCTTTGCAATTGTTTGTAACAACTCTCAACATTCACGCTCAAAATGTTTAGACGAGAGGGTAGGTATCCGACTCTGGAATGAGAAAGAAAGGCCAGAGTAAACAATTTGATGGAAAATGCTGAGACGAAAGTAAATAGGACCTGTTTCTGTCTACTTGAACATGAACACTTCTGTCGCATCTGAATCTAGCAATGTCCGACACGCATGGCTTGCTTTAGCTGTGCTGGAGTATAACATTCATCTTTCTTTTTACAATCCACTCACGACAACAAATGCAGTCGCACGGTATTGTGGCCAAGACACTTCTAGACGACGCATCATGGCTAAGTTGAAGCTTAGACGCGAGATCGCTAAATTGTAGCAGACATCGTAGAGCAACAAAGTTGAGTCCTAGGCATCGTTCATTTTTTGACGATCAAGCCGATTGTTTGTAGTCATCTTCCAGGTTGGACTCAAACAATGGCTTTATGTTCACAATTATCGATGACCAGGACTCAACTTTGTTGCTCTACGATGTCTGCTACAATTTATAGGACGGGTGCGCGGCGTCTATGCTGAGCCAATTAATCAAACGCTGACCTTAGAGTTGCTGAGCGACAATTCCGTCCCGTCACCTTAGAATCGGTATTGATTGATCCACAAGCTTTTATCAAGTGATTGATGATCCTATGCTCTTCTGATGGTTTCAACTCTTAACAAGTTCTAATGGGACATAATGTCTTCAGTCTCCGGCAGTAAATTGTGGATGCTACCAGCCAGGTGTTGCTGCGTAGAGTGCCTAAAGACAACAGCACCTTAGTACCTGGAAGTCTCTACAAAGACGTGAAAGCAAAGTGGCTGCACACATAGAATCCGATTCGAATCACAGATTGTCCGCAGAATGTTTTGCTTTCGACATTAGTTACCAAACCATTGTCATGCGAAAGTAGCTATGGTGTTCTATCATGGACTAAGTTGGTTTTAACTGCATGACATGACACCAATTTATTTCCAAAAAGAAAAAAAGGCTGCCGGGGCCGTGACGAGGTTTGAGGTTCATAAGCAAAAATGCAGCTACATCGTCAAGTTCAAAATGGCTAGTCAGCTGAAGAGAGAGCTATCGGTTGTCGTGGCGACAAAGTCAAGCATCTGCTTACGAAACGTGAAGTTACCAGTTTGAATGATTTATTGAAAAGTCTCTGCTCGTTAAGCTGAATGACAAACGAAAGTAAAAGATGACGAAAGTTTGATGACAAAGCCGAAGCCTGCAAACACGCCGGTACTTGCGAGGCAATCAATACGTAAGGCAAGTATCTTGATAGCGCTAGTCGCAGTTGCTGCATCCAACTATTTTCCATTTCTTTTCGTGAGCATGGCAAACGCAAAGTTCACGCAGATGCGAGCAATATTGACAATGTTTGCTCCATCATGAGTCTGAATCGACATGAGATGCAGACCCCAACGCCTACGCCTGTAACCTTTATACTCGACGCAGAAAAGCCTGACGCTTGTTATTATTCTCAATCGTGACACTCTTGGGGCTTCGTCAGCATGATGCGTCGAAAACAACGATATGTCTGTTGAAGATGGTGTTGGTTTCAAAAGGTACGCTATTGCAAGGTCACAGTTTTATGGTCGTTTTGTAACGGCTGTGCGGAGATTCAAGGCAGGAATGGGGATGCGTGAAAGGTCATTGACTGGTGATGTTCTATAATGATTGGTGGTGAGCAAGGTAGCTTAGCATCAACGTGCACGTAAGACGGTAATAACAAAACAGCTTTCATTAACTTTCCTATCGAGCACTACGTCTCTGCTAACAGGTTATGAGCCCAACGACTGGAGCCGGTGACGCGCCAAGCGCGCCAGCGACAGTCAGCTTCGACGACGGCCACGCAAGGGCCGCGGCGTCTTCTGTGGTTGTTCAAGGCGGACCGACTGCCCACGAAAGGGGCGACGACGTCAACGCCCAAATACTAGCGATCCTCGTCGACCTCTAAGCGCGAATGGCGCACATGGAGGTCTCGCAACGTAAGCGCGATGAAGACGAGCGGATGATAGGCGCAATTGAGTCGGGTCTGTTTCGCTCTACGCTTGCAGATGGTCGTGGTGGTGTGCCAATGCATATCGACGTGCTCAGACATTCACCGTGCTGTGCGCCTGGCTTTATCCGATGCGCGTAATCTTGCGCCTCAGCGTAACCCCGGTGCACGGGCTGGCAGTTCTTCATCTTCTGCCGGCCATTCTGACTTGACCGCGCCTCGGCCTGCTCTATTTTGCATCATGTTTGCACGACCTTGTCCAGTTCTCGGGTGCCGGCGATGCGGGTCCCAGAAGAGCGACAACGAAGGCTGACAATCCGAAAGTTCGATGGCACTGAACTGTATTGAAACTAAAGATCCGGCTTCATGGACTGGGGAAGGACGTTTATGCGTCAAATCCGGTACGCTCAGGCAGCATGTGGTTTTGATTGATCCGAAGATGTAAAGACAGACCTCCTCGGCCACTACCTGAGCGGTACGGCCGAGCGATATTACAACAAGCAGGTCGACACATGGTGGCACCAGTCCCCAACGCTTGCGCACGTCATGGAGCGGCTTCACCAGACATTTAAAACGACGATCACTGCGTCACAGTTGATGAAATTGTTACGGCTTAAAAGGACCCGAAGCGGACCTGGCCCGAACATTGTCTCTATTTGGTGGCGGTGAGTAATGCGTGTGGCGGTGCTGACGCGCCTGTGCTCGACAACATTGTCCACTATGCGTCAAAAGAGCTCAAGCAGTTCTGATGGCCAAGTATGACGGATGCCGGGTCGACTACCTTGCCCAAGCTGAAGAGCTTGCTCATTTCGCCCAGCCTGTGGAGCTGGACACGCGCAGCGCTGCCTCTTTTGGGAGGAACGTCGTGACACAGGTTACCGAAGGGAAACTGCGTGTTGATCCACGCACCTACTATGGATGCGGCCAAGTAGGACACATCCAATTAGTTTGTCCTAACGAGCGGACAAAAAAGACGAAGAACAATGGCAAAAAGGGAGCATGGAGGAGCAATGCAAGGATCAATGACGTTGTAAATTTCATGCTGTCTGTACAAGAAGCCAAGAACGATGAAGACTTGTGGATACTGGACAGTGGGTCCAGTAAGCATCTCATCAACAACAAGAAGTTTTTCGAAAATGCACGAGAGTGTGACCAGTGCTTAGTCGCCGATGGAAATACGCTCCGCCTGAAGATGGTCGGAAGTGTGTTGCTTTGCGTGATGGCTTGCGAAAGGGGAGATATCATTAGACTGATTGAAGCCTACTATGTGCCGGCGCTTACTCGCAATATTATGTCTTCTGGAAAGCTAGAGCTAAAGGGATATGAGCTTAAGTACGAGAACGAACAGCGTGCACTTGTATCGCTTGACTCCGGTGCCGTCGTGCTTGATGTGTAGATGCACAATAACATAACGTGCTGGTTGTTGAGACTCAAGGCGTCAAGGTCGGAAAAGGAGTGATTGAAACCATCATGATTGCGATCGACGAAGCTGGGAACCAAGAACATGATGATGGTGTGCATGCTGGGACGATGATGCATTCTTACGAACGTTTTGGCTACCTCTCATGTGTAACTATTGAGATAACGACGCGTGAGCCTGGATCCGGAATCCTGCTCACAGATAGGAAGCGGGTGAATTGCATCACTTGAGCAAAAGCGAAGCAGTCCAAGAACGCACAGCCCAAGAAGATACCGGTCTACACTCACCGATCGATCGCGTCGGTGGTGTGATCTGTTCGGATCTAATAGGACCAATAACGCCGAAGGATCGATCAGGAAATCATACCTGGTCAATTTTGTTGATCCCAAGAGCAACTATTGCCGTGTGTGTCTTGCGCGTACCAAGATCAAGCTGCAAAAAAGCTTGAGCATTTCTTGGCCTTCTTTGAGAAGCGCCTTAATTGCAAAGTGCATGTGCTTCGGACTGATGGAGGGTGAGCGTACAAGAATGTGGATCTACTATGGAAGTCAGCTGGCGTAGCGAGACAAGTGAGCGAGGCGAAAAATCAAACGTCAAAAGGCAAGGCAGAACGCATGCACCGAACTGTGCTAAACATGGCGCACTCCATTATATTTTCAAGCAATCTACCGCTGTCATTTTGGGGCGACGCGGTTGAGTACTCGGCGTACGTTTTAAATCAAAGCCCGTCTAGCTTGAACGAAAATTGTGCGTCGCCAATCGAAGTGCTGACTCAGCGAGCTCCCGACCTACGTGACATCGTTGCGTTTTTGAATCGACGTGCACAATGTATTGCGACCTGAAGACAATCTCGCTTGGACATCGGGCGCGAGGTAGAACGATAGTTGGTTGCAGCGACGAGACCAAGGGATTTCGTGTTTATCTTCGTAAAGAGAAGATCGTCGTTGTGACACAACACGTGAAAAACATTCAGACGCTTTTCAAAGCAAGCGATAAGCAACTTGACCGCAGTGTTATGTCAGAAGATCACAATTGCTAGTTTACTAGAAGAAAAGCGAGTATCTTCCAGTGACGGTGTAGAAGTTGACGACAAGAAACAAGACAAGACAAAAGTCGGTGGACTCGCGATCCTCATGGCACACGTGGAAGAACTAAGAGGCTGTCTACTAAAGGAGAGGACAAATTAAAAGATGATGTCCCGATCGTGCTACAGGTCTACGAGCCGGACCCTAAAACACACGCTGAGGCGACGCGTGGTCTGAATGCTGACGGTTGAGCAGGGCAATGTTAGGCGCTTGAAGATAACGACATGTGGAACGTCATTAAAGCGTCCGGCGACTGCGACTTTGCTGCATAGCAAATGGGTG